TAGTTAAATTTATTCTCTGATTGCCTAATAGACCCTCTCTGAATAAAAGACACGCATCGACAAAATAAAATTTGTTAAAAGTGAGAAAACGACATAAGACAATAAAACTTTTAAAAATTTTTGTTTTGATCTGTCAGACGCGTTTCGGCTTCTCACCCTCTTCGACAATAGAATAAAATGTGTGGTGATTAGTGACAGTTAATCGATATTTATTTAGAAATCGTGAGATGCGGTCTGGTGTGATGTAGGTTTCAGAAAAACATTTTCTTTATCGTGCNTCTCAATAAAGATCGAAACGTTGGCACGATAAAGAAAATGTTTTTCTGAAACCTACATCACACCAGACCGCATCTCACGATTTCTAAATAAATAGAATAAAATTTACCCAAGCAAAATTTGCTTAAAATGAAAGTCTTGACTCACCCTGCTCATCTACCAAAGTAGGAGAATAGGCAGACCAAAAATAATAGGAACGATTCAAAAAACTAAACTACTCTTTAACAATATTTTTCTTTCTATTTTATTCTGTCATAACACAATCGCTTTTTCACTTTTTGCTCTATCTCTCTCCATATCTTTTTCTTTTTCTCACCTTATTTTTCTTTTTATCTCTTAACTATCACTTTCTATTTTATCTCTTTTTTTCTCTTTTATGTACAATCTCTTTCTGTTTGTCTTCGCTGCTCTGTCTCTCACCGTATCTCTCTCTTTCTCCCACATGCGTTGTTTTCTCTCGTTCTTACTTTATTCCTCATTTTCATTATTGGTCTCAAATTTACTTTCTTTATTTCGTCCCTCACCTTAACATTCCTTTTTGTCCTACCTTCTTTTTCCTTCGCCCTATCAATTTCTCTCTCATTTTTTCTCTTTCCGACACTCATCCTTTCTTTCTGTTTTTCTTACTTTGTCTCTTGCCCTATCGCTCTCATTCTTATTTGATCTCTTCTCTGTTTTCACTCACTGACACGTACATATTTGTTTTTTCCTTTTTCCCATTTTCTTTCGTTTTCTCCCCACCATTATATCTCTCTCTATCTATTGTACCTATCTATATATTTTTTCTCACTTTCTTTTTCTCTTGCATTTTCTATCATTAACATTTGTCTTTCTATCACTTTTGTTCCATCTTTCACTCCACTTTCCATCTCTTTCTTATTTTCGCTCTAAATATATTCCAGTCTATCTCTCNTTTTTCTCTTTCTCTTCATCCCTGCATACACTATTTTTTCTATCTACCCATCGTTCATCCTCTACAACACTCATTGACCGTGAAACTAAAGTTTGCTTTGGTTCACACACTAGTGCAAACATATTTTAAAATAACATCGCAGTAAGGTAGTTATAATCAGCTTCCTCTTCTGACTGAATATTAATTAATCTGTATTTTCCTGCCTTAATTGGGATTTTAGACACCCAATATCTGTCAGGAGGTTTTTCAATTAATTGTAGATTATGGGAAATTAGTCTAGATTAATATCCTATTTTAATTGATTATGGTGATTCGAGTTCAATTTTAGTTCGGAAAGAACGATTTTCAGCATATCGCTGTAAGAAAGAAGAGATTGTGAAATTCGAATTTCCTGTCTAATAAATTATTAATTAAATATAACAAACAACAATTTTTATTCTGGACTTCAACGTAATTACAATTCATGTGTGAACCAGTTAATAATAAAAAAAGGGAACGATTCACTTCCAGTCAATAAAAGAAGGCCGAAAATGTTCTACGCGGTCACTGCGCCGAAATTCCCGTTGTGATAATTAGTTTCCAGACCTGACCGATGGGTTCCAATTTCTCTGTGTACCCGTCAAACGGCCCGGTTATTGCCCATAATTGCATCCCGGTCCTTTTCAGATTATCATAACCATTCTGCTCCTTGCGGTAGGCCATGAGGCCACTTAGAAAAAACAAAAAACGCCTCACCTCTGTGTATATTTCTGCCCGATTGAATTTTCATTTTCAACAGCGCGGGAAAAATAGATTTAGTCATGTTTAAACATTTTTTTTTCCTTATTGCCATAAAATCCAATCTTTACGCTTTACCTGTTAGTTCTGGATTCAAAGATTTACATAACATTTTTCTTTTCGAGGTGCTTTTTATTGGATAAAAAATGACATACTGTTTCCAATCCGGCGGGACAAAATACATAATTAAGGGGTATCAAGCCTGATCAAAAAATATGACTTTACACCCCCCCCCTTTAGCCAATGACATCCCCTAACCAGAATATATCGATTAGTTATGACCATACTTAACATTATTAAATAAAAGAATTACTTAAAAAAATCCTATCAGGACGTAAGAACACGAATATAAATGGAGATGAGAGTGAAAAATAAATAAATAGAAAAAAGAGAAAAATAGTTTAATAACAACGTAAATAGATAGGAAGATAGGGAGGAAAAAAGAGAGAAATAAAGAAAGAGAGAGAGAAAGGTAGAGGCCGTGAGAATGTGGAAAAAGGATTCTTTGAATATATAAGAATGAGGAGAAAAAAGTGAAAGACAGGATGATAAAAGGGAGGATAGAGGAAAGATGAAAACAGGTAGATAGAGAGAGAGAAAGAAATAGGAAGAGAGAGTGACAAAAAGGCAGAGGCAGTGAGAAAGAGTGTAAAAGGGATTCTTTTGGAATATAAGGAAGAAGAGAAAAACAAAGAAAAAGTGAAAGAGAGAATAGTAAAAGAGAAGACAGGTGAAAGGTGAAAATACAGGTAGACAGAAGAGACAGAGACAGAGAGAGAGAGAGAGTGAGAGAGGGAGAGAGAGAAATAGGAAGAGAGAGTGACAAAAAGGCAGATATAGTGAGAAAGAGTGGAAAGGGATTCATTGAGAATATATCAGAGAGAAGAAATACAAAGAAAGAATGAAAGAGAGAATAATAAAAGAGAACACAGGAGAAAGATGAAAATACAGGTAGATAGAGGGGGAGAGAGAGAGAGAGAGAGAGAGAGAGAGAGATAGGAAGATAGAGAGAGAGAGAAATAGGAAGAAAGAGTGACAAAAAGGCTGAGGCAGTGCGAAAGAGTGTAAAAGGGATTATTTTGGAATATAAGGAAGAAGAGAAAAACAAAGAAAAAGTGAAAGAGAATAGTAAAAGAGAAGACAGACACTTGTCAGAGAGAGTGACAAAAAGGCAGAGATAGTGAGAAATAGTGGAAAGGGATTCATTGAGAATATATCAGACAAGAACTACAAAGAAAGAATGAAAGAGAGAATAATAAAAGAGAACACTGGAGAAAGATGAAAATACAGGTAGATAGAGGGGAGAGAGAGAGAAATAGGAAGATAGAGAGAGAGAGAGAGAGAGAGAGAGAGAAATAGGAAGAGAGAGTGACAAAAAGGCAGAGATAGTGAGAAATAGTGGAAAGGGATTCATTGAGAATATATCAGACAAGAACTACAAAGAAAGAATGAAAGTGAGAATAATAAAAGAGAACACAGGAGAAAGATGAAAATACAGGTAGATAGAGGGGAGAGAGAGAGAAATAGGAAGATAGAGAGAGAGAAATAGGAAGAGAGAGTGACAAAAAGGCTGAGGCAGTGCGAAAGAGTATAAAAGGGATTATTTTGGAATATAAGGAAGAAGAGAAAAACAAAGAAAAAGTGAAAGAGAATAGTAAAAGAGAAGACAGACAGTTGTCAGAGAGAGTGACAAAAAGGCAGAGCAGTGAGAAAGAGTGTAAAAGGGATTCATTGGGAATATATCAGAGAGAAGAAATACAAAGAAAAAATGAAAGAGAGAATAATAAAAGAGAACACAGGCGAAAGATGAAAATACAGGTAGATAAAGGAGAGAGTGAGAAAGAGGGTAAAAGGGATTCATTGGGAATAAAGCAAGAGGAGAAAGACAAGGGAAAAGTGAGAGAGAGAATAATAAAAGAGAAGACAGAGGAAAGATGAAAATACAGGGTGAGAGAGAGAAAGGGAGAGAAAAAGAAAGAAAGAGGAAGAAAGAAATAGGAGGGGCGAGTGACAAAAAGGCAGAGGCAGTGAGAAAGAGTATAAAAGGGATTCATTTAGAATATAAGGGAGAGGAGAAAAACAAAGAAAAAGTAAAAGAGAAGACAGGTGAAAGATGAAAATACAGGTAGATTGAGGAGAGAGAGAGAGAGAGAGAGAGAGAGAGAGCGAGAGAAGGAAAGAGACAGTTAACTTATCTTTGAGGTTTTATCACTTGTTAAGGTAAAAAAAGTACAATCCAATAAAACTTAAAATCTACGTAGAAAAAAACAAACAACGTGTCGTTTGAGAAGGCAATAAATAAGTAAGCTTTGGCAAAAGAACATGGCAGAACACCTACCCCACCCTCATTAAGCTCACATAATTGTCCGACGGTTTATGCGGGACGGTCTGAAAATGCTTCCACAACCGGCAATTTACCCGTGTGCGTGTCAAATCCTATACAAGAGTCAATAACACGAAATTTACGACTGCCCGGGCCGAAATGTACCTGTGCAATTGTTAACGTGCGCCGCAGTGATAACTCATGAGATGCCCCGGTAAAAGAAAGTTTATTTGGCTGGAATCCCGTCCGATAAATTTAATTATTATATATCTGTGTGCGTTTGTGTTATAATGTATGACATAAATAACCTTTACATAATTCAATTTTCCAGCCAGTTATACCGCAGTAAACTTTTTTTTTTAATTTGGGCTTACATGACAAATTATCACTTCACTTCATGATACAAAAAAAACAACTTAATATTGCTTCAACAAAAATTGTTTACCTTTAGTTTATATGTGAATAATTGTGTAATGACATGCCGGGTTTTTATTATAATAGATTTTCTCCTACTCAGTGCCACAACAATGGCATGTCGTCATGTAAATACGCCCGCTGGGCATAAATCGGCATAATAGATTTTTTTTTCGACACTGCTTTATACTCATGTATTATAAAATCTACTAGGCGAATTACGAAATTGTATTGTTTGCTGTATTGATGACATAAAAGAGCAATTCTGATTGTTGTTTTTTGTTTTGTTTTTTCTAGGATGGGAACTCAAAGGATTGCACTGCTACAAGTTCTTCAGTATAAAGCACTCCTGGGAAAGCGCAGCTCAGCTTTGCAATAGGTAAATACTTATTTAATCATTATTTGCAGTTGATCAATTAAAATAATGGTCCGTTTATTATATCTGATTTGCCAAAATGGAGAAACGAATATGGCCTACGGGTACAATTACCAGGAAAATTTTCTTCGGGACGATGGCTGGCCGACAATGAAACTATTATACATATATTACCTCCCTTCATGTATCCGTCCTTTTCGCTGAAGATCTACAGACAAATTATTAGATTTCTTCTTGATGCCTGCAGGGTAATGAACTTGAACTATTTTGGCCTGCCTATCCTAATTGTTTTGGTTCAGAAGTATTTCGACATTTTTACTTGTTGAGTTAGGGTACAAGCGTTTCTTCGCCTCTCCCTGCTTATACGGGATACGGCGGATCGGACGGTAGCGTATAGGCGTTGAGGACGCAATGATTATGCTGGATAATCCCTCTAATGCGTGAGTAGTAGCGGATGGGAACGGGTAGTGAATCGGTTTCTCTTATTCGAGTATGCTTTGCATTGTTGTGCGTATGACCGGCGAGGTACCTTGGGGAAGCGAAGGATTTGACCACCTAGGCTGAGCCTATGGCGTCCCTCGAATGCGCATGGCAGGTGTAGGCTGAGCTCGACAGGAGGTTTTTACCGTAGGCGGTGCTCCTCTAGGGGGTGGTTAGAAATTCCACTTAAACGAAACCGCGGCCGGAGCGGATCCGGAAGTTTCGACGCTGGTGAAGCCCCACTACTCTGGAAGATAGAGTCGCCTCTATCTAGGAAGCGCGCGGGAGATCGGGTATTTCAGCTTAGGTAGCATAAAACCCGCGCGCGGCATATGGTTTGATGCTCAATGCAAACCCGGCCACTTGGAATGGACAAGCGAGGAGCGAGGTTGTCTTGGCCCTTCGGGGATGAGCTACCTCTACACCAATGCTGAGGCAGTAACACTATTCTGTCGGATGCGGAGGTGCGTCAGCTCTCATCTTGAGAATCAAAACGTCCGACAAGGCTGAATAGGCCAAGTGCGGTCGTTAAAGATCTTCAGAGTCCTTTTTAGGATGACCGAGTATGCGGGAATAAACTGTCCGATGCCCGCATCCCTTAGGGTCACCTTCCCTGTGGGCCAAGCCAAGCCCTACCATCAGCCCCGGTGCCTTGGGGTAACCAATGATGGAGGCAAAATTTCCCCCTTACCTTCCTTATCCTTCCTCTTCCCTCACTGTTTTGGCAAAAGCTTCCTGGGTTACTGAATCCGCACCCCTCTGGCAACGGGTGCATCAGTAGGGGGTTCGTATAAACCACCGGGTGGGCGATCAGTTCCACCTTAAAAATAATTCTGAACCACGGGAGTAGAGAATCCAAGCGACTCTGCTAAATGAGATTGGACTCGTGGCGGTCGTGGTTTGCAAACAAATTGTACCTTAGCTAGAGGGTACCGGCCAACCGAAGCCGGAGATAGAGTACCCTTTCTAATTCTCCGAGGGTGGTGAAAGGCAAGGCAGAAAGGCTGTGACAGAAACCACAAAACTGACTTTTTCAACGCACATGTATGGATTTGCCCTTTTCAAGACACTTCTGAACTTGGTTAGCATTGCACCACCTCGCTAGCCAAGGAATGTGACAAGTCCACGCATGTAAAATCTTCCTGGTGTTCTCTTTGAGAACACTGGTTGAGAACACTGGGCGTCTGAGAAGTCTCCTCGGGGATAAGTCCTGACGTTAAAGATCTTCATGAGTTTCAAAATTCATGTAAACAAGGGAACATATGTTCGATGCCTTTGGGGGAATGAACGTGAACCATTTTTGCCTGCCTATTCTTCGCCACTCCTGTTTTTAGTCCTCATCATCGTTGAATATCGCAATACTTCCTTCGGTTATTTTGATCCAGTTCTAACGGAGGAAATAGATTTTGTAATAGCAAAAATTATATCTCATTGTGTCACTAACCGACCATGATGGGAAAAGATCGCAACGCGTCTGACAGACCAAAATGTCGAGTAAAGGCAAGATTAGGATTATCAATAACAACAAAACCATTCCTCTGAAAGAATAGCAGATGCATCAGATCTTACGATGACACTAAGGTGAAAAATTTAAATGCGTCTGACAGATCAAACGATTTTAGTAATTTATCACATTATCGTCTTTTTTATCGGCTATATGACCTATAAGGGAAAAATTAAGAAAACGGCGAAGATAGCGGACCCAAATAATCAGGATGTTGTGCGGCCTGTCCGAGAGGAAGGTCAGAACATGGAAATATTTTTTTTAAATTATAATCATAATTATAATTTATAAAATCGTACGTCTAAAATGTTTTTAAACAAGGATCGAGCTCAAGTCCGTAGGACCGGGGTGAACGGTCTCGCGTGATTATCCGAGGGTATCTGTCAAATTCTAATTACTCTGGTAAACCGTAAGGTGGAAGCGCTTTATCGTTACGGAGAGTTTCACTCAACAGGGCTAACGTGAATTGAACAAGACGATATTTAAAATGGGGTTTAGGTCCAAAACTAAGAAGCAAGCGGGTCATGCGTATGTCACATATTGTCAAGGCAGCATCACCACGGATTGTCACCCAGACAATGGGAGCATGACGTCAACTGAAGAAAATGTCAACCCGGTCCCAATGCTAATTACTTTCTTAGCCCACTCTAAATAGGTACTGCCGGAGTTCCCATGGCCTTTCCGGCCAACATCGACCTTGTAAAGAACATAGTTTCCATTATGCTCTTATGCTCATTATTGAGCTTATTGCATTATGCTTATTATTTTTAATAGTTATTAAATAAATTTCAAATATTGGTATGGTATTTGTAATAAGGATACCAGGAAGCGGGGTTTGTGGTCCCCAGGCACTGCAGCCTTCTGGCTTATTGTACCTTCCTAGTTCATTAGTTTAGTGCAATGGACTCAATCTTTCTCCTTAGAAGTATCAGGTCATTGACTGTCGCTGTTGTTTCGCATTCGAAGATGATATGGGTGGCTGTTTCCTCCTCCTCATTACATAATGCAGATGGGATCATCGTGATATATGGCTATGTTGTGTAGATGTTTTCTCAGATGACTGTGACCGGTTAGTAGTCCTATCACTCCTCTGAGTTTAGCCCTATCCAATTGCAGCAGCGATTTTGCCAGTCTTGGTGAGGGTTGTTTCATCATAAGTTTACTGTGTTTAGCGCCCATAGAGTTTATCCACTTCTCCTTTGTTATCCCAAGAATAGGTTCGGGGCTTATGTATGTCTTGCAGATCCCCCTCTGAACAGTCTGTCTGCTTTCTCGTTAATAGTTGCTTGGCTATCATATCTTATGAGGATTTTTTTGCCAGTGAAACCTCTTTTAAGATTTTCCAGGGTACAAGCATTGATGGCATGTATTTCTGCTTGAAAGACCGAAGTGAACTTTCCTAATGAGTTTGATTACTCATGTTTTGGACTTGTACTTGTTCCTTCTTTTGTTTTGGAGCCATCAGTATACCATATCATTGTAACTGATCCTCTCCCGTATCCTTCTCTCCTTTATAGTCCCTTGATCATATAGTCAATCCCCATTTCTAAGATTGGGTATATAATTTTGTTAATTTTGGTAGTATGCCCGAATTGTTTAGTTCCTATCCAATTTTATTGTTTTTGGAGCCTAAATGATCTTTTCCTAGCCTCTCCTTGTTAGCAGAGTTTCTAATGCACTTGTAGGGGTTGTTCTCATTGCCCCTGTGATACATAGGTTTGCTAGTCTTTGTATGCTGCCTAATGTTTGAGAAGCTACTTTTTGTTGAGCTTTGGTCTACCAGATTAATGATCGATAGGTTCTTTTGGGTCTTATACGTCCAGTAGGCCATTTCTGGTTTTAGCCCTCAACATTTGCCTAGGATTCTTCTTGTGGTCATTAATTTCAAATTCAAATATTTTTCCCTCATTATGGCATAGGGTTGTTAGAAAACAATGGCCCTTCAGATTTTTATAAATTTTTGTCGTAGCATTGTTTGGTACATCTCAAGTCAATGTTAGCTTTAATTATTTTTGTTAAATCAGTGGATGTTTCCTACGTGAATTTACTCATTGATAAAACGACTAATTAATATCTTGAGCTACGGACTTCCTTGAACCGTTGAACCGAAGTAGCACGTTTGATTCCTGATTAATAGTAATAACAGGAGGACCTGAGATCGACTTGATAATATCATCATCTCCCAGGAAATAATTTAACTAGATAAATTTATTACGCTGTTCGATGTATTTCTATCTTGATAAAAAATGTAATTGAGAAAATACTAAAAAGTTGTTTTTGTTTTTCGTTTCAGGTATGGCAGCGACCTCGTGCTTGTCGAATCGTACGGCGAAAATAATTTTACGGCCAATTTGGCGATGAAGAACGTCGGCCCGGGGGATCACAGAACCCAGCATTACTGGCTCGGATTGGCGTCCCTCGACGACCTCCGTACGAATACGCTGGAGTCGGCCGCTGGAGTCCTTGTTTCGCAATACGCCGGATTCTGGTCCATCGACCAGCCGGATTCCGTCAGGGGTGAATGCGTCGACGTCTCTTTAACGGACGAACACCAATCCTGGGAGCTGGAAACGTGCGAGTCGCTCCTTCCGTTCCTTTGCCGTGCCAACGCTTGTCCGTCGGGTTCGTTCCATTGCTCCAACGGCAAATGCATCAACGCCGCGTTCAAATGCGACAAACAGAATGACTGCGACGACTGGTCCGACGAAATCGACTGCCCCAGCAACTGCAACTTCTACATGGCCAGTTCCGGAGACGTCGTCGAGAGTCCCAACTACCCCCAAAAGTACGAATCTTTATCCAACTGCAAATGGACGCTCGAAGGGCCACACGGACACAACATCCTCCTTCAGTTTCAAGAATTCGATACGGAAAAATCTTTCGACACGGTACAGATTTTGGTAGGAGGAAGGACCGAAGAGAAATCCGTCAATCTGGCTACTTTGTCCGGAAGGCCTGAAATCGGAAATATGTCTTTCGTGTCCGCTTCGAACTTCATGATTATCAAATTTAGTACAGACGCTTCAGTGGAAAAGAAAGGATTCAGGGCATCTTGGAAAACAGAACCGCAGCTTTGTGGTGGTAATCTGAGAGCTACTACATCCCCTCAGCCGATTACGTCTCCTTCCTATCCAAGAAAATACCCAGGCGGTTTGGAATGCCTTTACATCATTACAGCACAACCAGGAAGAATTATCACTTTAGAGGTATGCTTAAAAATTGATCTTTTACTTAAAGAAAAATTTACATTTTGCACATTTGCTTTCAGATTGATGATATCGACTTGGAGACTGGGAGGGATTACATTCTAGTCAGAGATGGTGATTCTCCTAAGAGCAGGCCCGTAGCAAGACTGACAGGCAAAATGGATACGAACCCAAAACTTCTCATGTCCACCGGAAATCAACTTTACCTTTATTTCAAAACTAGCTTAGGCGATTCTCGGCGAGGATTCAAAATTCGTTATTCTCAAGGTACCGAATATACTTTCAGTTTTTTCCACATCTTATGAAACGGTTGAAGCAAGTTGGTGTTTTATACAATTTTGTAATTACTAGGTTGCAGGGCGACGATTGTAGCTCACAATGGAACATTAGCATCTCCGGCTTTCGGCCTTTCCAACTACCCGAGCAATCAAGATTGCCTTTTGAGGATCCGCAGCCCTAACAAAGCTCCGATCTCGCTCAGGTTCGACTCGATGACAGTCCATACATCTGATACCGTACAGGTTTACGACGGCGTGAGCACGAGCGGCCTCCGACTCCATCCTGGCAATGGATTCACTGGAAATCAGATTCCAAAAATCACACTGACTGCATCCAGCGGTGACATGCTCGTCAGATTTACGACGGATGCTTTGCATAACGCGAAAGGATGGCATGCGACCTTTTCCGCCGACTGCCCGACTCTGCGGCCCGGCGAAGGTGCTCTGGCTTCAAGCAGAGAAACAGCCTTCGGCACATCCGTCGTTTTCACATGTCCCATCGGCCAGGAGTTCGCCACAGGAAAGAACAGGATTAACACCGACTGCATGCCTGGTGGCAACTGGTCAACCTCTTATATACCAAAATGCCAAGGTAATTTTTGCAACCCTGCCAAATTTAAGAACACTGTCATTTTTAAATCGTGAATCTATTTCTACAAAAAAAGAAATGTTTGATTCAGCAAATTGTTCAACTTTTTTAAAAGTTCAGCCCCTAAAAGTCTATAAAAAAGAAAATTTCAAATTTTAATTAATTTGACACACCTTAGGGTTATTCTTTATATATATAATTTTTTTTTTTTTAATTATGCAGAGGTATATTGCGGACCAGTTCCACAAATTGACAATGGTTTCTCAATTGGATCCACAAATGTAACATACAGAGGTGAAGCCATGTACCAATGTTATGCCGGTTTTGCTTTCCCATCTGGTCTACCAGTTGAAAGGGTGTCCTGTTTGTCCGATGGAAGGTGGGAAAGACTGCCAACATGTTTAGGTATTTATATAATTCAATAAAAATCAAAAGGACACCACTCATCCTTTAAATTATTCCAGCATCCCAGTGTGCACCACTCCCAGAAGTTCCTCACGGGATAGCGACGGTGTTGAACGGAGGAGGACGGAGCTACGGAACCATCATCAGATTTGAATGTGAGCCCGGATACACTAGATCTGGACAGCCTGTCATTCTCTGCATGAGCAACGGCACTTGGTCTAGCGATGTTCCGACTTGCTCGAGATCGCTCTGTCCTACGTTGCCAGAAATCTCAAATGGGTTCATTCTTGACCCAACTAGGAAATATTTCTATGGAGATGAAGGAAAAATCCAATGCCACAAAGGTTTCAAATTATTAGGATCGAGTGTAATTAAATGTGGGCCAGAACAAGAATTCCTTAATTTACCAAGATGTGAAGGTAAGCGGTAGTCATTTGTAATTTAAATTAAAAACATAATTAACTTATTTTATTCATTAAAGATGTCAATGAGTGTGCAACTAGTCAATGCGACCAAGCATCAACGGAATGTGTGAATACTGCTGGTAGCTTCCATTGTAAGTGCAGATCAGGATTTGTGGGAAGTATGGAATGCAGGCCTGTAGGTGACCTGGGACTTACAACTGGAGGAATCCCTGATGAATCAATAACTGTCTCTGGTGTCGAATCTGGCTATTCCAAAGATGTAAGTATATTGTACTTTTTTTTTAAACTCAGTGATAAAAAACACTTGTGTTTTTGCAGATGATCAGACTCAACAGCAGACAAGGATGGTGTGGAAATAGCATTGAGCCTGGTGCTAATTGGGTTACCATCGATCTTAAAGCTCCAACAGTTATCCGTGGATTTAGAACTCAGAGTACACCTAGGCCTGATGGCACTGTTGCTTTTACTTCAGCTATAAGAATACAGGTAAATATTATCCTTTTAAAATTTAATAATTATCAAAATATTAACTGTTTACTTTTTAGTACACTAATAACTTAACTGATGTCATGAGAGATTACACAAATCCAGATGGTACTCCTGTTGAATTCAGAATTCTGAGCCCAAGCCTCTCTGTCCTTAATCTCCCAGTGCCAATAGAAGCGCAATTCATTAAATTCAAGGTTCAAGATTACGCCATTGCACCTTGTCTTCGTTTGGAGGTCATGGGATGCACTAGACTCGAATGTGTCGATGTCAATGAATGCAATGCCAACAATGGCGGCTGTGACCAAAAATGCATCAACAGTCCTGGCACATTTTCATGTGTTTGCAATGTCGGATATGAGCTCTATATGCAAAATGGAACTGCTGGGTTTACTATTGACAATTCCGAAACTGGAGAAAGGGATGGTGATATATTCCAGAGGAACAAGACATGCGTACCCGTCATGTGCCCACCACTTGAAAAACCTGACAATGGCCTTTTGCTCTCGTCTAAAGAACAGTACCACTTTGGTGACCTCGCAAACTTCCAGTGTAACTTTGGCTATGTCATGGTCGGCTCTGCATCACTCCTCTGTACTTCAGGAGGCGCATGGAATGGAACTGTTCCAATTTGTCAATGTAAATCTTAAAAATTATATTTTACTTGGAAATATTCTTAATTTTTATAATTTCTTTAAAGATGCTCAATGTGTATCACTTGGGGACAACAAAAATGAGGGATTGTCAATAGTTCGTTTAAATAAAGAATCTAAACTCATCCCTTTCAAAGAAAATGTAACAGTTCAGTGCAACAATCAAGGAAGGCATTTGAGAAGAACTGCATCTTCAGGATTCCGTCAGTGTGTCTACGATCCAAAACCTGTAATTAACGTCATTAATTGCTTAAATTAAAATTTCCTAACTGTGAAATAATATTAAATATCAATTTTCAGGGTTTCCCAGATTATTGGCTGTCAGGTGCTTCACCGGGATGTCCGAGGGTTGACTGTGGTATTCCAGGCCCAACACCCGGTGCTGAATACGGTTTATACAAGGACACAAGGTACCAGTCTTCGTTTTTCTTCGGCTGCCAGGACACTTTCAAACTTGCCGGACAGACTGACAAACATGACAATGTCGTACGTTGCCAAGCTAATGGAGTCTGGGACTTTGGCGATTTAAGATGCGAGGGGCCTGTCTGTCAAGATCCTGGTCGACCAATTGATGGATATCAAGTAGCAAGCAGTTACGAACAAGTAAATTATTACATACATCAATGTATATTTATTAGAAATACTTAGTTTAATTTACATTTTTTAATGGTTTTAAGGGCTCAGAAGTTCAGTTTGGATGTAACAAGCCTGGATATATCTTGATCAACCCGAGACCCATTTCTTGTGTCCGTGAGCCAGAATGTGCAGTCGTTAAACCCCTGGGTCTTGCATCAGGGCGAATCCCAGATTCTGCTATTAATTCAACATCTGAAAGGCCTAATTATGAAGCGAGGAACATCCGTCTAAATTCAGTCACAGGATGGTGCGGAAAGCAAGAAACCTTCACCTATGTCAGCGTTGATCTTGGACAAGTTTTCAGAGTTAAAGTAAGTACATAATATTTGTAATTGAATAAATTCGATATTATTCTAACTAATTTACTTTTATGTTTTTAGGCTATCTTAGTTAAAGGTGTCGTGACAAACGATATAGTTGGACGGCCTACTGAAATAAGATTCTTTTATAAACAAGCTGAAAATGATAATTATGTCGTTTACTTCCCTAACTTCAATTTGACAATGAGAGAGCCTGGCAATTATGGAGAACTTGCTATGATCACCCTACCAAAATACGTCTCAGCCCGATTTGTCATTCTGGGGATAGTAAGCTACATGGACAATGCTTGTTTGAAATTTGAACTCATGGGTTGTGAAGAACCAAAGACAGAACCATTATTGGGTTTTGACTATGGTTATTCACCTTGTGTTGGTAAGAAAACAAAACCATTTAAATAAATGGAAAAAAAACTACTAACTGAAACAAATTTGCAGATAATGAACCACCAGTTTTCCAAAACTGTCCATCTCACCCAATAATTGTTAAACGAGGACCCAATGGTATCGAACCCGTGAATCTGACTGAACCTGTGGCTCTTGACAACAGCGGATCCATTGCAAGACTTGAAATCAAACCACCTGGTTTCAAAACTCCATTGACTACATTTAAAGACATGGCTGTTAAATATGTAGCATACGATTTTGACGGCAATGTGGCCATTTGTGAAATCAACATCACTGTAACTGGTTAGTTATATTCTACATTCTTTAAAAAAAATTCAGCATTCCAAAATACAAAATACACATTATTGTTTCAGATGACACTCCACCACTTCTTAGCTGCCCTCAGAGCTATGTAATCGAGCTTGTTGACAGGCAGGACAGCTATGTAGTCAACTTCAACGAAACAAGAAGGCGAGTGAATGTGTCTGATGCATCAGGAGATGTCACCGTTACATTTGTACCTGACAAAGCTACAATCCTTATCGGATCTTTTGAAAACGTCACTGTCATTGCTACCGACAAATATAACAATAAAGCCACTTGTCATTTCCAGGTTTGAACTTTTTTCTTTCTTCTGAAAACAAGATTTTAATGTTGTGCAATGTTAGGTTGCTGTACAAGCGACGTCCTGTGTTGATTGGGAACTGAAACCGCCAGCAAATGGAGCTCTCAACTGCCTTCCTGGTGAAAAAGGACTTCAGTGCATTGCTACTTGCAACCGAGGATTTAGGTTTACAGATGGAGAACCAATTAAAACATACAGCTGTCAGAGCAAGAGTCCCTGGACACCTTCCTCTGTCGTTCCTGACTGTGTCTCTGAAGGTAAATTTTTTTCCACGAAAAGAATTGATTTTTAACCTGACGTCATTTCATACAAACATAACACATTTACAGATACACAGCAAGCTGATTATAATGTGATTGCAACAATGACCTACAGAGCGAATGGAGCAGTCGCACAAAACTGTTTGAACCAGTACACAGAATTGATGTCACAATATTACGGACAAATCAATACTATTCTCAGTCAGAGATGTTCTGCTGTTAATGTCAACATGAATGTCTCATTCATAACTGCTTCTCCGACACTCCTAGAAGACAATGTTGTCAAAGTTGATTTTACTCTTGTCATCATTCCTGCCGTGAAACAGCCACAACTGTATGACCTTTGTGGATCGACTCTTAACCTCATCTTTGATCTCTCAGTGCCTTATGCAAGCGCAGTGATCGATCCTCTTCTCAACGTCTCTTCAATCGGAAACCAATGTCCACCACTTAAAGCTTTACAGAGCACTATAAGCCGTGGGTTTACATGTAATATTGGTGAAGTCTTAAACATGGATCCTAACCAAGTCCCTCGATGCTGTAAGCATTTATTATTGCACAATGTAAATTTTATGGAATAAATCTAATTATTATGAATTTAGTGCATTGCCCTGCGGGAACATTTGCTGCGGTTAAACAGAAAACATGTACACCATGTCCAAAAGGAATGTACCAGGATAGAGACAGACAAGGATCTTGCCTAAGATGCCCTCTAGGAACATACACCAAAGAAGAAGGTCAATAGAGATTTTTTAAGTCATGTTTGTCACAATACATTTTAACAATTTTTTTTTAATAGGCTCAAAGAGTGTAAATGATTGTGTTCCTGTTTGTGGTTATGGGACTTACTCACCAACTGGCTTAGTACCTTGTTTGGAGTGCCCAAGAAACAGCTACACTTCAGAACCACCAACTGGAGGATACAAAGATTGTCAGGCTTGCCCAGCGAATACTTACACTTATCAGCCTGCAGCACCTGGAAAAGATTACTGCAGAGGTACGTTGATATTTTTTTGTAATTATCTAGGAAGTTTCTAAAACGATAATTATAATTTCAGCTAAGTGTCCTCCTGGCCAATATTCTGACACTGGACTTTCACCATGTGCTCTTTGTCCTATGAACTTTTATCAGCCAAGAAGTGGAATGACTTCATGCACAGAATGTGCTACTAATTTGATCACGAAAGGACCTGGAGCTTCAGCAAGGGAAGAATGCCACCCGATCCAGTGCTCTGAAAACTCCTGTCTCCATGGTGGACTTTGTGTCCCAATGGGTCACAGTGTTCAGTGCTTCTGCCCAGCTGGCTTTTCAGGAAGACGATGTGAAAATGATATCGATGAATGTGCTTCCTCGCCCTGTTTCAATGGTGGAGTATGCAAAGATCTGCCACAGGGATACAGGTGCCAGTGTAAACCAGGCTATACAGGAATCAATTGTCAGGAAGAAAGATCAGACTGTAGGAACAACACGTGTCCAGAAAGGGCGATGTGTAAGGATGAGCCTGGACTCAGCAATTACACCTGCTTGTGCAGATCTGGTTACACAGGGCCAAATTGTGATGTGACTATAAATCCTTGCACTGCAAATGGAAACCCATGCAAGAATGATGCCTCTTGTACCGCATTACTTCAAGGACGGTATAAATGTGAATGTCTTCCAGGTTGGGAAGGCCAACATTGTGAAATTAATATAAGTAAGTTATAAAAAAATTTTTTTGATCCATAACAACCAATTTAATGAACATTGTTTTTAAATAGATGATTGTGCGGAAAAACCCTGCTTGCTTGGAGCCAATTGCACCGACCTTATAGATGATTTCAAATGTGAATGTCCACCTGGTTTTACTGGAAAGAGGTGTCAAGAAAAAGTAGATCTTTGTGCAGCTTCACCCTGTCAAAACGGTATCTGCGTAGACAAACTATTCAAACACCAATGTGTATGCTTCCCAGGATGGACAGGTAAACTAGACGAATTTAAAGATTAAAATCAAATCACCAACTTATAACTTTTATAGGCGAATCATGCGAGATTAACATCAATGACTGTGCAAACAATCCTTGTGAAAATGGAGGCATGTGTACAGATCTTGTGAATGGCTTCTCTTGCAGCTGCGAGCCTGGCTATACAGGAAAGAAATGCCAGCATCTGGTCGATGATTGTTCCACCAATCCATGCCAAAATGGCGGAACTTGCATGGACATGCTCGACGGCTTCATCTGCAAATGCAGACCTGGCTTTGTTGGCCTCCAATGCGAAGCAGAAATTGACGAATGCCAAATCGACCCATGCAATTCTGAAGGCACTGAAAAATGTGTTGACCTGGACAACAAATTCTTTTGCAAGTGCCATGATGGATATAAAGGAGAACTATGCGAAGTTATTATCTTTTAAAAAAATATTTTAGAGCATATAACCTTAAACAAACATTAATAAAACAATACTTCTAGGAAAATGTGAACGATTGCGAATCATCACCTTGTCTTAACGGAGGAGTGTGCAGAGATGGTATTGCTAACTTTAGGTGTGAATGTCCACCAGGATGGACAGGTCACAGGTGTGAATCTGACATAGGATCTTGCAATGCCAAGCCGTGCCAGAATGATGCAAAATGTATTGACCTCTTCCAAGACTTCTTTTGCGTGTAAGATTAATTTTATGGATTATTGGAAACCATCAATTCAATGAATTTCACTTCATTATCTTTTGTTACAGATGTCCTTCTGGAACTGATGGAAAACAATGTGAAACTGCTCCTGAACGATGTGTCGGTAGTCCTTGTATGCACGGAGGGAAATGTCAAGACTTTGGCTCAGGTCTTAACTGTACCTGTCCTTCTGATTACCGTGGTGTTGGTTGCCAATACGAGCTGGATGCTTGTGAGGCTAATGTTTGTGAAAACGGTGCCACTTGCATTGACGATGGCCCTGGTTACACTTGCATCTGCCCTCCTGGATTCACTGGTTCGTTATCATCTCATTTTTTCTTTTTATATAAACAATTTAATCATAAACCCATTTTTTTATAGGTAAAAATTGTGATGAAGATATCGTCGACTGCAAAGAAAATTCATGTCCACCAACTGCAACATGTATTGATCTCACAGACAGATTCTATTGCCAGTGTCCTTTTAACCTCACAGGAGACGATTGTCGCAAAAGTACACATTTTATTTTATTCTAATTGCTTAATCTATAGCTGCAATTACTATAGTCAATGTTTTTTTAGCAATTCAAGTCGACTATGACCTCTCATTCTCTGAACCTTCTGACAGCAGTGCAGCTCTTTCAGTACCATTCCCTCTAACTGGTAAATCAAGTCTGACAATCGCTATGTGGGTACAATTTGCACACAAGGATGAATCTGGAATCTTCTTTACTTTATACAGTGTCACGTATGTATTTTTATGTTAAAATAAACATACACGTATTTTATTTGTTTAAGCTCAGCTGATAACTTAAGCTAAAAGCTCAGAATGCTTAAGTTTTTAAATTGGGAACCATCAATTATTATCAAGTCCCTTAAAGTTCACCAAATATTTAATTGATAATACAAAACCTAATTGAATATATGTGCACTAATTATTGTACTCATTAGGTCTGGTCATGTTGCGAGTGGAAGAAGGGTCTTGGTTCAGGCCCATTCCAGTGGAGTTCTTGTTTCCTTGTTCCCAGAACTTCAAGACGTTTTCTTGGCATTCCAAGAATATGCAACTATCAATGATGGTCAATGGCATCATATCGCTATTGTGTGGCATGAAGGTGTTTTGACATTGGTCACAGAAGGCCTAATCGCCAGTAAAGTTGATGGATATGGAGCGGGAAAATCACTCCCTGATTTGTAAGTATTTATGCCAATATTTATGTAAATATATCATATATATTTATTTATTAACAACTATTTATTTTGTTTTAGTGGTTGGGTTGTTCTCGGAAAGCCTAGGCCAGATAACGTCAAGGCATATACCGAATCAGGATTCCAAGGGCATTTGAGCAAAGTTCAAGTATGGGGACGGGCTTTAGACGTTACCAATGAAATACAAAAACAAGTGAGAGACTGTAGGACTGAACCAGTCTTGTACCAAGGCCTTGTGCTTACTTGGTCAGGTTATGAAGACATAACTGGAGGTGTTGAAAGGAGAGTGCCGTCCGAATGCAGTCATCACTCGTGCCCCGTCGGTTACACAGGACCAAACTGTGATCAGCTTCAAGTTGATAAAGTCCCGCCTAAAGTTGAGCACTGTCCTGGTGACCTCTGGGTCATTGCTAAAAATGGAACGGCTGTAGTTACATGGGATGAGCCGAGGTTCTCAGATAACGTTGGAATCGCGAGGGTTGAAGAAAGAAGTGGGCACAGACCAGGTCAAACCTTACTTTGGGGAACATACCACATTGCCTATGTCGCCTTTGATCAAGCAGGAAACACGGCTACCTGTTCATTTAGAGTGTATTTACTATGTAAGAAAATTTATATACAAAAAATATGATAAAAATAAAAATGAGTTTTAACTTTCTTTTTTTTTTCAGCGGAATTTTGCCCACAATTGGCTGATCCTGTTGGAGGGACTCAACAATGCAAAGATTGGGGTTCTGGAGGACAGTTCAAAGTTTGTGAGATCGCTTGTAACTCTGGACTCAGTTTCTCGCAGCCCGTACCGAAATTCTACACGTGCGGTGCTGAAGGATTCTGGAGGCCCACTGACAACCCTCAACTTCCTCTTGTCTATCCAGCTTGTTCAGGTAAAAAAAAATGATCATAGACTATTACCCCCTTCCCAGTTTACTTACAATACCAAATGACCATTTTAGCCGCTAAGCCTGCACAGAGAGTTTTCAAAGTCAACATGCAGTTTCCAACATCAGTACTTTGCAACGAGGCAGGACAAGGCGTGCTGCGACAAAAAGTCAAATCTGCCATTAACCTCGTCAATAGAGATTGGAACTTCTGCTCTTATTCTGTGGATGGAACGAGGGAATGTAAAGATCTTGTAATTGAAATTAAATGTGATCACAGAAATACCAGATCAACAACAGATCTGGGCGAACTGAGCAGGCCGACAAGACAGACCAGTGATACCTACAGTGTCCATATCTCATTCCCTGCAGTCAAGTACGTTTCATATTGTTTATTTTTAAAAATGTTTATATTGTATTAACTTTTTTTTTTTTTTGTAGTGATCCAGTTGAAAATCTGAACTCCAACCAAAGGTCAACTGTTCAAAGGCTACTTGAAAAGTTAATCTTAGAAGAGGATCAACTTGATGTACACGATATTTTGCCAAACACAGTACCAGATCCAGCATCTTTGTCACTGACATCTGATTACGCTTGCCCAATGGGACAGGTTGTAATGGCACCAAAATGCGGTAAGCCACTTTACCTTTCTCATAACAGCTTTTTCCTTGAATTTCCTCATTTTTCTATATTTATCTTATCTGGATTTTAGTTGCGTGCTCTGTTGGTACATACTATGATAAAGCAACTTCAAGTTGCAAACCTTGCACTACTGGGACATACCAGAGCGAAGCAGGTCAACTACAGTGTTCGGTCTGCCCAGCCATTGCAGGAAGGCAGGGGGTGACTATCGCTCCTGGTGCTAGATCTGCTGCCGATTGTAAAGAGCGATGCCCAGCTGGTAAATACTATGATGACGAGGCAGGTTTGTGTAGAAGCTGTGGACACGGATTTTACCAGCCGAATGAGGGAAGCTTTAAGTGTCTTCTATGTGGTCTTGGAAAAACTACTAGAACTACAGAAGCTGTTTCACAAGATGTAAGAATTAATACATCATAGCGTAATTTTAATTAATTAAATTATAATTTTTTTTTAGGAATGCCGTGATGAATGTAGCTCTGGTATGCAGCTTGGAGTTGAAGGACAGTGTGAACCTTGCCCAAGGGGTACATACAGGACGCAGGGTTTAGAAGCAGCATGTCAAAGCTGTCCAACAGGAAGAACAACTGCAAGAGCCGGTGCAGCCACCGTTGAAGAATGCTCTTTACCTGTTTGCCAGCCAGGATCTTTCCTGAACACAAGTCTGAACAGTTGTGTCACTTGCAAGAAAGGAACTTACCAACCATCTTCTCAGCAAACTGCCTGCCTACCTTGTCCACCTAACACTAGTACCAAAGGAACTGGAGCTGTAAGTTTAAATAAAATAATTAGTAATTTGGAACTTTTGCTATTTTTTTTTCTTTGTATTTAAAGACAACAAAGAGTGAATGCTGGAACCCATGTGAGATGAACGGAGCTGAAATGCTTTGTGATCCAAATGCGTACTGTCTACTTATCCCAGAGACAAATGACTTCAAGTGTGACTGTAAGCCTGGATACAACGGAACTGGAAAAGTCTGCAGTGATGTCTGTGACGGCTTCTGCCAGAACAAAGGCACATGCGTCAAAGATTCTCGTGGCACGCCATCTTGCAGATGCGTCGGTTCATTCATTGGACCACATTGCGAAGAAAAGTCTGAATTCGCTTACATTGCCGGAGGCATTGCAGCTACTGTGATTTTCCTGATCATTATTGCTCTATTTGTATGGATGATTTGTGCCAGGTACGCTTCTTCCTTTTCTTATTCTTTTCACTTGTCGCACAAGTTTAAGCAACATTTATTACAGAGCTGAGAGGAGAAAAGAACCAAAGAAACTCATTGCACAAACAAATGATCACACAGGATCTCAAGTTAACTTTTATTATGGGGCAGCCCCATATGCTGAATCAATCGCACCATCGCACCATTCTACATATGCTCATTACTATGATGATGAAGAGGATGGATGGGAGATGCCAAATTTTTACAATGAAACCTACATGAAAGGTGATTTGATTTTTCTAACTAGAATTTTATCTTTAAAAAAAAACTAACTAAACTTTTAAAAAAATCCTTTCTTTCTTAGGAATGCACAATGGAAAGATGAACAGTTTAGCCAGATCCAATGCTAGTATTTACGGTAATAAAGAAGATCTTTACGATAGGTTAAAGAGACACGCTTACCCAGGCAAAAAAGGTAATTAAAATAAAATGTAAAATAATTTGTCTATAATTATTTTACTTTGTTGCCAAAACTATTTCATTTAATTTATATTTTAGATAAAAGTGATAGTGAAAGTGAAGGGCAGTAATGAAATTCAAAATTAGTTATGACAAAATATTTAAACGCGATCCCGACTAGAAGTAAGGGAAGTTGTGATTGCTGGCTTACCATCTGAATGATGATGCTTTAATTTTTTTTATTATTATTTTCAACTTGAGTACCATAATTGTTTTATAGTCTGTACATTTGCTAAATAATCGTTAAAAAAAAAAGCTAATAATAATTTTATAAACAAAAAACAAACCAGAATATTTATAACAACTTGTTATATTGTACATAAAACGATAAAGGATTTCGCTGTATAATAGTGCCAGATTTTGTATTTTTTGTTTTTGTTTTTTTGTTTTATACCACAGTGTATATGCTCAACATGAAGTCATAGTCATTTTGGTGAGAGGGAAGAACGATGAATTTTCTTTTAGTTAAGAACAAGATTATTTTCTAGAATGGCAGAATGAGACGAAAAGATTTTTTTTTTTCTTCTTTTCCGCTATTCTTTATTTATTTTTTAGAGTAGGGAGCATTTCTTGGGCATTCGCTTATTACTGTAACACTATTTGAACCAAATATTTTATAGTGATTTGCGAATGGCAAGAAAATAATAATAGCATATTGCTCCATCAAGACTCTCTAGTTTATACTTTGTTGCTGTTTAATTCAGCAGGCGAGCAATATGTATATTATAATTATTCAATAGTTTAAACGTTCATTACTTCTGTGAGATTAATATTGTAATAAATTGTAAACAAGTGTACATGGAAAGTTCTTTTTTTTATAAATAAAATAAATTTTCTATCGCTAAAAATCATAAGACTTTTTATATTGACAACGAAAAATGAAGTTATATATAGTTATAAGGTTTTTCAATCTATTGTAAATTTTATAAAATAATAAATAACATTATTTGTTTAAAATTGCTTTTTCTTATAATCCTTTCTAATCCTTGATTTACAGCTATTTAAATGAAAGTTTAAACTTGAACTTTACATTACACTGATGGAAATGCATGGGTCATGGTAACATGATAAAATAACCTACAGGCCAACCACTAAAAATGGAAAAGTGTTCTAACACATGATAAATTGTCATCTTCATTTATTGCAAAACAAGGTTGAAAATACTAACAAGAAGCCAAGTTCAACTTCATTTTAAGAGGCGTGTTCTGACATTTCACTATCTTTTATAATTAAAAAATCAAGAATAAGCAGATCAAGATGAAACTATGAACAATGAATTTCTCCATGGGGTTTGCATGGTAAGGAGTTTTGGCATTTCACTTATTGGTCTGTGTGTCACTTTAAAAGAAAAACCAAGTATAAAACTAAGTCATTTCTCCATGGGGTCGGTAGCCATGACAGGTTTTGGCATTTCACCATCATCAGCGATGGGTACTCTTGTACAGACCGAACAGTAAGGGCTGGCAAATCAAAATGATCAGAAAGAATCAAATTGTTTTTAAAATGTATTTGCAAATTTATTTGTTACTCAAGACTTAGTTCATCAAATGAACAGGCCAGGATAACACCTGTACCATCTGACAAACAAAACAGATAAGATAGGGAGGCCAAAATGATCAATAATGACCAAACTAAGAGTAAATTTAAATTTACTTTATTTACTACAATTAAAAAGTGAACAAGAAATATGAGACAAAAAGCTAAGTTTGAGGCTTAGTAGATCAAATGAACAGATTATATTAGGACATGCCTAGATTGTTTGACAAACCAAAACAGAGAGAATAGGCAAGACAAACTGATCACAAACGATCAAACTAAAATAAATTAATAACTTCATTTTTTGCAATTTAACATTGAAGAAGAAAATAATACACAAAAAGCCTGGTCCCACACTTAATTCATATAAAGAATAAGATAGGACAATATATGCGCCACCTGAAAAAATGTTCAAAGGGTACACACACCGATGAAAATGGTGAAATGTCAGAATACGAATAACTTAAGGTTCAACTAAGTTTCAAACAAAAAATAAATATTTTAATTAATCATGTGTTCAGAAAGTTGAAATTTAAAGAATTTTTTCATATTTTGATTACATTTTTGGTTTTTTCTGTTATAGTGAGACATAGACCATCAAATGAAAATGGTGAAAGCCAACCAGTGAAGATGGTGAAATGTCTGAACACGCCTTGATGACAATTTCAATTAAATTATAACATTAATTTGAAATGAGATGCAAAAGTGGTAGATGGAGTTGTTCATTTGTCATATGTCACATTTCAATTTATTTCATAGTGACAATGTTGTGATTTAGATTTCATGATTAGGCTAGATTAAAAAATAAAAGAGGATCTCGACAATGAGGGTAGAGACAATCGAGTCTAGAAGTGAACAAGTCGATTCCGTGTAGATGAGAGACACAAAGAAGTGTGCAATCCTGAAAAGAATTTAAAAAGTGTTGAATTCCCTAAAATAAAGTGCTTCGATCCACAGCAGATTGACTAAATAGTGAGTACCCATCCACCCTTGTTTCAAATGGTCTAGCAAACGGTTTGCATGAAATTTCTGTTTATTTAAATTTAAAAAAAAAATTGTTTTAAAACTGAAAAAGGAAAATTTAATTGATTCTAATTGTTCTTTTCCTATGTAATTAATGAATTGTTTTCAAACTTTAATTAAATTTTATTGTAAAAATGCACTTGATCGGTTGTATTCTGGTTTGATCATGACCTCTGGGGCTCTGTTCCTAATAAAAAGGATTCAGAGTTGGGCCTGTCTTGAACCATGAACAAACCATAACCCGTGTATGTGGCTAAGAGTTTGATTTTAGCTTTTGATTTGATAGACAAAGAAAAGATTTATTCCATTAAACAATATTTGATGGTTTTCAGCTATTAGATGTTAACCCTGAAGAAACTGAGGAGGATTGGGCTGTTCTAGATCTAGGCGCACGAAGGAAAGGAAGGTGTGCTGTTATCAAAACATCCACAAGATAGGTGTTTTTTATAATAAATTACATAATTGTTACGATTTGTTATTTGTATATACTTTTTTCCACTGTTATTTCACTACCTTTTTTTTAGCCCTATTTCCTCCCAGTTATTGGGCTAGTCAATGCAGAAAAACTAAAATGTGGTGATCTTGTCAGTAAATGTAAAGAATTGTTATGTAAAGTTCAACTTTAAACTTTCATGTACATAAAGATAAAGCAGTAAAGTAAAAGAATATTAAATGTTTCAAGTAAGTTTATTATAGACAATTAATTTAGAGAATGATGATGTCTTCAATTTTCCTCACTTGTAACAACATTCCTTTCCGTATTGTTTTGTGCTGAACCATTTTTTCTCAGCAAGCTTTCCACATTTCGCTGTTTGCTAATTGGCCTTCTAACATGTCGTGACATAATAACTGTTTTATTTTGAATTTTATTGTAATAGTTTGGTCCGATATTATTCAGTGGACTTAATGTCTTTACTTTCACAGTATTTTGAAGCGTTGACAAAGAAACACCATTTCCTCGTGTTAATTTTTGTTTACCATCATCCTGCTGTGTACCAATGTTATTATGTTCTCTTTTATCTACATTTGTGGCTCTAGGATTCAAATCTACAAATGTAGTATCAGACGCCTCGAACGATGTTATATCCTCAATTAATAAATCGCCCACGTATTGAGCCCCTTCTTGAGCTGAGGAACATCCTATTCGGGCGCCTACATTTGTTGATGTATTTGTTAATGGATGTGTTGTAAAGATATGTGAATGGTCATAGTGTTTCTTCTCACTAATGTCGCTACGGCAAGGCTTAACATGAATCAATTTAGTGTCAAAATCAGTGGAAGTAAAATCGTCAATTGTTATGTCATCAAGATGTTTCGATTCATTGTCTGTTAAAACTTTTATACATTCATCCTGTTTTACCAACTTTCTCTTTCGTCTAGATTTTGTTTTGATGTTTGTTCCATTATCAAGCCAAGCTTGTATCACATGTGTTTGGCTTGATTGCAATGCAGTTGTCGACGGGTCACATAGTTCATTTCCTGTCAACTTAGTCGATGAGCAAGATTTATGATTTGATGAAGATTCCGTCGTACAAGATTCTGAGGAATCACTGGCCGAATGTAAACGTGGAATGTTCAGAAGAGATGATTCTGTATCACTGTGTTCATCAGAGTCTGTCATTGGCGATTCATAATCCCCAGTATCTTCTAAACATTTGTATTCTTCTGATTTTGGGAATTTTCTCACCCAATCATTGTCCTCTTTCTTGTCCTGTGTATCTTCCGACTTTGATAAGGTCACTTTGAAGGGTGATTTTGGGAAGTAGTCCCACACGTTTATGGAATATTCTGTTGAAGGTTGCAAAGAACTAGATGATTTTCGAGTTTGTTTCTTTAAAGGCCCTTTTACGTTCTTATGCTCAGTATTTGAATTCTGGCTCGATGGCACTGAACATGGCCTATGATCTGAAAAACAAAACATAGCATTATGCAAAAAAAAAGTTATAAAAACATAATTTAGAGCAGAAAGTGATGTGTATGTATCTGAATATCCTGCTTAAAATATTAAACTAATTTCCTCTTTAACTTATAAACAACATTTTAAGGTGGATGGGGATTTTGGCCACATCTCTTACAAATCATAAAAAGTGAAAGTTGAATTAGAATATTTTGCAATATAGCCAAGAAAAAAGTTGGCTGTCTAGGTGTGAACCTCATATCACAGGTTATCTAAGTGAAAGCAATAAAATAAATGGTGATTTTTTCTAAAAACACCAGAGATGGCTTTATGAATAAAAGGCAAGTTTGATGTCAATTTATGTACAAAATTATCTTAACACTGAATATGGGTGGTGCAGATTAAATTTAATCCCAATACAAATAACCACACTAATACTTTTTTCTTTTTCAAAAACTTTAGTATTTTAGCAAATAAGAAAAAAAAGTACTTCTTTATATTTTCACCCTTAACAAAATAACCAACTTTAGGATGTAATTATATCAATATAACTGTAATCTTTTTTTTTTCTTTCAAATAAGAATTTTCAGTTTTGAAAAATTTTAGCTTACCATCTCTCTTATGTTTTTGTCCATTCTTAATATGTGTGTTATCTCTTTTAACTCTATTCTGCCGAGACTGAGGTTTTTCAACTTGCATAGCATTTTGGTCACAGATCATTAATTGTGCAGTGGCTTTCTTCATTCCTGAATCACACCAATCATCTAAAGAAGATTCTGTCGTAGAAATTTCTGAGGAGTCGCTACTTTCATTAGTACTATTCTTTGGTGTCTCATAATCCCCAGTATCTTCAAGACATTTGTATTCTTCAGATTTGGGTAATTTTCTCACCCAATCATTATCACCTTTTTTATCCTGTGTATCTTCTGAGTTTAATAAATTGTCCTTGTAATCTCCATTAAATGTCACTTTGAAGGGTGATCTCATGGAATAGTCCCACACATTTATCTTACACGTTTCCTCTGAATGTGGTGGCAAAGAGCTGGACGATTTTCTATTTCGCTTCGTTAAAGGTGCATTTCCATTCTTATGACACTCTAAACCAGACTTTGTTGTCAGGTGCTCTGTATTTAAATTCTGCCTGGTTATGTTTGATGGGGCTGATCTGCATTTTAATGGTTTTAAACGTGGCCTATGATCTATGTGTGGTGGTGGTGTAGTGACTATGTTACCATTTAATTTATTCCTAACTGTCTTGGTGGGTGAGCCACTTTTATTGTCTAATGAAGATTTTGACATACGTGTTCCTGAAGAGGTGCTACTAGCCGATCTTTTATATGCAATATTCAAAATTGATTCTGCGTCACTACTTTCATTGGTACTATTCTTTGATGACACATAATCCCCAGTATCTTCAAGACATTTGTATTCTTCCGATTTTGGAAATTTTGTTACCCAATCATTGTCAGCTTTCTTGTCCTGAGTGTCTTCTGAGTCTAATAAATTCTCCGAGTAATCTCCATTAAATGTCACTTTGAAGGGTGATCTTGTGCTATAATCCCACACGTTTATATTACATTTTGTTTCTTCTGGAGGTGGTAGAGAGCTAGATGATCTTCTAGTTCGTTTATGTTGTAAAGGTTCTTTTAAATTCTTGGGACAATCTACAGCAGACTTCGTTGTTAAATGCTCAGGGTTCGATATCTGTTTGGTCTCGTTTGATGCGGCTGGCCTGCATTTTAATGGTTTATAATCTGAAACAAAATATAAAATTATTCAAAAAAACGTAAGGTGTGAATTGACAACAAGTAATGTGAATTTACGTGAACATGCTATAAAAAATATCCTCAAACTTAGAATCTCAATTGTTAAACAAGTATACAAGAAGATGACATTGTTGCTGGAGATAAAAAATCAAATTTTTGTTTTGGCAAACTAAATTTATTCCTTAAATTATGATGCATGTAATGGACACAGTTTTGAATTTAAAAATAGACTATCTACTTCATGATAGGTTTAATTTAAAGAAAGAAATTAATTACAATATGGAATATGTAGCAACTTAAGTTATTAGCAGGCAAAAATGTCAAAAGTAAAAATAGCTTTATATTTTTTTAAATAGTAATGTGGTTTGAAAAGAAAAAAATTCCTTACATTTTATGCGTGTGTCCTTCATTACTGTAAAAGCTTGTACGCCATTAGACTTCAGCTCTTGTGTCACCCCATATTCGTCACATTTATTTTTCTCTTTTAGAGTACGGTTCTGCTGAGTTGCTGCTTTATCTTTTTGGATGATAGAGGCCTCTTCAGAAGGCATATGACTATTGTCCAAATTATCTGTTTTATTCCGTTCATCCGTAGGTTGCAATGTAAGAACTTGTACCACGTCATATTCATCAGTTTGTTTTGGGGTATAATTCTCCTGAGTTACTTCTGATTCTTGGTAGCTATCAGAAACCTGGTGTTCAGATTGAATAACACAGTTCTCCAGTTTATCTGGTTTATTCGATTCTTCAATAGATTGGAATGGAACTGAATAGCTATTTATATCATTGCAATTTTTCTCATTAGATATTTTCATTTCTGAACTTTGGTTTCCTTCTGGATTGTTCCTGTCAGTATTGCTAACTGGGGTACTCATGGAATCTAACCTTAAACATTCAATGGAAATTTCCTGCTTTTGCACATGTTCTCTTTTTCTCTTCCTATTTCTTAATTGTCTGGGTAATAATGGCTTATATTTTAAACCTAATATTACTGAACATGGCCGAGAATCTGAAATGGATTATTTGTTTAAGTTTCAATTGTATATGAATGATAAATTTACATTACAATTTATTCGTTTACTAATGTAATGCTTAATAATAAATTAATGCAAATGATTAATAAGAAAAAATCATAATATTGTTGAAATCTGGAATATTATCGTTACACTATTTTGAAATATACAGTATTTTAAGTTATTTAAAACAATTTAAAAATAATAAAAAATACATTTCTTACATTTATTTTGTCTGTTCTTAGTTTCAGCATCAGGTTTTCCAATTGCCATTTCATTAGACTGGAAATTGTGTCCTTCATCTGCCAGTTTCAGAAATTGTGGAACATCTTTTTCACTAATTTGTTCTAAGACCATATCATCATCACAATTTTTCAAGTTAGGTGGCTGAGGTTGTGCTTGGCCTTTTTTCATGGAATCTATCAACGAAAAGAAAGCGCATTGTATATTGCTGACCTCTTCGGTTTTTTCTACTTCCAAATCCAAGTCTTCCTCCGACGTGCTTCCATACGTATCGAAGTATTTCAAAAGGGATGGGTCATTTGCCTTCACGATCGTTCCTTTATTTATGTCAGTGCTGGTTATACATTCTATCACTGGATCTTGATCAGGACTTGGGACATAACCCATCGAGTCTATCAGCGACGAGAATGCAGTTTGTATATTATTGACTGCTTCTCTCGCGTCCAGATTGTCTGTTATACTCTGTAAGTCCTCCATAGAATTAAGACCAGTAAGGGAGGAGTTAAGTTCAGATGAGTCACTTGTATTCATGTTTCTCTCTGTATGTAGATCACTTTTAAAAACACACTCTCTGTCAGGATCGTGATCAGCACTTGGAATGTGATTAAATTGTAAAGTTCTATTTTCTTCTTCTGTAACAGCAAGCATCTGGCTGTTATTCATAAGTAAGGTGATTAATGGAGAGGGTTCATTTGCAGTGAAGCTCTGTTCTACACTCGCATAACTTTTAGTTACACACTCACTGGTTGACTTTTCATCAATATTCAGTTCACAACTATACAATAAGGCATTTTCTTCAGGTTCAGTTTCTGCAAGTTGTGATGGGCCTTTTTTCATTGATTCTATCAGAGAAAAGAAAGTGCATTGAATATTATTAACCTCTTCTGTTTTTTCAACTTCCAATTCCAAGTCCTCTGACGTGCTCCCGTACGTATCAAAGTATTTTAATAGAGACGGGTCATTTGCCTTCAGGAGCGTTCCTTCCTTATTATTTGTGACATTCTTGGGTACACACTCAATGACAGGATCTTCATCGGTATTTGCAGTACAATTCATTAAGTCCATCAAAGAAGAGAAAGCAGTATGCATATTACTGACTGCTTCTTTTATTTCCAAATCTAAGTCCTCTGTAGACTTCAGACACTTTTCTCCATTTGTGGCATTGTTGATTACACACTCTATAGCAGGATATTGATCAGCATATGGAGTGGAATTATACAGTAAATTATTTTGTTCTTCTTCTGTACCTGCAAATAGTGTATAGCCTTTGTTCGTAGAGCTTAACCAAGATAGGAATGCATTTTCTACATTATTGGCTTCTTCCTTTTTTTCCAAGTTTTCTGAAGGGCTGTGTTTAATCTCTAAGCTCCCTGGAGGGGTCACATATGAGAGGTTTAATTGAGACAATTGACGTGTTTCTAAGGTTGGATCTAGATTGGTAGTTGAAATGTAATTAGACGGTAAAGTATATTTTTCTGGTTCCGTAACTACCTCTTGTGTCTGTCCTTTTTCCATGTAACATATTCTAGAAGAGAAAGCACTTTGTACATTATTGATTTCTTCTGCTATTTCTATGTCTTCCTGTGGACTATGTTTAAGTTTGCATTCTAAAGTTTCTGAAGTGCTGGCATTCATATTGAAGGACTGTAATCCAGATGAGTCATATGCTTTCAGGAACTTTTCTCTGTTTATGTCATTGCTGGTTATACAATCTGTGGATAGATCTAGATTGGTATTTGGAACAGAATTCGTTGAGTCTATGAAAGAGAAGATTTCAGTATGAATGCTATTGACTTCTTCTCTTGTTTCCAAGTTTTCTGATGGACTTAGTAAGTCCTCCTTAGAACTCATATATGTATGAACCGAGTTTAATTCAGTTGAGTCAATATTGTTCAAGCTTTCTGTATTTATGTCACTTTGAATTACACGCTCCATAGAATGTTCTTCATCAGTACATGGAATACTAGAATACTGTAAAGTATTTGTTTCTTCTCCTGTAATTTCAAATTTCTGACCTTTTTTCGTAGGGCTTAATATAGAAAAGCATGCACTTGGTTCATTATTATCTTCTGTTCTCGCCAATTTTTCATACAAACTGGGTTTTGGTGTAATTTCTAAGCTCTCCTTGTTTGAACATGTATGTAAGGAGTTTAATTCAGATGGTTTATTTCCATTCAAGCTCATCTCTGCCTGTGTATAATTTTTGATTGTGTATTCTATAGGTGGATTTTGATCGGTATTTGGAATGTGTGTGGACTTTATCAGCACCAAATTTGATTGCAAGTTATGTTGTTCCTCTGTCAATTTCTGTAATTGTGACCCTTCTTTGACTTCTTTTAACAATTCATGGACATTACACCAGGACAATGTTTCTTGTGGAACTGCATCATCACTGCCATCCACCTTTTGAATTGTGTAATTGTGCTTTGCTTCCTTTTCTTCATGACAATAAGGAATTTTCTCTGCTTGTGTAAAACTGGTGTTCCAATTATCTATTTTACTTAATTCAATGCTACACTGCAATGGAAAAGAACAGTCAGACATATCACAATCATCGTTCTCATCAGACAATGTTGCAAAGTCTTTTTGGTAAATTTTCATGTCGGCTCTTTCATTTTTTATGGGAAAGTTCTCTGAAATTCTCAAATTGGTATCCTCGTTTTTTATCTCAAATGGCTCAATTTTAATTTGCTCTTCTAAACCAAAAATGAATTTATCATCCAGACAGATTTGTGTACATTGTGTAATTGAACTTTCCTCTGCTTGAACATAGTTTTGATTCCCATCATCTTCACTTTGTTTCAATTCTTTTATTTCAGAGATCTCAACTTCCTCAGTTTGTGTGATTTGCTCTTTTGAAATCATAGAGGATTGGTCTGTTTGTACGATTTGTTCATTTAGAGACACAGTGATTTTGTCAGTCTGTATACTAAGTTCACATGTGCTCTGAATGATTCTGTCCGTTTGTACATATCGTTTACAGACTCTCATTGCTACTTTTTCCGTCTGTATCATTTTTTCGCTAACACTGTAATTAGGGATAATTAGTGTGTGCTCAGTTTGGATGAGCTTTTCACTAACCCGTACAGAATTGGGTTCAGTCTGGATCGTTTTTTCTTTGTACTTAAAAACTGTCGATTTAGTCTGTGTCGCGTGTTCATTGACAGATACAGCTTTGATTACATCTGTCTGTGTAATTTCACTTTTTAAAAAAATTACAGTCTGATCTGTTTGAACTGAGTGCTCACTAGCAAACAAAGCTATTTTATCTGTTTGGGTTCTTTCTTGTTTGGAACTAATAGCAGTTTGGACCATTTTTTCACAGTTAACAACAGCTATTTCATCTGTCTGTGTTGTTTGTTGTTTTGTAATAACAGTAGTTTGAATCATTTGTTCACTCCTAAACAAAGTTATTTTATCTGTCTGTGTGGTCTGTGTATACTGTTTTATACTAATTGCTATTACGCTATGTTCAGTTTGAACCATACGTTCACTGCTACACACTACTGTTTTTTCTGTCTGAGTTTGTTGTTCTTTAATAATAATAGTAGCTTGTTCAGTCTGTATGTTTTGTTCCAATGTTATATTAGATTGCTGGCATTTACACTTTCGGTTGCTGTAGGAATAATCATCTACCTTTGCAACACTCCTTTCAATGCAAACTCTCTTCTTTTGTATTTCTGCCAAATTCTTAAAATTCCTATACTTTTTATACATATTTCTTATAGCAGTTTTCGGCAATAATCGTGTTCGCCCTCCTTTTATATCTACATGAACGACCGTATTGCATTGTAATTTAAGAATTTTGTTTGTTGCTGTTTGTGAATTATTTGTTGGTACACACTGTTCTTTAATAATTTTACCTAATTTTTCATTATTCGAAATTTCAATAGGGTCAATTGGCATTTTCACATTTTCACACAACGAATTTTCTGTTGTTTTGTGTGGTTTTGTAGCTTGAATTTTAATATTGTAAACCAAATTAGTAGGATGATTTTTCAGAATAACTCTAACTTTTGATTTATCATCATTTAAGTTGCAATCCATGTTTTGAGAATGTTTTTGCTTATTTATTTCCTCAAAGGCAGGATCACTTATACCATTATTTGTGCCTTGAAAGATTGCAGCAGAGGACGTGTGCAGCCTCTTAATGTTTTCTTGATGTTCTTCATTCATTTCAAGCCAATGAATGCATTTGTGTTTGTAATTTTCCTCTTTCATATACAAATACGATTTCTCTTCTTGTTTAANTAAAAAATTATTATTATTATTTATATTTTATATTTATTATTTTTTAATTGCATTTATTTATTTACAAAAAAAGATCCCAAAATATTGGCAAATGTATAAAGTTTATTTAAGTTAAATAATTTCTTTGGACGAACGTGTTTTTAAAAAACTTTTATTCAAAGAAATTACAAATAAAGCTGATATACATTCAGAACTTTATGAATCTAAATCAAATCTCGTCAATATGCTTTCGGGAAATCTGGCTTAAGACTAACGTTTGTTAAAATAAAAATCCTTATAAAATTTCTAGAGTGGGAGAGAATGCTGATGACAATTCTAGGAGCAACACCTGCATCCCAGCATTGTCATCATATTATTTATTTAACACAATGTTTATACTCGTATATAACTTTTATAAAAAACAAATTACACTTCCTAAATAGATATAAAAAGATAAATTAATAAAAATGAACCATAAAGGAAAGTAAAATGGGAAAAAAAAATACCAACATAAAAAAGGGAATATGCTCAAAGTTTCCATTAAAGGTACCGAAACCTGAATGCCTGAATTCAAAAAAATAACTTTTCCGTGGATTCTTAGATAAACCTCGTTACAACAAGATGTCTGACTATTATTCACTCTCTTATGTTATGTTGAAGTAGAACATCTCAACTGATGTATTCAGTTAATAAAATAAAAGTTCTTTTTTAAAAAAAGTTCCATTGATCTGCCTGAGTTAATTGGCGCAGTAAGTAGAATGATTAACATTTTGAAGAATATCAAATTGCCTGTTTTCAGAGTCAATTAGCCAAACTCAATTTGGGCGTTATTTGTCATTGAGTCAAGCTCCTCGAAATTCAACAAAGATTCTAGAAAGACCAGAGGTCATGGTGAATTTGATCTTCATACTCTTGAAAGAATACTTTTTTTTATTGTAAACAAAAAACAACTGAATATAACTGGATACACTAAACATATAATAATTCTTTATTCTAACTCATCATCAGTTATCAATTTTAACAACTTCAATTCAAAACTACCCTACCTAAGAAATTAAATAAATAAAAGCAAGGTGACAGCAGAACTCAAATGACAATACCTAGAAATGGTATCAGAATTCACGGGTGAGCCAGCCATTTTTAAATATGTCTTATCAAGTATAAGAAAGAAGATCATAAAAGCGTGGCATCGGACATTCTAGAGAACTGCACAATAAACTGTTGGTTAGATTTAAAGAAAGTCCTCCATCATGCCTACTCTGATAAAAAGAACTTGTTTTCACTGCAAATAGAAATTACCAAACTGACATAACAATCGAACTAATAACATTTTGTTTTTTCCATCTTTTCTAATTAAACCAATTGCAAAATCCAACCCCTCTTAAAAATTTAAATACTATACTCAATTACATAATGTACCAATCACATTAAGATGAGAAAATAAATCATCCCCCAAAACAGCAAGCATTAAGGCCTCTTTCAGACGAGCCAGCTCGTTGAATGGATGGGTCAAGGAGTGTAACTTGGTAGCAAAATGCTTGGGAATTGCCCATCCCCTTCACACATAATCAACTCATCCGCCCAGGCGGGTGGCCAGCAAGCACAAGTTTGGAGGGAAGTAGCACAACAGTATCAGAGAAAGCGCCGGTTTCCCAATTTTACAGCAATGGATAAACCCACACTTTTCATTACTGGGTTTCTTCTTTCCTTCTCTTTTTGCAGAAGAGCAGACACAAGAAGTGCTGATGCTTTCTTGGGTTCTAACATCATACTGAACTCCTGTTTGGAAGAGAGGTTGATTCCACAACTTGCCTGGTGGGAAACCAGCAAAGAAGAGTCTTACATGGCAGTAAACTAACTGAGATTGGGCAACTTAGTTGAATCAACGAAACCGGCTCGTCTGAAAAAGGCCTAAATGGATGTAACATACAGCCAATGCACCAAGTCGGTTCAAAGCAGAGTAAAACATCTTTTCAGAACAAACCATCTTTTCAGAAATCAAATAACTTTTTCACACGATAGAATACTAAATTTGACCAGTATCCCCCTAACTGCTCAATAAAAATACATAATATCACTGACCAAGAAATTGATGGAAACTGATCATTTAGGATACGCAGGACAACATCAATTTTTTACAAACGAACATAATTTTTTAGAGTCCCCTACAAATTACCAGAATGTCACTTAATGAATCTTTCCGAAAAACCATGCCTGCTGTACATATCATGGAAAATACTTTATTTAAAATTGCTGTTAGACGCTGGCAGCACATCATCTTTTTTTAACCCTAAAGTCACAGAAAATTACTTTAACCAAAATGTTCGTACGGAACCATTCAAAATTTCTACCATACACACAACTTACATTACAATTACAGCACATAGGTACCTTGTGCAGAACTTTTTCAAATTACACATTTAATTTTAAAATTTAGAATATTTCTGTATTGTTAAAAATTTTAATGAAAATGAATCAAAAATGATGAGGAGTTGGAAGCAAAGATTTATTTAATTGGGAGATATGTAAAAAAATTGAAATCAAAGACACATTGCATCAATTACAAACATTATATAACCAACTCTTGAAAACTTTGGAAGAAATTGAAAATTCAGTTGTTTTTTGTAAAATTGGGACATTTCACCCTTTTATCATTAGTGTTCATGAATTGTTTTCCATGCTCCACATTTTTATGCTCAAAGTTGCTGTTAAAGATACCAAAACCAGAATGCCTGAATTAAGAAAAAAATTACAACAGCTCAAGAAACATTGGGGAAGACATCTGATACAGATGACAAGAAACAGATAAAGAAATAATCACAAGGATTTCACTCCGACAAATCTGATGGACACAGAAACTTGGACAGAATGGGCGATGGGAAAACAAATATAAATCATTACACCGAGGAACAAGTATATTTACAACAAATTCAAGGGAAATTAGAAAAAACATTTTCATTACTACACAAAGTTCAATCAGGATCTTACAAATTACAAAACGCTACGTTGAAAGTATCTAAACGCAACAGAAGCAAATTTGGAAATCACATTCCACAACCGCATAAAGGAGATGAAGACAGTAGACAGATAATAGCGCAGACCAAAACAAATGTCAGCAGTCAAAAGGAATGTGCATTAAATGTTACAAAACCAAGAACTGTAGCTAATAAAAATAATACTTACTTGAGCGCAATGAACATATTGAAGACGGAAGAAGATCAAATCAGAAGAGATTTGTTGCAACAAATAGACACATGCGATATTGCATTTTATACTGATAGTTCAATCTTTGAGAATTCAGACAGTGAAGAAAGAATGTCTACCTTCAGCATATTTTGTGAATCGACTGGAACATCTTCAGAAGGTGGGGACCTTTCATCAGAATCACTAGGTACTGTTCAGGATAATAAAAGAGACATAAATAGAACATGTGCACCTTCCTTGCACTTCAATAACTCGGGAATAACTACTGACTTTAAGCCCCACAATATCAATCAAGCCAGGACAAAAGCCGTTTTGGATGCTGACATACCACTTCCTCCTGTATCATCTTTTTGCGAATATACAATTAAACAAGAAGAGAAATCGTATTTGTATATGAAAGAGGAAAATTACAAACACAAATGCATTCATTGGCTTGAAATGAATGAAGAACATCAAGAAAACATTAAGAGGCTGCACACGTCCTCTGCTGCAATCTTTCAAGGCACAAATAATGGTATAAGTGATCCTGCCCTTGAGGAAATAAATAAGCAAAAACATTCTCAAAACAAGGATTGCAACTTAAATGATGATAAATCAAAAGTTAGAGTTATTCTGAAAAATCATCCTACTAATTTGGTTTACAATATTAAAATTCAAGCTACAAAACCGCACAAAACAACAGAAAATTCGTTGTGTGAAAATGTGAAAATGCCAGTTGACCCTATCGCAATTTCGAATAATGAAAAATTACGCGAGCTTACCAAAGAACACTGTATATCAACGAATAATTCACAAACAGCAACAAACAAAATTCTTAAATTACAATGCAATACGGTTGTTCATGTGGATATAAAAGGAGGCCGAACACGATTATTGCCGAAAACTGCTATAAGAAATATGTATAAAAAGTATAGTAATTTTAAGAATTTGGCAGAAATACAAAAGAAGAGAGTTTGCATTGAAAGGAGTGTTGCAAAGGAGATGATTATTCCTACAGCAACCAAAAGTGTAAATGCCAGCAATCTAATATAACATTGGAACAAATCATACAGACTGAACAAGCTACTATTATAATTAAAGAACAACAAACTCAGACAGAAAAAACAGTACTGTGTAGCAGCGAACGGATGGTTTAAATTGAACATAGCACAATAGCAATCAGTATAAAACAGGATACACAGACCACACAGGCAGATAAAATAACTTTGTTTAGCAGTGAACAAATGACTCAAACTACTGTTAGTACAAAACAACAAACAACACAGACAGAGGAAATAGCTGTTGGTAACTGTGAAAAAATGGTCCAAACTGCTATTAGTTCAAAACAAGAAAGAACCCAAACAGATAAAATAGCTTTGTTTACTAGAGAACACACAGTTCAAACAGATCAGACTGTAATTTTTTTAAAAACGTGACAGACAGATGTAATCAAAGCTGTATCTGTCAATGAACACGTGGCACAAACAGAATCTACAGTTTTTATTAACAAAGAAAAAACCATCCAGACCGAACCTAATTATGTATGGGTTAGTGAAAAGCTCATCCAAACTGAGCAAACACTAATTATCCTTAATTACAGTGTTAGTGAGAAAGTGATACAGACGGCAAAAGTAGCAATGAGAATCTGTAAACGATATGTACAAATGGACAGAATCATTCAGAGCACATGTGAACTAAGTAGGCAGACTGACAAAATCACTGTGCCTCTAAATGAACAAATCGTTCAAACTGACCATCTGTGAAATAAAATAATTGAAACAAACTGAAGATGATGGGAATCAAAACTATGTTCAAGCAGAGGAAAGTTCAATTACACAATGTACACGAATCTGTCCGGATGATAAATTCATTTTTGGTCTAGAAGAGCAAATTAAAATTGAGCAATTTGAGATAAAAAATGTGGATACAAATTCGAGAACAACAGAGAACTTTCTCATAGAAAACGAAAGTGCTGACATGAGAATTTACCAAAAAGACTTTGCAACATTGTCTGATGAGAATGATGACTGTGATATGACTGACAGTTCTTTTCCGTTGCAGGGTTACACTTTTATTTTTTAGTAAAAAGAATTTCGTAAAATAGATAATTGGAACACCAGTGTTACACAAGCAGAGAAAATTCCTTATTGTCATGAAGAAAAGGAAGCAAAGCCCAATTACACAATTCAGAAGGTGGATGGCAGTGATGATGCAGTTCCACAAGAAACATTGTCCTGGTGTAATGTCCCTGAATTGTTAAAAGAAGTCAGACGAACAACATAACTTGCAATCTCATTTGGTGCAGATACAGTCCACACACATTCCAAATACCAATCAAAATCCACCCATAGAGTACACAATCAAAAATTGCACAAACGCAGAGATGAGCTTGAATGGAAATAAACCGTCTGAATTAAACCCCTTACATACATGTTCAAAGAAGGAGAGCTTAGAAATTATACCAAAACCCAGTCTTTATGAAAAATTGGCAAGAACAGAAGACAATAATGAACCAAGTGCATGCTTTTCTATATTAAACTCTACAAAAAAAGGTCAGAAGCTTGAAATTACAGGAGAAGAAACAAATCGTTTTCAGTATTCTAGTATTCCATGTACTTATGAAGAACATTCTATGGAGCGTGTAATTCAAAGTGACATAAATACAGAAAACTTCAACAAAATTGACTCAACTGAATTAAACTCAGTCCATATGTATACGAGTTCTAAGGAGGATTTACTAAGTCTATCAGAAAACTTGGAAACAAAAGTCTATAATATCCATACTGTGTTCTCCTCTTTGATAGAATCAGCAAATTCAGTTTCAAATACCAACCTAGACCCATTCACAGATTGTCTAACCAGCAATGACATAAACAGAGAAAAGTTCCCCAAAGCATATGACTCATCTGGATTACAATCCTTCGATATGAATGCCAGCACTTCAGAAAATTCAGAATGTAAACTTAAACATAGTAACAGGAAGAGGTAGAAATAGCAGAAGAAATCAACAATGTACAAAGTGCTTTCTCTTCTAGTATTTGCTCCATGGAAAAAGGACAAGCACAAGATGTAGTTACGGAATCAGAAAAATATACTTTTCTGTCTAATTACATTTCAACTACCAATCTAGATCCAGCCTTAGAAGCATGTGAATTGTCTCAATCAAACCTCTCATATGTGACCACTCTGGAGAGCTTAGAGACTAAACACAGCCCTTCAGAAAACTTGGAAAAAAAGGAAGAAGCCAATCATGTAGAAAATGCATTCTTTTCTAGGATAAGCTCTACTAAAAAAGGCCATACACAACTTGCAGGTACAGAAGATGAAAAAAATACCTTTCAGAATAATTCCATATGCTCATCAAGATCCAGCTATAGAGGGTGTAATCAACAATGCCACAAATGGAGAAAAGTGTTTGAAGTCTACAGAGGACTTAGATTTGGAAATAAAAGAAACAGTCAGTAATATGCATACTGGTTTCTCTTCTTTGATGGACTTAATGAATTGCACTGCAAATACCGATGAAGATCCCGTTATAGAGTGTGTACCCAGGAATATCACAAATAACAATATGAAATTTAAAAAAAATGTAATTCCCATTATTTCTACCTATGTTGGTGGACTGTATTCTGTGCATCGTAATTTTCAAATTAATGATAATTTGTGTAATAATTTTTTGCAAAAAGAGATAAGTTTTTATTGTAAATAACTTAACAAAATGTAATCCGGATGCTCTGGAGATGAAAAAACTAATAATTGTATTAACCAATGTAACATATACTTGAATAATGTAATTAGTGGTATAAAATTGTAATAATTGTATTTGAGACCTTAATGAATACTGATGTTAATTGTAAATGATTTAAACCTTCATGGAAGTTCTAACTTGAGTAGCGAGGAGTTGTCAAATTATTATTTTCAAATCGTGGTAAAGTACATAAGTTATTCTTCCCACGTATGTAGACACATGTAGGCAGTATTCTTAGAAACTACATAAGCAGCGTTAAACTACATTTTCCCCCTCTCCTGACCAATGTTCACAAAGATGAAATTTAAAGTATTTTTTCATGATATTTTGTTTCATTGTAAACAAGCCAACCAGCAAAGATGGTGAAAGGTCATAACACACCTGTTAAATGAAGGTTGAACTAAGTTTTGAACTTGGCTTTTGTCATTTACAGCCTCAATTTGAAAGAAAAGAAGATAACAATTTATCAGATGTGTTAGAACACTTTTACATTTTTACTGGTTGGCCTGTGTGTTATTTTGTCATGTTACTATCACCCATACATTTACATCAATATAATGTAAAGTTCAATTTTCAACTCTCATGTACAACTATAGATCAGTAAAGTACAATTTTAAATGTTTCAAAGTAAGTTTATTGTTGACAATTAATTTAGAGAATGATGATGTCTTCAATTTTCCTTACTTGTTTCAACATTCCTTTCCGCATCGTTTTGTACCGAAACATTTTTTCTCACCGAGCTTTCCACATTTCTCTGTTTGCTAATTGGTCTTCTAACATGTCGTGACATAATAACTGTTTTATCTTGAATTTTATTATAATAGTTTGGTCCGATATTATTCAGTGGACTTAATGTCTTTACTTTCACAGTATTTTGAAACGTTGACAAAGAAACCCCATTTCCTCGTGTTAATTCTTGTTTACCATCATCCTGCTGTGTAAAACTGTTATGTTCCCTTTTTTCTACATGTGTGGGTCTACGTTTTAAATCTACAAATGTAGTACCAGATGCCTCGAATGATGTTACATCCTCAATGCATAAATCACCCACGTATTGAGCCGCTTCTTTAGCTGAGGAATATCCTATTCGTGCGCTTACATTTGTTGATGTATTTGTTAATGGATGTGTTGTAAAGATATGTGAATGGTCATAGTGTTTGTTCTCACTAATGTCGCTACGGCAAGGCTTAACACGAATCAATTTAGTGTCAAAATCAGGTGAAATAAATTCGTCAATTATCATGTTATCAACAGTTTTCGACTCATTGTCTGTTGAAACTTTTATGGACTCATCCTGTTTTACCAACTTTTTCTTTCGTCGGGATTTTGTTTTAATGTTTGTTCCATTATCAAGCCAAGCTTGTATCACGTGTGTTTGACTTGCTGGCAGTGGAGTTGTCGACGTGTCAGATAATTTTCCTTTCGACTTAGTCGGTGAGCCAGATTTATGATTTGATGAAGATTCCGTCGTACAAGATTCTGAGGAATCACTGGCCGAATGTAAACGTGGAATGTTTAGAAGAGATGATTCTGTATCACTGTGTTCATCAGTGTCTGTCATTGGCGATTCATAATCCCCAGTATCTTCTAAACATTTGTATTCTTCGGACTTTGGGAATTTTCTCACCCAATCATTGTCCTCTTTCTTGTCCTGTGTATCTGACTTTGATAAGGTCACTTTGAAGGGTGATTTTGGGAAGTAGTCCCACACATTTATAGAATATTCTGTTGAAGGCTGCAAAGAACTAGATGATTTTTGAGTTTGTTTCTTTAAAGGCCCTTTTACGTTCTTATGACAATCTAAACCTGTCGTTGTCGTCAAGTGCTCAGTATTTGAATTCTGGCTCAATGGCACTGAAAAACAAAATATAGCATTATGCAAAAAAAAGTTATGAAAACATAATTGGGAGCAGAAAGTGATATCATAATATCCTGCATAAAATATTAAACTAATTTCCTCTTTAACTTATAAACAACATTTTAAGGTGGATGGGGATTTTCGCCACATGTCTTACAAATCCATAAAAAGTGAAAGTTGAATTAGAATATTTCGCAATGTAGCCAAAAAAAAGTTGGCTGTCTAGGTGTGAACCTCATATCACAGGTTTTCTAAGTGAAAGCAATAAAAAAATGGTGATTTTTTCTAAATACACAGAGATGGCTTCATGAATATAACAACAAGAAAGTTTGATGTCAATTTATGTACAAAATTGTCTTAACACTGAATATGGGTGGTGCAGATTAAATTTAATCCCAATACAAATAACCACACTAATACTTTTTTCTTTTTCAAAAACTTTAGTATTTTAGCAAATAAGAAAAAAAAGTACTTCTTTATATTTTCACCCTTAACAAAATAACCAACTTTAGGATGTAATTATATCAATATAACTGTAATCTTTTTTTTTTCTTTCAAATAAGAATTTTCAGTTTTGAAAAATTTTAGCTTACCATCTCTCTTATGTTTTTGTCCATTCTTAATATGTGTGTTATCTCTTTTAACTCTATTCTGCCGAGACTGAGGTTTTTCAACTTGCATAGCATTTTGGTCACAGATCATTAATTGTGCAGTGGCTTTCTTCATTCTTGAATCACACCCATCATCTAAAGAAGATTCTGCCGTAGAAGTTTCTGAGGAGTCGCTACTTTCATTAGTACTGTTCTTTGGTGTCTCATAATCCCCAGTATCTTCAAGACATTTGTATTCTTCAGATTTGGGTAATTTTCTCACCCAATCATTATCACCTTTTTTGTCCTGTGTATCTTCTGAGTTTAATAAATTGTCCTTGTAATCTCCATTAAATGTCACTTTGAAGGGTGATCTCATGGAATAGTCCCACACATTTATCTTACTCGTTTCCTCTGAATGTGGTGGCAAAGAGCTGGACGATTTTCTATTTCGCTTCGTTACAGGTGCATTTCCATTCTTATGACTATCTAAACCAGACTTTGTTGTCAGGTGCTCTGTATTTGAATTCTGCCTGGTTATGTTTGATGGGGCTGATCTGCATTTTAATGGTTTTAAACGTGGCCTATGATCTAAAATTGAAATATAACATTATGCAAAAAAATCATTAGGTTGTGAATTGAGAAAATTAAGTAATATATAACATGTATATATGTGAATATCATGTAAAAATATATCTCTTAAAATTAAAATGCCAATTGCAAAACACTTTTACAAACAATCAACATAAAAAAGATGTAACTCATAAAATTCAAATCTGTGACAAGTGAAAGTTGAAATAGGACATCATTGACAAAGAAAAAAGTTTACCGCTAAAGAATTTTATTGCCACTCATATCTATATGAATCATGGATCATCTAATCAAAAACCGTATTAATGAGATGATGTGAAAATAACATGGGGAAAGTTTTAAGACACTATATGAGCAAAATATCTGTGTACATTTATGATTTAAACGTCTTAAACTTTTTGAACTCTTTTATCTTACCATCTTTTATATGTTTTTGTCCATCCTTAAATTCTGTGTTATCTCTGTTAGTAGGATTTGTTTCCGGCTGAATGTTGGCTGATAATTGATTGGTATCAATATCATTGTGTGCCTTATTTACCAATTTTTTCTTTCCCCTTGACTTTGGTTTAATGTTAGAATCTATGTGTGGTGGTGGTGTAGTGACTGTGTTAGCATTTAATTTATTCCTAACTATCTTGGTGGGTGAGCCACTTTTATTGTCCAATGAAGATTTTGACATACATGTTCCTGAAGAGGTGCCACTAGCCGATCTTTTACTTGGAATATTAAAAATTGATTCTGCGTCACTACTTTCATTGGTACTATTCCTTGGTGACACATAATCCCCTGTATCTTCAAGACATTTGTATTCTTCAGATTTTGGAAATTTTCTTACCCAATCATTGTCAGCTTTCTTGTCCTGAGTGTCTTCTGAGTCTAATAAATTCTCCGAGTAATCTCCATTAAATGTCACTTTGAAGGGTGATCTTGTGCTATAATCCCACACGTTTATATTACATTTTGTTTCTTCTGGAGGTGGTAGAGAGCTAGATGATCTTCTAGTTCGTTTATGTTGTAAAGGTTCTTTTAAATTCTTGGGACAATCTACAGCATACTTCGTTGTCAAATGCTCAGGGTTCGATATCTGTTTGGTCCCGTTTGATGAAGCTGGCCTGCATTTTAATGGTTTATAATCTGAAACAAAATATAAAATTATGCAAAAAAACGTAAGGTGTGAATTGACAACAAGTGATGTGAATTTACGTGAACATGCTGTAAAAAATATCCTCAAACTTAGAACCTCAATTGTTAAACAAGAATACAACATGACATTATTGCTGGAGAAAAAAAAATCAAATTTTTGTTTTTGCATATTTTTTTAAACTAAATATATTCCTTAAATTATGATGCATATAAGGGACACAGTTTTGAATTTTAAAATAGACTATTTACTTCATGATAGGTTTAAATTGAAGAAAGAAATTAATTACACCATCAAATATGTAGCACCTTAATTTAAGTAATTAGCAGGCAAAAATGTCAAATGTAAAAATAGTCTCATATTTTCTTAAATAGTAATGTAGTTCGAAAAGAAAAAAAAAATTCCTTACATTTTATTCGTCTGTCCTTCATTGCTGTCAAAGCTTGTATATCATTAGACTTCTGCTGTGTCACCACATATTCGTCACATTTATTTCTCTCTGTTAGAGTATCGTTCTGCTGAGTTGCTGCTGTATCTTCTTGGATGATGGAGGCCTCTTCAGAATGCATTTGGCTTTTGTCCAAATTATCTGTTTTATTCAGATCAACCATAGGTTGCAATGTATGAACTTGTGCCTCCCCATATCCGTCACATTTATTTCTCTCTGTTAGAGTACGGTTCTGCAGCGTTGCTGCTGAATCTTTTTGGATAATAGAAGGCTCGTCACAATGCATATTATGGCTGTTGTCCAAATTATCTGTTTTATTCTGTTCATCTGTAGGTTGAAATATATGATCTTGTGCCACCCCATGTATATCAGTTTGTTTTGGCGTATAGTTCTCCTGAGTTACTGATTCTTGGTAGCTATCAGAAACCTGGTGTTCAGATTGCATAACACAGTTCTCCAGTTTATCTGGTTTATTTGATTCTTCAATAGATAGGAATGGAACTGAATAGCTATTTATATCATTGCAATTTTTCTCATTAGATATTTTCATTTCTGAACTTTGGTTTCCTTCTGGATTGTTCCTGTCAATATCGCTAACTGGGGTACTCATGGAATCTAACCTTAAACATTCAACGGAAATTTCCTGCTTTTGCACATGTTCTCTTTTTCTCTTCCTATTTCTTAATTGTCTGGGTAATAATGGCTTATATTTTAAACCTAATATTACTGAACATGGCCGAGAATCTGAAATGGATTATTTGTTTAAGTTTCAATTATATATGAATGATAAATTTACATTACAATTTATTCGTTTACTAATGTAATGCTTAATAATAAATTAATGCAAATGATTAATAAGAAAAAATCATAATATTGTTGAAATCTGGAATATTATCGTTACACTATTTTGAAATATACAGTATTTTAAGTTATTTAAAACAGTTTAAAAATAATAAAAAATGCATTTCTTACATTTATTTTGTCTGTTCTTAATTTCAGCATCAGGTTTTCCAATTGGCATTTCATTAGTCTGGAAATTGTGTCCTTCATCTGCCAGTTTCAGAAATTGTGGAACATCTTTTTCACTAATTTGTTCTAAGACTATATCATCATCACATTTTTTCAAGTTAGGTGGTTGAGGTTGTGCTTGGCCTTTTTTCATGGAGTCTATCAACGAAAAGAAAGCGCATTGTATATTACTGACCTCTTCGGTTTTTTCCACTTCCAAGTCCAAATCTTCCTCCGACGTGCTTCCATACGTATCGAAGTATTTCAGAAGGGATGGGTCATTTGCCTTCACGATTGTTCCTTTATTTATGTCAGTGCTGGTTATACATTCTATCACTGGATCTTGATCAGGACTTGGGACATAACCCATCGAGTCTATCAGCGACGAGAATGCAGTTTGTATATTATTGACTGCTTCTCTCGTGTCCAGATTGTCTGTTATACTCTGTAAGTCCTCCATAGAATTAAGACCAGTAAGGGAGGAGTTAAGTTCAGATGAGTCACTTGTATTCATGTTTCTCTCTGTGTTTAGATCACTTTTAAAAACACACTCTCTGGCAGGATCATGATCAGCACTTGGAATGTGATTAAATTGTGAAGTTCTATTTTCTTCTTCTGTAACAGCAAGCGTCTGGCTGTTATTCATAAGTAAGGAGATTAATGGAGAGGGTTCATTTGCATTCAAGCTCTGTTCTACACTTGCATAACTTTTAGTTACACACTCACTGGTTGACTTTTCATCAATATTCGGTTCACAACTATACATTAAGGCATTTTCTTCAGGTTCAGTTTCTGCAAGTTGTGATGGGCCTTTTTTCATTGATTCTATCAGAGAGAAGAAAGTGCATTGAATATTATTAACCTCTTCTGTTTTTTCCACTTCCAATTCCAAGTCCTCTGACGTGCTCCCGTACGTATCAAAGTATTTTAATAGAGACGGGTCATTTGCCTTCAGGAGCGTTCCTTCCTTATTATTTGTGACATTCTTGGGTACACACTCTATGACAGGATCTTCATCGGTATTTGCAGTACAATTCATTAAGTCCATCAAGGAAGAGAAAGCAGTATGCATATTACTGACTGCTTCTTTTATTTCCAAATCTAAATCCTCTGTAGATTTCAAACACTTTTCTCCATTTGTAGCATTGTTGATTACATCCTCTATAGCAGGATATTGATCAGCATATGGAGTGGAATTATACAATAAATTATTTTGTTCTTCTTCTGTATCTGCAAATAGTGTATGGCCTTTGTTCGTAGAGCTTATCCAAGATAGGAATGCATTTTCTACATTATTGGCTTCTTCCTTTTTTTCCAAGTTTTCTGAAGGGCTGTATTTAGTCTCTAAGCTCTCCAGAGGGGTCACATGTGAGAGGTTTGATTGAGACAATTGACGTGTTTCTAAGGTTGGATCTAGATTGGTACTCGAAATGTAATTAGACGGTAAAGTATATTTTTCTGGTTCCGTAACTACATCTTGTGCTTGTCCTTTTTCCATGGAACATATTCTAGAAGAGAAAGCACTTTTTACATTATTGATTTCTTCTGCTATTTCTATGTCTTCCTGTGGACTATGTTTACATTCTAAAGTTTGTGAAGTGCTGGCATTCATATTGAAGGAATGTAATCCAGATGAGTCATATGCTTTCGGGAACGTTTCTCTGTTTATGTCATTGCTGGTTATACAATCTGTGGATGGGTCTAGATTGGTATTTGGAACATAATCCATCGAGTCTATCAGCGACGGGAATGCAGTTTGTATATTATTGACTGCTTCTCTTGTGTCCAGGTTGTCTGATAGGCTCTGTACGTCCTCCATAGAACTAATACTAGTAACAGAGGAGTTAAGGTCGGAAGAGTCACTTGTATTCATGTTTCTCTCTGTATTTATATCACTTTTAAAAACACACTCTATGGCAGGATCGTGATCAGCACTTGGAATGTAATTATATTGTAAAGTATTCTTTTCTTCTTCAGTCACAGCAAGGGTCTGGCCTTTATTCGTAAGTATGGAGTTTAATTGAGAGGGTTCATTTGCTTTCAACCTCCATTCTAAACTTACACACTCACTGGTTAAATTCTGATCAATATTCGGTTCACAACTATACAATAAGGCATTTTCTTCAGGCTCAGTTTCTGCAAGTTGTGATGGGCCTTTTTTCATTGATTCTATCAGAGAAAAGAAAGTGCATTGAATATTATTAACCTCTTCTGTTTTTTCCACTTCCAATTCCAAGACCTCTGATGTGCTCCCGTACGTATCAAAGTAGTTTAATAGAGACGGGTCATTTGCCATCAGGAGCGTTCCTTCCTTACTATTTGTGACATTCCTGGGTACACACCCTACAACGAGATCTTCATCAGTATTTGCAGTGCAATTCATCATCAAAGAGGAGAACTCAGGATGAATATTATTTTCTTCTCTTGTTTCCAAGTTTTCTGATAGACTTAGTAAATCCTCCATAGAACTCATATACATATGGACCGAGTTTAATTCAGATGGTTTATTTCCATTCAAGCTCCTCTCTGCATTTGTGTAATTTTTGATTGTGTACTCTATGGGTGGATTTTGATTGGTATTTGGAATGTGTGTGGACTGTATCTGCACCAAATGTGATTGCAAGTTATGTTGTTCCTCTGTCAATTTCTGTAATTGCAAAACTTCTTTACCTTCTTTTACCACTTCGTGGACATTACACCAGGACAATGTTTCTTGTGGAACTGCATTATCAGTGTTATCCACGTTCTGAATTGTGTAATTGGGCTTTGCTTCCTTTTCTTCATGGCAATAAGGATGTTTTTCTGCTTGTGTAACACTGGTGTTCCAATTTTCTATTTTACTTAATTCAGTTTTACGCTGCAACGGAAAAGAACAGTCAGTCATATCACAGTCATCGTTCTCATCAGACAATGTTGCAAAGTCTTTTTGGCAAATTTTCATGTCGGCCCTTTTGTTTTCTGTGGGTAAGTTCTCAGGAATTGTCAAATTTGTATCCACATTTTTTATCTCAATTTTAATTTGCTCTTCTAGATCAAAAATGAATTTATCATCCGGACAGATTTGTGTACATTGTGTAATTGAACTTTCCTCTGCTTGAACATGGTTTTGATTCCCATTGTCTTCAGTTTGTTTCAGTTCTTTTATTTCACAGATCTCAACTTCCTCGGTTTGTGTGATTTGCTCTTTTGAAATCATAGAGGTTTGGTCAGTTTGTATACTTAGTTCACATGTGCTCTGAATGATTCTGTCCGTTTGTACATATCGTTTACAGACTCTCATTGCTACTTTTTCTGTCTGTATCATTTTCTCGCTAACACTGTAATTAGGGATAATTAGTGTGTGCTCAGTTTGGATGAGCTTTTCATTAATCCGTGCAGAATTGGGTTCAGTCTGGATCGTTTTTTCTTTGTAGTTAAAAACTGTTGATTTAGTCTGTGTCGCGTGTTCATTGAGAGATGCAGGTTTGATTACATCTGTCTGTGTAATTTCACTTTTTAAAAAAATTACAGTTTGATCTGTTTGAACTGAGTGCTCACTAGCAAACAAAGCTATTTTATCTGTTTGTGTTCTTTCTTGTTTGGAACTAATAGCAGTTTGGACCATTTTTTCACTGTTAATAACTGCTATTTCATCTGTCTGTGTTGTTTGTTGTTTTGTAATAACAGTAGTTTGAATCATTTGTTCACTCCTAAACAAAGTTATTTTATCTGTCTGTGTGGTCTGTGTATACTGTTTTATACTAATTGCTATTACGCTATGTTCAGTTTGAACCATCCGTTCGCTGCTACACAGTACTGTTTTTTCTGTCTGAGTTTGTTGTTCTTTAATTATAATAGTAGCTTGTTCAGTCTGTATGATTTGTTCCAATGTTATATTAGATTGCTGGCATTTACACTTTCGGTTGCTGTAGGAATAATCATCTACCTTTGCAACACTCCTTTCAATGCAAACTCTCTTCTTTTGTATTTCTGCCAAATTCTTAAAATTCCTATACTTTTTATACATATTTCTTATAGCAGTTTTTGGCAATAATCGTGTTCGCCCTCCTTTTATATCTACATGAACGACCGTATTGCATTGTAATTTAAGAATTTTGTTTGTTGCTGTTTGTGAATTATTTGTTGATACACACTGTTCTTTAGTAAGTTTGCCTAATTTTTCATTATTTGAAATTCCAATAGGGTCAACTGGCATTTTCACATTTTCACACAACGAATTTTCTGTTGTTTTGTGCGGTTTTGTAGCTTGAATTTTAATATTGTAAACCAAATTACTAGGATGATTTTTCAGAATAACTCTAACTTTTGGTTTATCATCATTTAAGTTGCAATCCTTGTATTGAGAATTTTTTTCTTTATTTATTTTCTCATTGGCAAGATCACTTATATCATTATTTGTAGCTTGAAATATTGGAGCAGAGGACGTGTGCAGCCTATTAATGTTTTCTTGATGTTCTTCATTCATTTCAAGCCAATGAATGCATTTGTGTTTGTAATTTACCTCTTTCATGTACAAATATGATTTCTCTTCTTGTTTAATTGTATATTCACCAAAAGATGATACAGGAGGAAGTGATATGTCAGCATCCAAAACGGTTTTTGTCCTGGCTTGATTGATATCGTGTTCCTTAAAATCAGTAGTTACTCCTGAATTATTGAAGTGGAAGGAAGGTGCACATGTTCTACTTTCATCTCTTTTATTATCCTGAACAGTACCTAGTGATTCTGATGAAAGGTCCCCACCTTCAGATGTTCCAGTCGATTCACAAAATATGCTTAAGGTAGACATTCTTTCTTCACTGTCTGAATTCTCAAGGATTGAACTATCAGAATAAAATGCAACATCGCATGTGTCTATTTGTTGCAACAAATCTCTTTTGATTTGATCTTCTTCCTTCTTCAATATGTTTATTGCGCTCAAGTAAGAATTCTTTTCATTAGCTACAGATCTTGGTTTTGTAACATTTAATGCACATTCCTTTTTACTGCTGACATTTGTTTTGGTCTGCGCTATTATCTGCCTACGCTCTTCATCTCCTTTATGCGATTGTTGAATGTGATTTTCAAATTTGCTACTGTCAATTTTGCGTTTAGATACTTTCAACGTAGCATTTTGAAATTTGTAAGATCCTGATTGAACATTGCCTAGTAATGAAAATGTTGTTTCTAATTTCCCTTGAATTTGTTGTAAATATACCTGTTCCTCGGTGTAATGATTTATGTTGTTCCCATCGTCCATTCTATCCAAGTTTCTGTGTCCATCAGATTTGTCGGAGTGATATCGCTGAGATTGTTTCTTTACCTGTTTCTTCTCATCTGTATCAGATCTCTTCCCAAATGTCTCTGTTGTAATTTTGCAACACTCAAATTTGTTATCTTTTAAATTTAAACTAGGTTTGTTTTTAGAGGAGGCTTTCAAAAATAATGGGCTTTCATCAAAACTTTTCGAATAAATATTTAAGTCTGTCTGATTACTTTTTTTACTAGGAATTTTGTTTACTCTTGCTCTATAATGCTTATCATAAAAAGGTAAATGTGATGTAATATTACCTGATGTAGGATATAATTTATTGTTATACCTTCCATTGAGATTATTCATTTGGCCTGCTGTTTTAATATCAACTGAACAAACAAACACAATTAACGCTGTTTAGCTTTTATCAAATGCAATATTAGTTCCCTTGGAAACCAATTGTTAAACAAATGCATACATTTTGTCATTTGTTCATTTCATGGTAGCATTTTGTTTCCCTTCATTTGACCAAATCAGCCATTTAAAAAAAAAATTATATATTTATTATGTTTAATTAATTTATTTTTAATGTCATTATGCTTTACATATTAGCCAGCAATAGTAGTTTGTATATACAATATAGTACCAACTGTTAAACAAAATATAATTAATATTTAAATTAATCATATGTTCAGAAAGAATGAAATTTAAAGATTTTTTTTCTCGATAATATTTTGTTAATCTTCATTTGACTATACCACTCACTAAAAAATTATTATTATTATTATTTATATTTTATATTTATTTATTTTTTAATTTCATTTATTTATTTACACAAAAAAGATCCCAAAATATTGGCAAAAGTATAAAGTGTATTTATAAAAAACAAACTACACTTTCTAAATAGACATAAAAAGATAAGTTGATAAAAATTAACCATAAAGGAAAGTAAAATGGAAAAAAATACCAACATAAAAAAGGGAATATGTTCAAAGTTCCTGTTAAAGATACCAAAACGTTTGAATGAGTGGTCCATCAATCCATCAAACCCAATACCAAAGTGAAGCTCATTCTCGAGAACTAGATAAACATGTGGTAATTTGGCTCTATCTTCATTTTCTCCTAGGAAAGGACGGGATAGTTTTATAGTTTTTTGTGTTTATCCATTGAATACCTTTACTTCCTTTATTTGGTAGTAGCATTTTTTAGCCTTTACAGCACAACTGAAATGAATACCAAAAATTACAAACTTAAATTTGTTTAAATTCATTTTTAAATTTCACAGAAGGTTATTGAGAACAGGAGCAAATTACCGGGTCATTCGGCTTGTAAAAAATTAAAATATTATAGTAGATATAACTTGCATATACCTAAACATGAAAAAAATATCTTGTTGGTATATAGTTGAATAAAACAATAATAAATAATAAAATGCTGTTTACTTCAAAAATAATGAAATTGACTTGGGTATAGTTTAATTTGGTATATAAAAATCTGGAAAAAGTTTAATTAAACTTCAAAAAGGTCTATTATTTGTATGTCATGTGTGTGTTAGTACATACGCCTTGCAATACAAAAATAATCCAACAGAAAATGAAAAAGGAAGTTAAATAGCCCAAAGATAGAATATTCAAGAGATTTTACTGGCTATGGCTACATTTACCATCAAAAAAATTTCACAAAACACTGATTTACAGCTCAATTGAACTAATACAGGCAGCATTTTTGTTCAACCCCCTGCTAATTTTTAATGACCTTTAAATAATAAAAAAGTATAAACGACTCTTGAAGGTTACAGAGCTCCATTGCCTTTTGCGATTCAATAAATAACAAATCAATGACACGATGTACAATAGATTAGTAAAACATTTTCTAATCTTTCTACTCTAATTCAACAAAATATATATGCATATACTTTTGAGATCACAAAGCCCAATGAATGTCTTTACATAAAAGTATATTAAGAAAACTAAAATAAGTAGGTGACAATTTGCTTTTAAAACCTAAATGTAAAATAAAATTTTAAAAAACTGCAGGCTAGTATATAATACAGTTCGTGAACGACTGTAATTAATACTGCCTGTTCTATAAAACAGAGGAATCCTTGAAAGAAAATTTTGACGCACCTACAAAATAAAAATAAGAGATTTTGAAAACCCTTGAAACTAGTAGAGCATCTTACAGGGTTACACGGATGGAACAAGGAGTTGGAGCAGGCTTCAAAATTTAATTGACCTCTAGACCCCATACCATCAATTTTACAAGCTGAGATCCATGCAGTTGAATTCTGTTAGACAAGAAATATTTAAGAAGAGATTCTCAGATAGCAAAGCATCACTGAAAGCCTTAGACTCCTCCACCTTCAATTCTACGCTGGTCTGGGAATGCTTAACAGCCACCAATTCCTGAGAAAACGTAATCAGGTAACTCTGATGTGGCTACCAGGACACGATTTAAGGCAACAAACAGGCTGACAATTTAGCAAAGGCTGGAACATACCTATCACCCTTTGAACAAAAACAGCAAATCGGCGCATGCCAAAGCATGCTACAAATGGAACAACATAATAATGTTGAATCGGAACTGAACTGGATGAATTCACCAAGTGAAAAACAATCGAAGTTTCTCAACATTTCAACCAGGAAAAAATCTAATTGTCCTAGCAGGTAAGAAAAAAAGAAAATACTAAGGCTTTATATAGGCCATGCCCATGCAACCTCAATATGATGGAAAAAATTAAGACGGAAAATTGTCGACTCAGTCATGAAATAGTAGATACATCGTCCTATATGACTGCAAAGCATTAGTCCAGAAAAGGTCCAGCCGTTTTGGAAAGGCAACACTAATGCTTTGAGATATTAAAAGGAAACTTTGGCAGATCTTTCCAATTAAAAATAGCAATAAAACATGTTAGGAAGGATAAAAACGTTAAAAACTAATAGAGGGGCTTTATTATGGTACATAGATGGATCTAAAATGGAACACGTGAGTGGGAAAAGGAATCAAAGGCCCAAATGTTGACCTAGCACCTTTAGGCCCCACACCATTAATTTTCCAAACTGAAATCCATGTAATAGAACTCTGTGAACAAGACGTACTTAAAAAAGGATTAAAACTTTTTTTTTTAATTTTCAGATAGCCAAGCAGCATGAAGGCCTTAGGCCTTAAATTCCACCTTCAATTAAAAGCAAGTAAAAGCCTAACATATTTCTAGCACCTGGGAAAATGTAATCAAGTAACTCTGATATCAGTGACAGTACACGAGGCTAAAAACAGGCTGACGGACTAGCAAAAAAACAGGAGCAACAGTCACTGTCCAGAACTGCAAAATGGCATGCGCCAAATCATGTAAAAAGTGACATGGATGGAGAAAGAAATGACTAAACATTGAATAAACTAACCAGATGTAAAACAATTGAAAAATCCAATATCTCAACTAAGAAAACAAAACTCTCTCTTCCAGGAGGCAGGCATTAAGGCAAAATTAGGTCTTTGTACTGGTCATTGACCATTTAATTACCACTTTAATAAATTGGAAAAAATTGAGATGTGTGTCAACTAAGTCATGAACAAACTGAGATGTCAAAAAATGTACAATGTGACTTCAAACATTAGCCCAGAAATAGTCCAGCTATGTTGGAAAGGAGATACTAATGCCTAATATAAAAAGAAAATTTTGAAAGCCCTTCAAAAAAGCTAATATTAGGTTAAACAGATGGATCTAAAAAAAAAAAAAAAGCTGACAAACTAGCAAAAACAGAAGCAACAGTCACACGCTTTGGTCCAGAACTGTAATTAGCACACCCCAAAGCAAATAAAAAGCGAAATGGATGGAAAAAAGAAACGTCCAAACATTTGATAAATTAACTCATTAATTAGTTAATTTAATATCTCAACAAAGAAACAAAATCTCTTCCAGCAGGCAATTATTAAGGAAAATAGGCCTTTATACTGGTCATTTCTCATCCAATAGCCCCCTTACAAATTAGAAAAAACTGAGGCAGAAACGATCAAAAAGCAGAGATTATGTTCTTTGGGATCAGAAAAACAAATCGGGACATCCCAAAGCACGCTAAAAACGGAACTAGATTTTTTTAAAAATTATATGTACAAAGACGATTAAATCAAATTCTTTTCAAGATCAAAATAAAAAATTTAAACAAATTAAATTTCATCGTTACCGATCATTTTCGTCAGCTGTTTTGGACATTTACAGGTTGTGATTTTACGAAAATTACACATTCATCATCTGCAGACGTAGTTTAAAATAAAAATATAAAGCGTGGTGTTTTATTGTGCAATATTATTGAATGACAGGCGGACGACATTGCACAATATTTTGATGGTGATGATGATTCGGTCTGTGAGCCGGTGAAATCACGTTGGGTCCTTTGCTGTCTCCACTCGCGGGTTTATGAGTTATTCAAACGCGTTTCGGCGTTGCGCCATCTTCAGTGAGGAACTCGAGTTCAAACATATAATAAAATATAGAAAGCAATAATGAAAACAATATATTTTTTAAAATATTAATCATTTATAATTGAATGATGAAACCAATTACGAAATAAAAACAGAAAGAGAAAAAAGTTAAAAGGAAAAACAAAAGAAATAGGGGGAAAAAAGGAGATCATTCATGTCATTTTTAATAATTCAGATGTCATGGAGTATGGACCTAAAACAAAACAGAAAGGAAGCAGAACATACTTCCTAGGGAAGCAAATTCCATAGTCTTAACCCAGCAATTCTGAATGTTAAGGCTAAAGAAGATGATCTCAATAAAGATCGAAACTAATTATTCGGAAATCGTGAAATGTGGTCTGGTGTGATGTAGGTTTCAGAAAAACATTTTCTTTATCGTGCCAACGTTTCGATCACACGACACGCAAGAATGGCACAATTACGCAGAAAACAAACACTGAGTGAGTAGAAATACTTTGATTAAATATAAAAAATATTTTTTTGCATTGTTCACTTTTTTCCACATCATACATGTATTCGTTAAATTTAAACAATGTTTATAAATCCCAGGCCTTGAAGATGATCTCAATAAAGATCGAAACGATGGCACGATAAAGAAAATGTTTTTTTGAAACCTACATCACACCAGACCGCATCTCACGATATCCGAATAATCATCGACTAATGGTCACTAATCACCACACAAAGGTTGAAATGAAAGGCATGAAAAAGAAAATGTTTTTCTAAAACCTAACGTCACCTCACCATCTCCAAATAATCGAGTTAAGGCTAAAGTTTTAGAAGAGTGTTGAAAGCTTGGGACATGATTGGTGGATTGGATGAGGAATTTCGAAGAAAATTTGATAGATATTGAGAACATTTATATGATTTAACTTTAAATATATTTAACTCTAAGGCTATAAGTATGTAAAGCTGAAATTGGGCAAAATTAGTTACTAATGGAAGATCATTTAGAAACATGAAAAAGAGTAAAGTATATTGAAATACGATGCTACTAAAAATACTACTATACTACTAAAAAAATACTAACTTAAAACTCCTTAAAAACTAAACTAAAGACAAAAAAAATTACATTTATACTTTACTTTTTTCATGTTTCTAAATGATCTTTCATTAATTCTTAATTATTCCCAATTTCAGATTTATGCTAATGATACTTCAAGGTCCTACAAGCAATATCTCTTTGCTCAACTGTGATCAAAACATTTTTTTTTTTAATATTGGGTTGTCCGGAAAATAATGCAGGATTTTGGTATTAAACAAAAAAAAAGAAACTAGTTACTTTAAAGCAATGTTCTTTAATCAAAATANAATGAGTAATCCTGTAAACGTAAACAGAATATTTTATATAGATTTTTTTTAATGAAAACTTAAAATCCTGCATTATTTTCCGGACAACCCGATATTTTGAAACAGGAAGAGAGCAGTTTGTAAAATGTACTTTTTGTCTTCAGTTTAGTTTTTAAGAAGTTTTAAGTAAGTAATTTTTTGTTTTGTCGAATACGATATTTTGAAACAAGAAGACCAGTTTGGAAAATGTACGTTTTTTGTTTTTAGTTTAGTTTTTAATTAGTTTTAAATTAGTATTTTTTTTTCAAATACAATATTTTGAAACACAAGAAGAGAGTAGTTTGGAAAATGTACTTTTTTGTTTTTAGTTTAGTTTTTTTTTGTCGGATGTGATATTTTGAAACAGGAAAAAAATAGTTTGTAAAACGTACTTTTATGGTTTTTAGTTGTTTTTAAGGAGTTTTAAGTTAGGTTTTTTTTTTTTTTTTTTTTTTTTTTTTTTTTTTTTTTTTTTTTTTTTTTTTTTTTTTTGGTCGAATGTGATAATTTGACACAAGAAGAGAATAGTTTGTAAAATGCACTTCTTTTGTTTTTAGTAGTTTTTAAGGCGTTATAAGTTAGTTTTTTTGTTGGATGTGATATTTTGAAACACAGGAAGAGAGGAGTTTGTAAAATGTACTTTGTCTTAAGTTCAGATTTTAAGGAATTTTGTGTTATTTTTTTCGTTTTATGGGATTTTTTTCGTATGTGATATTTTGAAATACAGGAAGAGAGTAGTTTGGAAAATGTACTTTTTTTCATGTTTAGTTTTTTTTTAAATTTAAGTAAATAATTTTTTTTTTTTTGTCGGATGTGATATTTTGAAACACAAGAAGATAATAGTTTGTAAAATATACTTCTTTTGTTTTTAGTTTAGTTTTTAAGGAGTTTTAAGTTATTAATTTTTTTGTTTTGTCGGATGTGATGTTTTGAAACAGGAAAAAAATAGTTTGTAAAATGTTCTTTTATGGTTTTTATTTTAGTTTTTAAGGAGTTTTAAGTTAGAAAATTTTTTGTTTTGTTGAATGAGATGTTTTGAAACACAGGAAAAGAATAGTTTGTAAAATGTACTTCTTTTGTTTTTAGTTTAGTTTTTAAGGAGTTTTAAGTTATTAATTTTTTTTGTTTTGTCGGATGTGATGTTTTGAAACAGGAAAAAAATAGTTTGTAAAATGTACTTTTATGGTTTTTAGTTTAGTTTTTAAGGAGTTTTAAGTTAGTAAATCTTTTGGTTTGTCCGATGTGGTTTTGAAACACAGGAAAAGAATAGATTGTAAAATGTACTTTTATGGTTTTTAGTTTAGTTTTCAAGGATTTTTAAGTTAGTAAATTTTTTGGTTAGTCGAATGAGATGTTTTGAAACACAGGAAAAGAATAGATTGTAAAATGTACTTTTATGGTTTTTTTTTTTTTTTTTTTTTTTTTTTTTTTTTTTTGTCGTATGTGATAATTTGAAACCCAAGAAGAGAATAGTTTGTAAAATGTACTTCTTTTGTTTTTAGTATAGTTTTCAAGGAGTTTTAATTTTGAAGCACAAGAAAAGAATAGTTTGTAAAATGTACTTTTTGTTTTTAGTTTAGTTTTTAAGAAGTTTTAAGTAGTGGTTTTTTTTTTGTATTGTCGGATGTGATATTTTGGAATGTCGAGTCGTTTTGTTTTGTTTTTTGAATTTTAGCTGCATCGCGCTATAAATATTGTTCTGATTTCGATTTTCGAATTATTTCGGTTTTATTATTGTGTATAGCTTTAAAAATAATGACGTTTGAATGTGGTGTATTTGAGAATATCGTCTTTTTGTCCTCATGAGTCGTTGTAAAAGTGGAATCTGTCCATTTTCGAGAAATTCGACGAGGATGTATCAAGTGAGCTGAGGTGAGGCAAAGCCAAATCTCTCGTATCTGGGAGGTTCCAGTTTTTATTGACAGATTCTCCGAGGTTCGGCTGCCGTCACACAATTGCGTCTCGAAAGTGATTTTTCTCGATTTTCAGCCAGATTTCGGACCCGCGATCGAGCCAGGCGGCTTTTCACCGGCTCCCCAGCTTGGAATGGTCGCCTCCGGCTTCGGCCCGATGAGAAACGAACGATTCGAGTGAATATGGGCGGACTCGACCCTGGCAGGCGCACCGAGGATCGCTGAGAGCCAACCGAGCCGAAAGAGACTCTTGAACGAATCCGACTCGAGACTCGTGACATTTTTCAAAACCGGCCCAACATCAAAATGAGCGTTATTCAAGGCAGTCTCAGCAAATTGAAGAAGAAACACTTCAGAGTCAAACACCAGAAAGTCAAATTATTTCGGGCCAACGAGCCGATCCTCTCCGTATTTATGTGGGGCGTTAACCATACCGTAAGCTCTTTTTATTTTAAAATTTCCTTTTATTTGAAGACCCTTTCGCCTTATTTTCACCCATCGACAATCTTATACGTGTCAATTCAATTTATTCGCCTTAATTATCGCTTTCGTTTTGTGATCTATTTGCCTTGTGCGATGCTCCATATTTGCGTTTTTATCTCATTTCAAGTTATTTATGACCTTCGTTTGTAATTGAAAGCCTGATAATCCGAGTAAAAAAACTTACTTATCGAACTTTACATATTTAATTTTAATTTTATTGTAATGCGTTGCTTTATCAATTGTGAAACTATTTTTCTTACAGACAGAAAATAAATCATTTTTCATCACATTACACATATTTTTAAACATATTAAACAACATGCTCACTCCACCGTTTATCATTTCTATCACATTACTCATTTTACAAAGTTTTCCTGTACTTGAAACTTTTGGCTTTGATACAATTTCCAAAGTTCTTTGAAAAGAGAACATGATTTTTAACCCTTGTTACTTATTGTCGTATATAAGTTGTTAAAATATTTTTTTTTTTAATTTTTCATAAATTGGGTTCATTTTATTTCATTCAATTCATTTTACTTCATATTACACATTTTTCCATATTTTCCTGCAATTGAAACAATTTGGCTTTCATGCAATTCCCTAAGTTCTTTGTAAGGAGAACATGTCAGTGCATGTTTTTTAGCCATCGTTACTGATATTTACTTCATTTTACTTCACATTACACGTTTTCAATATTTTCCTGCACTTGAAACAATTTGGCTTTCATACAATTCCCAAAATTCTTTGAAAGGAGAATGTGTCAGTACATGTCTTTTAGCCATCATTACTGATATTGTTGCATATAATCTAGTAAAATTGTTTTAAATTTTTTTACATATATTGAGTTAATTTTATTTTATTTACTTCTTTTTACTTACATTACACATTTTTCCATATTTTCCTGCACATGAAAATTTTTGGCTTTCATACAATTCCCAAAATTCTTTGAGAGGAGAACGTATCAGTAGATGTCTTTTAGCCATCGTTACTGATATTGTTGCATATAATCTGGTAAAATTATTTTACATTTTTTACATATATTGAGTTCATTTTATTTTATTTACTTCTTTTTACTTCACATTACACATTTTTTCATATTTCATATAATTCCCAAAGTTCTTTGAAAGGAGAGCATGATTTTTAACCCGTGTTACTTATTGTTGTATCTAAGTTCTTACAAATATTTTTAAAATTTTTTCATAAATTGAGTTCATTTTACTTCACATTACACATTTTTCTATATTTTCCTGCCCTTGACATTTTTTTGCTTTCATTCAATTCCCAAAATTCTTTGAAAGGAGAACATGTCAGTACATCGTTAGTGATATTGTTGCATATAATCTAGTAAAATTATTTTAAAATTGTCTCCATAAATTGAGTTCATTTTATTTCATTTACTTCATTTTATTTCGCATGACACATTTTTCCATATTTTACACAATTCCCAAGGTTTTTTGAAAGGAGAACATGACAATATGTTTTTTTCTTGTTAATGTTATTGTTGCATGTAAGTTCTTAAAAATATTTTTAGAAAATTTCCATAAATTGAGCACTTTTTTTATTTATATCATTTTACTTTGAATTATGCATTTTCCCATATTTTCCTTCACTTGAAAGTTTTTGCCTTTCAAACAGTAACCAAAGTTGACAATTATGACATCGTATAGCCCTTGTAACTTATTGCATAATGCGTTATTGTTGCAATTAATCTAATTAAAAAAATTTAATTTTTTTCCATAAATTGAACTCATTTTCATTACTTAAATTTAATTGGTCAAGCGGACTACGAAATTAGTGAATTTATTTCATTACTTCATTTTAAATTGAGCACATTTTCCTGATCTTGGGGTTGGTTTCCTGGATTTGTGGCTCTGAGATTCGAACATTTTTTTTCTTAATTAGGTTTTGTTAGAGGTTTTATTTGTCATGTACGATACTCCATATTTGTGTTTTTATTTCATTTCAAGTTATTTGTGACCTTCGTTTATAATTGAAAGCCTGATAATCCGAGTTGTATTCCTTAAAAAACTTACTTATCGAACTTTAAATTTTATTTATTTTTAATTGTACAATAATACATTGTTTTATCAATTGTAAAACTATTTTTCATACAGGTATTAAACAAATTTTATTTTACATCACATTACATATCTTTTTAAACAGATTAAACAAAATACTCACTCCATCGTTTATCATTTATATTACATTACACATTTTCCAAAATTTTCCTGCACTTGAAACTATTCGGCTTTGATACGATTCCCAAAGTTCTTTGAGAGGAGAACGTGTCAGGCATGTCTTTCAGTCCTATTGTTGTGTATAATCTAGTAAAATTATTTTAATTTTTTTTTCATAAATTGAGCTTATTTTATTACATTTACTTCATTTTACTTCACATTACATATTTTCCTTCACTTGTAACTTTTGGCTTTGATTCAATCCCCAAAGTTCTTTGAAAGGAGAACATGTCAATACATGTTTTTGTTACTGTTATTGTTGCATCTAATCTAGTAAAATGATTTTAAAATTGTCTCCATAAAGAGTTCATTTTATTTTATTTACTTCTTTTTACTTCACATTACACATTTTTCCATATTTTCCTGCACTTGAAACTTTTTGGCTTTGGTACAATTCTCAAAGTTCTTTGAAAGGAGAACATGTCAGTACATGTTTTTTTCCCTTGTTATTGTTATTGTTGCATCTAAGTTCTTAAAAATGTTTTTAGAAAATCTCCATAAATTGAGCACTTTTTTATTCACGTAATTTAACTTCACATTACGTATTTTCCTTCCTCTATTTTCTTGTACTTCGTACTTTTTGTCTTTGGTACAATGTCCAAAGTTTTTTTAAAGGAGAACATGTCATACATGTTTTATAGCCCTTGTTACTGTTATTGTTGCATCTGATCTGTTAATTTTTTTTTAAATTTTCATAAATTGAGCACTTTTTTTCTGTTTCAGATTAATGAACTGAGTCATGTTACAATACCAGTCATGCTTTTGCCTGATGACTTCCGGGCTTACTCTAAACTCAAAGTCGACAACCACTTGTTTAACAAGTAAGGAGGCGCTTTTTCATTTTGTCTGAAAATTAAAGCGTTCCATTAATTTATTTGTTTCACCCAGGGAAAACATGCCGAGTCATTTCAAAATCAAAGAGTACTGCCCGCTTGTCTTCAGGAATTTGAGGGAGAGATTTGGAATCGATGATCTCGATTTTAAAGAATCAATGACAAGGTGACTTTTTTTAATAATTTATATATACTATAAAACTTTTAGTGAAAGTTTAAAAAAAAAATCAATTAACTGAAACTGCCTTTTTAGAGAACAATCAGTAGTATTTGCTTGATTTCATGTATTACTGACAGCTTCTATTTAGCTCTATTTATGTTATAAATACTTAAAATGAATGCTTTCTCATACTTTTTTTTTCTTTAAAAATATGCAAGAAAATGATATTGTCTAAAAATACCATAATAATCTATAATAGTTTAATATTTATAGTGTCTTTTTCATATTAAAAATTGTGAAAACCATTGATAATTAATTTACTTCAAAATCATGTGTACATTTCTGAACCTTCCTGAATAAAAGTACTCAAATTGTATCCATGTTAATCAATTAAAGTCTTACAGTTTATGCTTACTCCCCCATAAATGGATTAGGTTTAGAATATGAGAAAGCAAACATTGATTTTATGTACATTTATGTATGCTTCTGCTTAGAAATTTGTAAATTGTCATCCTCGGCCTAACATCATTGTTTATCTATTTGTTTTAAATAAATGAATAACCTTATTAAAAAAATTAAAAAATCCAAGCCTCAGAAATTTCTTGGCATAGATTTTCTGAAAGCGACTACAAAAGAGAAAAATCGTTTTATCTTCGGAGGTGCCCGACAGAACCTCGTAGCCTCAGGAATTTGCCAAAGCGGAGCAGGTATTTCATTTACAGAGTGGAAAGAAAAAATTCGGGTTTAAAACAAAAATGACGCAGGATTGATGATTTTTTCGCTTTTCTATTTTTGCTTTGATGATTGATGATGTACTGACCCTATAAGTTATCGCCCTAAATGGGGGTCTTTGAATTTTTATTTTTCTAATACATACTACAAAATTTGATGCAACTGACATGCAAAATTGTAAAATTTTTATTTTTATATTGTGGAATATTATCACAAATTTAACTTTTTTTGTGGTTTGATATATTTTCTGTTCTATTGGTAAGTTCTTTCGCAGTGAGTGATTTATTAAATTTATAAAAGAATTGTTTGCAACAGACTAACTACTAATTCATTCTGATAAATGTGAACCATTTTGAATAATATTGTGCAGAAAGAATTTTTTTGTGGCAAATCTGATCTTGGCCCCAATAAGATACTGAACGGTTCTCCCTGTGAAACAATAATTATTGGGCACCATTTGATTATCATGCTTTACAGATGTCATACTTTATTTGATTCTCTTAGAATTTTCTTAAGTATTATAAATAGCCAGCCCTCTAATATCCAAAAATCTTTAGTTAGCCTAAGACCTGTTTCAGACAGTGATTAATTAGTTGATTTAACTAGCCGAATGGGCGGGTGTCAAGGAGTGTGGCCATGTATAAAATGATTTGGAACACCCATTTACACACAGTCAACTGTCTGCCCAAGCAGGTGGCCAGCAGTCACAAATGGTTGACTACACACAAAAGACAAAAAGCATTGCTCATTCATGCCAGTCACCTAGCTGAGTTCACCATAGAAAACATTGCATTTGCAAACTTCAATGTGAAATAGCATTGAAGAAATTCATTAGTCCCATGACGTGGTACATAAATGAGGAGTATAGCGACAAAATTAAAAGGAAGAAAGTAGTTGTGAGAAAGCGATCCCAATTTTGTAACACTAGATAAATCCACGATTTTCTTCTGGGTTTCCTCCTTTTTTGTTTCTTTTTTTGCAGAACAAGTGTTCATTTTTTTTCGTGGGTACTGACCACGTGTTAGGAAGTGAAGTTGATTCTACAAGTTGCCTGGTGTGAATCTAGCTAAGAAAAGTCTTCACATGGAAGTCGATTAAGTTCAGGCCCCTTATTTGAATCGACCAAATCTGGAAATGGCTAGAAGAATAGTAATGTTTAAGAAGTTTCAAAACTGCATAACACTGTTTTTGTCAATCCTTTAAAAAAAAATGGTTCCTACTCACATTAAGTTGTTTCGCAACAATCCGGATTTCGAGCCCTTTTGCTCATCATCAGATTGAAGGGTTTCCGCAAACACGTCTCTCGACATGAATTGCAGAAGTGAACCCGCTGATAACCCCGCCAACGTTCCAATGAGGAGCTGGGTTTTTTATGGTGCTCAATTTGAACATGCGAAAAGCGGGAATTATAACACAAATAACGATTGTAATAGTAAATACTGTAAGAAATTAATTGTAAATTAGTGATTAAAGATAAAAAAAATTTATAAATAAATAAAAATAAAAATGAAATAATTAGAAATGGGAGGTAGATCAAAATCTGTTATATTATTATTATTATATGTTATTTATTTATGTATTATTTTAAATATGTATATAAATAATATTAAACGTCCAAATAATTAAACTAATTATTCTAATTATTATTATGTTGTATTAAATTCACTAATTTCGTGGTCCGCTTGACCAATTAATGCGTCACAATTAATGCTGCTCTACGACATTTGAAAAATGGCAAAAGGAGGGAAACTCATAAGGTGGGGTTGAGATGGGGAGTTGATGTCTGAGTGGATCGAGGTTACGATAGCTCAGGTGGTAGAGCAGCGGCGTATCAAGCCGAAGGTCGTGGGTTCGAATCCCTCTCGTGCCATTAACTTTTTTTCATCTCAACTAAAAACCTTAATTAATTGTAATGTATTAATTGGTCAAGCGGACCACAAAATTAGTGAATTTAATGATTAAAATGAAGTACACTTCACTAAAGCTCTCCGTCGCCATTTCAATTGTCGTCGAGAATCCAAACCAATTACACGACATTTGAAAAATTGCAAAAGGAGGGAAACTCATAAGGTGGGGTTGAGATGGGGTGTTGATGGCCGAGTGGATCGAGGCCACGATAGCTCAGGTGGTAGAGCAGTGGCGTATCAAGCCGAAGGCCGTGGGTTCGAATCCCTCTCGTGCCATTAACTTTTTTTCATCTCAACTAAAAACCTTAATTAATTATGTTTTATAATAATTTAGTAATATTAAGGTATTATTCTAATTATTTCATTTTTTATTTTTATTTATTTATATATATTTTTTAAATTTTTTATCTTTAATCACTAATTTACAATTAATTTCTTACAGTATTTACTATTACAATTGTTATTTGTGTTATAATTCCCGCTTTTCGCACGTTCAAATTGAGCACCATAAAAATCCCAGCTCCTCATTGGAGCATTGTTGGCAGGGTTATCAGCGGGTTCACTTCTGCAATTCATGTCGAGAGACGTGTTGTGGAAACCCTTCAACCTGGCGATGAGCTAAAGGGCTCAAAATCTGGATTGTTGCGAAACAACTTAATCTGAGTAGGAACCATATTTTTTAAAAGGATTGAACTCCACACACACCCCATCATTTATAATTTCTATTTTTTTTTTTTTTTGTCGTTTTAATTATGTCCAGTCAAAATATAAAGATGATTAAACAGTGTAATTTGTTAAAGAGGGGTCTAAGAATAGATCTAGGAACTTAGTGAGCTAGTGAAAAAACCACAAATCTTAGCATAAAGGTTAAAATGCAGAGAATCTTTGAAATGGAATGATAACTTTGTAATTTTATACAAATGACAGTTCATTATGTTTCCCCACCTATGATTCAATTCATGCTTGTAATTTTTGTGGTAGTAATATTAAAATTTTTGTGGTTTTGATTAATTAAAAAGTTATTTTTTTTAACACTAAACTTATTTGCCTTGAATCACTTAAGTTTTAATTGAAATGTTCATGCTGTTAGGTCACAACCTGTTGTCATGGATAATCCAGGGAAGTCAGGGGCAAAGTTCTACCATTCATACGACCGTCTTTTTGTCATCAAGACACTTACCAGTGAGGAAGTTGAACGCATGCATTCATTTCTTAAACAATACCACCCTGTGAGAAAATCTTCTAATGGTTTATATTAAACGTACATTATGGCTTGAAAATATTATCTTTTTTGTTTTGTTTTTTAGTATATTGTTGAAAGGCATGGGAAAACACTGCTGCCTCAGTACCTCGGGATGTACAGATTGACAGTTGATGGTGTTGAACATTATATGGTAGCCATGAGAAATGTCTTCAGCAATCATCTTGCTACACATAGGTTTGTCGTAAAACTAAATTTGCCAGGAGGATGTTTATTATATTTTTAATTGCAGAAAGTTTGATCTCAAAGGCTCTACTGTGGACCGAGAAGCTTCAGACCGTGAACGTGAGAAAGATCTTCCAACCTACAAAGACAACGATTTCGTGAAAGAGGGAACTAAAATTTACATAGGAGAAGAAGCCAAAGAAAAACTATTAGAAACATTAAACGCCGATGTTGATGTAAGTTACAACAATTTTATACATTAAACATTTTAAAAATTAATGTTTTGTTTGACAACAGTTTCTGACAAAACTCAACTTGATGGATTACTCGCTCCTGCTCGGGATTCATGACTGCAGCAGAGGTGAATCTGAAGGTTATGACATTGAGGACGTCGAGGGCGGAGGAGGAGGCGGTGAAGAGGACGAAGACAGTGAGGGAGGAGGTGGATGGTGTGGCACACCACCTGATTCTCCCTTACAACTATGTTGTACCCCAAGCCTCCAGTATGAAGGGATTGTCCCAGAACTCGATATTTATGCCATACCAAGCTCTGAAAGTCAGTACTTTTTTTTTAAATATTATTATATCAGAGTGCAGTGTATATTGTATGAAGTTCTTGGACTGCTTTGACATTAATGTAATTTTTCAATACAGTCTGTAATGGGATTTGGTCTGCTTATTAGAAGGGTCCACAATAAAGAAAAATGACTACATTAATGACATTAAGTGAATGCTATAAAAAAAAAAAAAAAAAAAACGAATATACTATGTACACGGACAACTGTGCATGAACACTAATTTTAACTTTCGTATGGACTTTACAACTTTTCTCTACAACTACAACCTTTTCTCTGACAGAATGTTTTTTCCCACTCATCTCTGAATCGGTTTGTCATAATCATGATCTGACGACTGACTAACTGAGAATAAGTGGAAAATTATGGAAAGAAAATAATATTCTTCAATACCCTGCTGCCAAGCAAAATTGCAAGTTTGCACTATATGTAGACGACCTGGCCTTAAGACAACATCCTGGAGACAAAGATAAAATCTCCAAGGTTGGCATTACTTGAAATAGTAAATTCATAGGAGATGAAAGCTTAAAAATAAACCCGATAAAAACAGGAAATCTTATTTACCATGCACAGACCATTATAACAAACATCATTCAATTCACGGTTGCATTACTGATCTAGTAATGGATAAAAAACTAATGATCACCTACTACAAAGCAGATTAGACTGTGACAAAGAGAAGTCAGCCATCAGGCTCTTTTTCTCCTTTTTGGCAAGGAAGACCAAGATAAGTACTTAACGCTTTTGTCCAGCACATTAGGCTATTGGGTGTGTACTTGTGCTTTTTTTGTTTTCAGAAAAAAAATCTAACTATCAAAATATAAATTTTATTAACAGTTAAGAAAGGTATTGGTTGAGACAAAAAAGCCAGTGTCGTGAGCGGGATTCGAACCCACGACCTTTGGCTAAATACGTCGCTGCTCTACCACTTGAGCTATTGTGATTTCAATCCGCTCGGACACTAACTTCCCACTTCAACCTACCTTTCGAATTTTCCCTCCTTTTTGCCATTTTTGTCTCAATCAATACCTTTCATAAATGTTAATTGATTGAAGGATGTTATTTGGTCAATCAGTCCACGAACTGGAATGGATTTAATAATTGAACTGAAAGTATATCTTCAGGAAAGTTCTCCGTGGCCATTTCATTCGTTGCCGAGAATCAAATAGATTACACGACATTTAAAAAATGGCAAAAAGCCTCCTTTGGCTGGGATTCAATTTTTAGAGCATTTTCATTTAAAAATTCTTTAATTTTGTTTAGGTAACAGAACAAATAAAAATTGGATGGGGTAAGGTCTGGAGGGTATGGACAATGGGGAAACTATTGCCTGCCTAAAGGCAGATTTATATTAGAATGTGCAGGGTACAGGACGGCTGTCTTACGGGGCATGTCAACATATTATCTCATTGTTTTCAAATAGGAGAGTTCGCATTAGGGCAGCACGGGGCTAAACCCCGTACGGCGCCCCGGAGCCAGCCACAGCCTACGATTCTTTCCCCTTCCCGCCATATTGTCCACCCCCATCAGTATTGAGCACATAACAGAAGTGAAAAACATTGATGAGTCATTCTAAAATAGCCATAAAAACTTTTCCTCGTCATCGTTCAACTCCTTGTAGAGGGTAACGAATTCACCTTCGGATCCCCTTTTCTTCCATACTGGATGTACAGCCCATCTTCTTGTCTTTTCGTCTTCTTTCTCATCAAGAGCTACAGCAATAGCTGCTAATTCAACTATGTTAAAGTTCATGTTATTATCGCGCGCGCACATACAAAAAGCACTTCTTGACGTGAACGCTAGTAAAACTGATGAAAAATTGATTTGAAGATCCCAGCCACTGCCCTGCCGTAAGCAGCCCGGTGTAATGTAAATACAAACGCCTTATGGGACTTGTTCTGTACACGTCCCGTAAGATGCCCGTCACGTTCAATATAAATCGACCTTAAATGCGATTTTACTCTCTGAGGCCTGGTATTGTCATGGTGAAATACAATGTTGCCCTATTCACCAGGGCTGGATGTTTTTCCTTCAGCACTGCTCAGCTGTGAGAGTTTGATTAAGGATGGTTAGCGTTTTTTTGTTTTTTTAACCCTCGTTAAAATTAAATAAAAAAGTTTGGTTATTTGGTTAATTCTCACCAAATAGACAATAGGATCCTTACAAGGGTACAATCCTGCGTTTGGCACGGGCAGTGGTGTTTTATTCTTACAAATGGTTTTTCATTGTTTAACATTTTTGTAGAGAACCCACTTCTAATCTCCATTGACCAAATAGGAAATAAACCCCTTCCGATTTGTTCATATTCAGATATGAAACACAAAAAGCCTTACATACCATTCACTCGGTGAAAGTGCATTATGGTTGATGGGTCACTCAATTTTCCATCGGCCCTCTCACGCTATTCATTCATGCTAATAAATACATTCACTCTCAAAACTCGCTACACAAAACTGTCAGTGTTTTATACAATAAAACAACTCTGTTTTATCTAAAATTCGTAGAGGGCCTAGATACTACTCGCTGCTGTGCTCAAGCACAACTCATATCAGGTGGCCTACATGCTCTTTATATAGAGACAGGGAATGGCTTAATTATTTTATTCTACGTATGATTAATTATGTGGTACCATACTATTGTCTTTCCAATTTATGAATGTAAAGAGCACATCTAAAATTCTGATGTTTTAGTATCCGTAATTATATTCTCTATTTTTGTAGGGAATTCCACTCCACTTTTTAGCATCTCCTTGTATTTATATTATTACTATATATTATATTATACTTATATTATTCCCTATTTTTTTGTTTTTTGGGTACTCAAGGATGACATTGTATTGCCGAAAGTCCTTATGTCATTCCAATTTTGGCCACCACACCCTGAATATTGTTGCATCTAAACAAATGTTGCTTCAAATTTAGTGATTTTTCTTTTGTTCGATTTTTCCACGCGTCTAAAGCATAATAATTTATACTGTTTTTAATCTGTCAAATGAATTTCCAAAATGGAAACTCAAATTATAGGAGCCCTTCCCTTGGCAGTCAGAAACAATTTTATTAAATACTTTAATAAAACATGTACAGTTAACAAAAACAAATAAGTAAATAAATAAAATAGTTGAACTGAGAACTGACCAAAGGCATTCTTTAAGGTTGTGCGGGGTCTGAGAATCCATAAAACATTACTGCTTGCAAGCAACATGTAAAGTCATCCTTTTTAAAAAAGAGTTCCTAATCACAGTAAGTTAAATACAACAGTGTTACATAGTTTTAACAAAGGGAGAGAAATTAAAAAACGTAAAATTGAGCATGGAGATAAATGCATTAATAATATAATAGATTTTGATCTACCTCCCATTTTAAAGATGTACATAAATAATATTAAACATCCAAATAATTAAATTAATTATTTTAATTATTATTTTTATCGTAATTTAATAATCTATTATTAAGATATTATTCTAATCTTTTATCTTTAATCACTAATTTATAATTAATTCCTTACAGTATTTACTATTATAATATTCACTTGTGTTATTACCTTACTGTGAGTAGGAACTATCTTTTTAAAAAGGATTGAACACCGCACTCACTCCACTATTCATCATTTCTATGTAAAGTTGAATCTCATTTGTGGAGACACTGTCATTTGTGGAATCTCGAGTTGCTTTTCTTTCTGTTGTCCGTTTATAAGAGACATTTTCAATGTAAAATCTATAAACATAGTGTCTTCTCGGGGAAGTTCAACTATATATAATAATATGTAGTAGCTTGATAATATTTTTGAATAATTGTATTGATCAACCCTCAAAGTCATTTTTTTTCCTCAGATGCTCCCGTTAAAGAGATTTATTTCTTGGCACTCATCGATGTTCTGACCCATTATGGTGTGAAAAAGCAAGCAGCAAAGGCAGCCAAAACAGTCAAGTACGGAGCTAACGTCGACGGGATTTCAACATGTGATCCAGAGCAATACGGGAAACGGTTTATCGAGTTTCTGAGCAAGGCCATCGAATAAATTTCCAGCTTTCTTTGTTTCTTTCATTTTGTGGGTCATGCCGCCGACCATTCTCTTTGTCTATTCTTTAAAAAGAAGAAAAAAAAATTGTTTAAATCATACCATTAACGCACATTTCATACTTTTCATTGCTTTTATCTAATTTTAATATAGTTATATACTTGAATAGTTACACGTTTAAAATATATATGCTAAATTTGTTTTCATCTACCTCAGTTGTCTACCTTCTTTTGGTGAAAACACAATTATGTTACAGTACATGCTCATCATGTAAGCCAAATTTGCCCTTTCATTCTTATTCTTAGTATAAAGGAAGATCATGGCTTAAAAGCCATTTTTTGTGATATAGATATTTTCTTTCTTAAAAATTATGTATCCATAAATTTGATTTGAGACCAAAATGGTTGGATTTGATCCTTCTTAATTCAAAATTTTCCCTTATTCATAACTTTAAGTAGTGCAAAAACAAATGTAAAAGTTTATTGTGCATTGTTTATTCTCATGTTTTATTTTATTTTTTTAATTTCTGTGATCATTGTTATGTATAAATATTTCTTAGGACAGTATCCATTCTTAATTTAAAATATTGAAGAACCTTTATACTATAAGTGCATTTTTTAAATTAAGGACTTGATGTTGAATTGAAACTCGAGAGATTATGTGCACAATTTTTTTACTCGCATTTTTCCATGCAAAGCTTTTTATTACTGGAGCTTTCTAAAATAAATTCAAAGAACTTGTAGAAGAACGATTGAATTTCATAAAGTAACTGGACGAGTGGAGACTTTCTTAAATGGAAGCCAAGATGAGAAAATGGAGATCTATTTTCTCTGTAAAGACTGATTAGGAATTTGCAGTTTTACAATTGTCGGATAGTCTGATCGATTAGAAAAATGCACCATAGTGTTAAAAAAAAAAAAGTGTGAGAGAAAAAGAACTAGTTCTCAATAAATTTGAAATTAAAATTTTCTTATCAACCCAGAGAAGTTATTTTTTTGAAAACGCAAAATATAAATTTAAATTAAATCCGCTGTTATTTAAAAAATAATTACAAGTTGTGTTAGTCAATTAAATATACCGGTGCTTCTCATTTTATTTGGACAATGTAAACGTTAAGTTGCATGCAGAAGACTGATAATTGAAAGTACACAAGCCAGTGTGCAAAAATTTATCTCTGGCGGTAGAATTTCTACACTTTGATCATCACCCGATATCATAAAATGTGCTGATTATCAGAGTATTTACCAAAGTAGAAGTTCGCTTAAAACAACTAAAAATCAAACTTTTGCCGAAATTGAATCTCGATAAACATAAATCAATATTGATAGTTGAATAAATGTTATATTTAAGAAAACATAAGTTTTCAATATAATTGATAACATATAAAATCGGAGAAAACAGAATTGGAGTCCGTTTAAAAATTTTAAACACAGGAATGGAACAACTTTGTTAGTATTCAAAATTAAGAAACTTTAATCCTGCAGGGTAGTATGAAATTGTCTTAAATGTGAATATAAATGAGTATATTCTCGTTAAAAGTCATTCGATTAATGTGACATATTTAAATATATATCAAACTCATTAAAATAGATAACAGTTTAAGTGTTTTTCTACTATTGCAATATTTTCATGTTAGATAGGTGAATTGAGTTGATACCGATTTTGGGACATGCTTCTGTTCCTTAAAAAGTGTCTGGTTTGAAACAGTCTTCAAACCAAATGCAACGTTATTAAAAGTCAGGAAAGAGTAAAATGTAGAAAAGCAGTTCTAAGTGGAAGGAATGACACAATTAATTGTAAAAGCTCACTCGTACAGAAAAATTTTGGATTGAATTTCAATTTACAAAGAATAAAGTGTTGTTATTGTATAAAAAGTAAGTTGCTTGATTGATAGTCTTGTTATCAAAATAAATTTTTTTTAGTTAATATAATTTAAATGTAAAAGTGCTGTTTACACTTTTTTTAATATTAAATATATTCAGGCCTATCAGCACAAAAGTTGCTATCGTTGGCTTTCTCTCCAGATAAAATACAAACGTCTCTTGAGTTGACAATATAAGACAAATTCAATTATATGCTTTTGGTCTAGTTTCATCAATTCCCATAGTTAAAATGGTACTTTGTATGCTTAAAATATTTAAAATAAAATACACATTAACAGACAAAACTGTGAGGTAAAATTGATAATCATCACTTGCCATAATGTAGGTGTTAATCCACTGGCTACCTTTTTGTACGTTTTCATATATTTAATATATAAAAAAAAATTACGGTCTTTTATACTGTTTTTAAAAAATTTGCTTTTGCTCATTGTAATTTTTTTTTCTATTATGAATTTAAAAAAAAAAACTTAAGAATACAAACTTTAGTTGCTAAGTTGTACGCTAATGAATTATTCAATGTAAATTAATTTAAATTAAAAAAATAAATAAATGCCTTTATATCGGCATTTTAATTATTGTGGTTCTTGTGATAACAGATGTTTTATCAGGTTTTCAATGTTAAAAAAGTGTGTAATATAAAAGATAAAATAAAGCTTGTTAAAAGATCTTTTTTCTTTTTATACATAGGTATAAGATATCTGAGAATGTTCTATGGCAAAGTCCCAGTTGTGTTCCACTGTACTTTCATATTTGATAGTTTCCTAACATTTAGCATTACTTTTAACGCTTAAAGTCTCAGGCTGCTATCTTGGTATCAGCAACTTTATCACAATAATTATTCAGTGTTAATAATTTTTGAACATTCAAAAGAGTAAATTTATTTAAATAGCATTAATGGGTTGTTATAAATTACAGAATTGTTTTACGAGATGAAAATTTATTTAGCATTGTAAGAGATAAGAGCTTCTTAGATAGATCAACGATGAATCGGAAATTTCACCTAAGTGGGAAAAGGGTTTCATCGCCTATACATGATTCACCACATAAATATAAACAAGGGCAGTTTTTGATTAAGCATTCTAAAAATATATGATGAAAAGTTATCAGGATCATTAAAATAAAATGCCATTTTAACAGCTATGAATCAATTCTACTCCATAAATCTTTGAAATAAACAGAGATTTGGAATGCAGGAAAATAGCCCTTTTTTTCTTTTATTTGTCATAAAATTGTAGAGAGATAATGAAAAACTTCAAATCCAAGAAGGTGCAAAAGGAAAATGTCTCCGGTGTCAGCAGCTTTTGATGAGCGCATATTTTGAGATGTTTAGTGTTACAGGTGCTCATAAGCTTGAGGAACATGTCACGACCTAAAAATAATGCTGCCAATAAGTACGGCAAAACTGGCTACAAAATATCCCGCATCCAGTTATGCCATTGAGGATTAATATATTTAAATTGAATATTAAATAAATTCTTTATCTTAGAAACTGAATATAGAATTTATTCGCATAAAGGTGACTTCATTTATATTTTTTGAGAAGCTTCCTTCTACCTTCATGTCATATATTTTTTTGCGTCACTAACAGGATTCAAAACAACATTTTAACAACACAAAATGTAAAATAAACATAATTTCATCTTTAAAAAAAATTCACTTTTCCACATCCTAAATGTATTTGTTAAATGTAAACATTGTTTGTAAATCCCAGGCCCTGAAGATGATCTCAATAAAGATCGAAACGTTGGCACGATAAAGAAAATGTTTTTCTGAAACCTACATCACACCAGACCGCATCTCACGATATCTGAATAATTATCAACTAACGGTCACTAATCTCTACACATTTAAAAAAACTACACCTTCGAGTGTTAGAAAATAATATAATTCAAATCCATCATAAAAATGTGGTAAATAGCACCCAAAAACTCAAGTTTTTACAATAAGAATTAAAGGTAAAGAAAGTAACCAAATGAAATGGAAACAAACAATTTATGTACTTAAATTACAAAAATAACAATGTTAAAAAAATTAATGTACAGTTTAACTTCATCTAAACTAACAAACTGTTTGAAGGGTGTTAGTACAACACTGTAAGATGCATCCTCACTACTGCCAAAGCAAACTGTAAAATAAGAAAAATTAATTAGCACAAAGGTAAATAAAACAATTTATTTATTTTAAAGATAATTTCTAAATCTACCATTTTATGTATACATATATATATTATTTTTTTTTATTATTATTTTTTTTTACGGGGTTATATGAACCCTCAGGGTTCAGGCAAAAGTAGCTAATAGCCCATTTGTAAGTATGCTAGATTCGAACTCAAGACCTTTACCTACAGTGATAAGCGCCGTTTCAACGCTTAAACCTGCCACAGACACATCCTATAATCTACCAGGTGAAGAGCAGGTCATGTTTCATTTTAATGCACAAGCTCCAAAGCTGTTCTTTAGTTTGATTTTGATCAACATCCAGAATACCCAAAAGGTCTTTAACTTTTCATATATTAAAATGTATATGTGTTGTGTAAGGCACCCGGTCACTAGCTAGGCCTAAGTTCCCGTTTTGTTTAATCTTGCCACAACTCTGACTTGCCCGTAAAAGTGTTTGTTGTCCATCCCAAATCAAGAATACTGCAGGAATATATCGAGACCTTTCACGGCCCTGTAGGACTTTCTCCGCATCACACCGAATAAAAAGTACCCTTGTTTTTATCATGAGTATTTGGGAAGGCTTCACTTAAAAATTAATTGATTTTTTATTAAGTTTAACCACCCATGATTTCCTCTTAATTCTCAACCTATGGCATCGACTGTGACAATATGCATCCATAATCTGCCTCGAACAGAATGATAATGAGGGTGGTATGGTAAAATAGAAAGTGACGGCTGGCGAGAGAGCCAGGCAAGCCAGACTATGCAGGGAATACTGTCATGCCATCATCACAATTGCTTAAGCAATTTACATATTACATACAAAATTATCACAAACGAAAGGTAAAGTCCTCAAGACATGTCCGGGTTTCAAATAAGTGTACCTTAAAGGATCCCATTGACCGACAATACCAGGCCTGTAAGAATTTAAAGAAAATAATAAGCTAATATACTGGCTTTCTGGTTATTGTCAATTTAATTATCATTTTAAGAGAAATTGGATAATGTCCTTTGTCACTGCAAAGCTTTGGCCCAGAAACACTACATCCTCTTTGGTACGGCGCTCTTGAATATAGCTCATTCAAGTGCGATTCAGCCAGGTGCAAATTTCAGTTCACAAATACAAATTTAAAGGAATTAACAGGGACCACGGTAGCTGAGTGGTTAGCATGAGAGACTCTCACGCCGCTGTCGTGGGTTCGATTCCCACCGTCGCCTCTGGCCCTTTTTTCCCGATAACCCCCAATTTGAACAACATATGACATTCGTCAAAAAAAAAAAAAAAAAAAAAAAAAGGAATTAACGTTTGAAAAAGTCAATAAAAAATGTTTTGTTCGGGTAATAAAAAAATTAAAAAGTTTTACTCCATAGATAACACATATGAAAACATGTCACACTGAAGTTTCTGCATTGTTCAACTCGCTGTGCATATTATAAACATGTCATATATTACAAGAAAAAATGGAGTTGATTCTGTTGTTGGGAAAAATGGACTAAAATTTTCACCAGGATGTATCACACTTTAATAAGCTACATTCAGGGTGTCCTGTTAATCGATGCTATTTGAGGAATTTGCCGACTAGATTTTTCTTATCTTTGTTTTTGCTACCATGAGAAATTAATTTAATATAAATTAAAATGGTAAATAAATTGGTTGAAAAGTTAGAGATTTTGTTTTTCCCAAAAACAACATTCAAAAATATTTTTTTCCGAATAACTGGAATGGTTGTTCCAAATTAAAAACCGTTTGTACTGCTGAATCAGTGTAAAAAAAAATTGTACATTGATGAGTATTTTGGCATTATTCTGTATCCCTTCATCCTGGAAAGTTAGTTGTAAACTTTTGACTCATGAGATACTAGATAAAAAAAATATAAAATTTACATTCATAGGTTTTCCCAAAAATGCCCCCCCCCCCAAAAAAAAGTATGTATTATACGTAGGGGAAAAAAGGTTAAGCCCACCCTGCATTCACTACAAGAGCTTTCCTCATTTTCATTGAAAATCTCTAGTAAGTTTAAAAGAGACTTTCTTGGCTGAGTAATTTCCCTCTCTCCATTTGGCAATTATCAGAATGATCCTTTTTTTTACGGCAAATGAACTTTACAGAAGGGGTCCTGAACCTTTGTTACCACCCTTATTTTCAAGTTGCACACCACATAAACATTCAATCGATGTTATTTGAGGAATTTGCTGACAAGTTTTTTTTTTCTTTTCTTTGTTTTTGCTACCATGAGCGATTAATTTAATAACAATTAAAATGGTAAATAAATTGGTTGAAGAAATTAGCTTTTGTTATTCCCAAAAACAGTGTTCAAAAATAGTTTTTTGAGAATAGCTTGAATTAGCCCCAAATTAAAAACCGTTTGTACTGCTGAATTCAGTGTCAAAAAAAAAAAAATTGTACATTGATGAGAATCTTGACATTATCCTATATCCCTTCATCCTGGGAAGTTAAGTGTAAACTTTTGACTCATGAGAAACTAGATAAAAGATAAAAATTTCTGGGATTCAACAAGAGGACTCAGCCAGCCAGAGCCAGCGAGGATCAGCCGTTGCGACCAATCGAGCCATCAGAGGTCGAGAGAAGAGATGCTGTGGACACTGATCATGGCGAGCATCGTTTGGGGAAAGTCCCTTTGTTTATACTCATCCCAGATTTAGAGTTGTGGCTGACTTGTAGATTAAATAAGATTCTGAGGTTTTTGAGATTAAGAGAAAGAATTGTGTACAATAAATGTTACTGAATACGCTCTCTGGTTTAATGAATTCTGGAACCTTACCTTCCCTACACAAGAATAAGTAGCGACGTGCTTACGCCGACTCATCTCTTGTCGCTTAGAGAAAAACAAGTGAATATCGAGAGATAATTCGGCCGCCGCGCCGTCGTCCGCTTACAAATATATAGGAGGAAAGAAGTTTCCTAATTTTCACCGATAATCTCTAGTAAGTTTAAATGAGACTTTTTTGGCTGAGTAATTTCCCTTTCTCCATATGGCAATTATCAGAATGATCCTTTTTTTTTATGGCAACTGAACTTTACAGAAGGGGTCCTGAACCTTTATGTTGTTAACCACCCATATTTTCAAGTTGCATGCCGTTTAAACATTCAATCTTATCGCACGTAGTTCAATCTGCTTTTCCTACAGCATCACCTCACATCGCAGGGAGTGTAAATGCCATCGAGTACGATGAAGATGGCAAATTGCCATTGTGCTTTTAAAGAAAGCATCAGTATTTTAACAACGAAGAAATTTAATATTGGTTGAAACTATTGTCAGCATGAATTATGCACCTCATGATTGGTTTTTCATGAAAGCTTTAGCTTAGCAAAATAAACTCTCAGACCAGCAATTTCTACAATGAACCAATGTGAAAAATATTCTGCTCTAAGATAATAGTGAAATATAGTTACTACAGCTAAAACGTTAGGCGCAGAAAAAAGAACAAAAGGCAAATAAATTAAAATTTTTAGCATTGCTAACTTTTTACTCACCTTGCTAACGTTACTTCAGGGCAGCCAGGATCGGCACCTTTTCTAATGCCTAAAAAAGGCAAATAATTAATGTCTAATCAATTAATTAAATAAAAATAAATAATACCTAGGTAGATTATAACTGGGATGTACCCGTATTGGAAGGAAAACTTGAAAACGGACATGAGGTCGTAAAGCCTTTTTTTCGTCTGTGGCTGCATCTTAAAAACGTCTTTTATTTTACAGATGAACTGCTTTTTTTACTTAACTTAAATCAGTCGAATCGTCCGACAAAAGATAGCAATTTAGCAAGCCACATGGGAAAACCATAGAGAAAGCTGAGAAACCGAAGTGATACAAGCGCCCTCACTTTTTCTTTTAACTTCATCAGAATAGACCTAAAACAAAAACAAAATAAAGTAATTTTAAAATAATTTGTTTTAGTTTCTTGAGTATTCAGGGTATTAATTTGGTTGGACTTGGAGGTATATTTTTTTTACAATAGTTTCTAGTCAAATTCCTAATTCCTACTGTTTCCAACTTGACAAACTTAGTAATTTGACAAGTACTACTCTTGTTACTGTTTGCAAAATAAATTTTGTATATAGCTCAATACCCAAAAATTGCTAAATTTATGAAAAAAATGAAATTAAAAGAGTAGAAAAATTTCTCAATGAATGGTCATTCTATCTACTGCTGTTTCCAACTGTCCAAAATAAATTAAACATCAATGTAATAAACATAAATAATATAACTTGTAAAATCAATTTGTGCATCACAAATCTAAATATGATGATAATCCAATCAAGAAATATATGAATTTTAAGGGAAAAGTGTAAACAAAACTAAAGCAATTACTGCCAGTATTGGAGCATCACAGCTAATAATTCTCACAAATTGTCAAAAATAAAAATAAAAAACAATTTTTTTTTATTTTCAAACAAATAAGAAGCAAAAGTACTATGATAGAGAAAACTTCTGGTGTATACTATTCTATATTAACAAAATAGCTAATTATATCGTAGAAATCATATCTATCATGCAACCACATTAAAGATCTTGGGGTTACTGTTAATTCTAAAGTTATTCAGATATCGTGAGATGCAGTCGGGTGTTAACTCTAAACTAAATTTTGTTGATCTTTTTAAATTTTGTGGCAAGCAAGGCCAAAAAGGCTGTTGGTTTCATAAATACTAATATAATAAATATAATTTTTTTTTAATGTTCCAACGCCGACTACACTATACAAACATGGTTCATCTGTGCCTGGTCTCTTTGACCAAAGGAGATTTTTTTTTATCTACTTTGATTTGGGTATTTTCGGGTGCAATTCCTTGGCTCCATATATAGAGCGTGTAGGAGTGCAGTGTGTATTTGGGTCCCTTTTTCTGATTCTTGTAGGAAACAGGGTCGATTTATCACATCTAGTACTTATAGTTTTGGGTCCCTAGTGTGTGTTGAGAGTGAATGTATTTATTGGCACGAATGTGTTGTAGTGTGTGGTGAAATGGTGCGTACGCCATTGACTCTTAATTAGGTTATATAATAGGATAAAGGAATATCAAGTACTACACTTGAGTGAATGGCATGTAAGTAGGAAAGATTGTATTTAAGAGTGAGTGAGAGTGTAAATGGGTTTGGATTTTGAAACTGATTGCGTTGGGGGCTGAAATGACCTACTTGTTGATAGCACTTAGAACTCAATCTCGGTGGCTGACGGATAAGACCGAGGACTGCTTCTGGAATTGCCAGTAGACTGTGAGAAGTGATAAGCTCAACGCTATATCTGTGTGTATGTACACGCACGTGCAGATTTGAGCTTAAATAAATCAGTTATCAATAATTCATGTCATATAGGATGGCTTAACGTCCAACTATCCATTGGGTCACATGGACAACGGGTCAAACCACTTTACATTTTTCATACTATTATCAATTAAAAAGCTAAAACAAACTCGGAACTGTGACAAGTACAAGTCGGACACTTAACCCACTGGCCTCTGTGGTCCCCAGAAGCAATAATTTTGATTAAATAAAGTTAAAAGCATTATTTATTTATTTTCTTAATGAGAGTATTTCAACTAGGAGGTTAAATGAACCCTCGATTAGCAGTGTTTGTGAAAAAATAGCCGTCAGGCACAAATTCAGGGCTGCTGAATATCAAAAGGGTGTCCATGAGGCAATGACTCAGTTGATTATTTTTTCTGATATGCGTTGTCGCTAGTCAGCTTTAAAAGGAAGAAATATTGATTTTGGATCTTAATTCTCTGCGAGCATTCTTTCCAGCCAGATCGACGAGCGTTATAATTAAGGAGGATACTCAGTATTCATCCGAAGTTCAAAATCCCTCATTTTTTGAACTCTTATCGTTAAGTTTCAACGAGTACACAACGCCAGTTCAATTATTATAAACGAATATAGATGTTATATTTTTATTTGTTGCTAATCTTGACTGATGTTGGTTACAGATGTCTTCCCATAACATCATGGACCAGCTATATCATATGAACTATCAGAAGAGGTAGATCCAGTTCCATTAACGATAAGAGTTTAAAAAATGAGAGATAGCGTTGACACCCCTTTGGTATATTAAATTGGGGGAATGTTAAAACATGTGTACTGAAAACTGACCCAATGCAAAGAAATAACTTTGTTTTATTTACTAAAAAATATCTATACAATTTTAACATTGGTACAGTCGGATATGTCAAATGTACCAAGGCAAAAAAAATAAAAACAGATATTACACATTTACATACCTAAAACAATAAAATATTTTAAATTCACTTTTATGTCCTTTTTCTTTGTATATTCGTACATGGTCATATCCCACCTAACACCAATCGTATTGCACAGGTTTATTTGATATAAGTCTGTTGAAATCATAAATCATTTACACTCACTTGAAAAATTGTTTTATATAATTCAATTAAATGTGTATACATTTTCTTTCTCAAGTAAATCAAAATGGTGAAAAACAATTGATTTAAGAAAAAAATCTTCCGATTAAAAATTAGTTCCTCTTCATTACAGCCATGAAAATATATGTATGTAGTAAAATATGTTGTTGAAGATATTAAGTCTTCAATAGAAGTGGAACTTATCTAGAAAGTTAACCTAAATTTATAAATCATTTTATTTGTTATGAATAAAGCAAAAATTATAAAAAATTGTAAAACATCAAAAAACAAATAGAAACTTTATTTTTAAATGCTAATGTTATAATAAAAGTTTTTTGATAAGCAATGCATAAATTTCTGCATTTATGTAGTCTAAGTTTCTCTTTTGCGTTGTTATAATACATTCGTTTAGCCAGTTTGGCTTTAAATATTTTGATAATCGAAAATATATAAATTGTCTTATTTCATATACTCTTATAATTATTAAATTTTTTTTTATGGATGGTGAGGAGTATGGTTCTTGCACATTCTTGTAATCCCATCATTTTGAATTATATAGGTAACATCATTATCACCATTAGTTGTATTACGATGAGCCTGATTTCCAAAGGAAATTGGGCTGTCATCAAATCCTTGGACGTGGAGGCCTATAAAAGGCACCGATGGCCTTTCAGCAAGATATTCCCTGAAAAATCGTTCATTAGTATCCCATACTAAGATTAGTTAACAATTTAACACATACTTTAACTTTTTGTAAAGCATTAAAACTCTGCTTGTTGTTATAACGCCCATCCATGCTACCAAATAAGATTGCCCGATTTGTGTCATGTCTTCAGGGCCAAAGTCAGGAATGTCAATTTGTTCCCCTTCACCTTCTTCAGGCCTAAAAAAAACAATAAATAAATAATTTTTCAATAAATATTTAATGTATATGTAATTTTTATCCTTACGCTTCTGACAGTCCAATGTGGTGAGCGGCAAACCAATTGAAAAACTCCTCGGAAGACAGAATTCGATTTTTTGGAATCTTCACATTATACTCGACTTTGTGTCTCTCTTGAATTGAATATTCAGTCACTTCTAAGCCCATTTGATAAAAATAATTTGGGAATGATGTTGAGGAGACTCCAGGAGCTGTTAAAATTATTAGTAAGCTTTTTGAAAATTTCTCATTTGTTCAGTTGATATTTATCAAAACAAATAACAAAAACTATAAAAAAATTTAATATTATATTGCACATATTTTATAAGACTTGCATTAATTAACTTATTTACAAACAACTGTAAGGAGAAACAAAAAACTTACGAGGCTCCCAAGTCGCATTAAAATCAACCATGAAGTCTTTGGCATTTTTAAGCTTTTCCAGGAGCCTGTTGTAGCTATTATTTCCCGGTACAAAAGATGGAGATTTGAGATCGATAAGAATATCTGAAAATAATAAAAATCTTAATAAAATAATTATAATAATAAAAATTAAAAATAATCCATCACACAAAGTGAAATTGACTTACAATATTTTTTGTCTTCAGTGAGCTTTTTCACTTTAACACATGGAGATTCAGAAATGCCAAGGGACATGTATGTATTATAAGTAAGAGAAAGTGCTAATATGCCATTTGGAGTTATACCACAACAGTTTTCTATTTCAACTTTAACATCAGGGGTCAGCAATGTTAGTTCACCTGGGAATTGTAACACATAATTGATCAATGTCAATAGAGTAATCAAACTCAGTATTTCAATAATTTTCCAAACTAGTAAAAATTATTAATATGATAAGATCAAGTAAATGATTATGATGCAATTTAAAATGAAATTATTTTTAATTGCACCAGAATCAATTTAAGTTGGTGGTTCATCATTTTTTTCTATGATGACAAAAATACCAAAAACTGGGCACTCATATTTTGTTGTTGTTGTTTATTTCAAACTATAGTACTTTTATCATTATATTAATTATAACATACTTACTTTAATGTAAACCAAATTAAATGGGAACAAGAGTTCAAAAATGGTATATGTACATATATATTTTTTAGGTTTTCAGGAGACTAAACAAAAAATGGTTGGTGTATTCAGCAGTATTTTGAGAAAAAAAAAGTTAAATTTGCCTTAATAAAAAAAAAGTTGGTGCAGCACATAACGTCAGTCACCCTGCATAATTCAACCAAATTTCATTATATTATTAATTTATTTGCAATATTTGCAAATATGAAGAAAAAATTAACAGACCCATTTGAGGAAAAAAAAGTTGATGTGTATATTCTGCAATACGTAGAGAAAAAATCTTTCTGTATTAGCCAAAATTAAGTATATTAGAAACCATGAAATACGTGTATTTTATTTGTTTAAATTTGCCTACATTAAAAACAAAGTTGGTGCAATCAAATCATTAGCCAAAATAAAGTACATCTGAAACCATGAAATATGTGTATTCCATGTTATGTTTTTTTAACACAACGCCAGTCACACTGTATAATTCAACCAAATTCCATTATATTATTAATTCCTTTGCAAATATAGAAAAAAGTAATAGGCACCCATTTTGTTTGTTTGTTTGTGTTTGTGTGTGTGTGTGTGTGTGTGTGTGAGAGAGAGAGAGAGAGAGAGAGAGAGAGAGAGAGAGAGAGAGAGAGAGAGAATAGAAATAGAGAAATAGAGAGAGAAAGGAAGAGAGAGAATGGTAGAAAGAATGGGAGAGAGAGAGAGAAAAAAAAATCGTTTTGTATTAGCCAAAATAAAGTACATTAGAAACCATCAAATATGTGTATTTTATTTGTTTAAATTTAAAAAAAAGTTGGTGCACCACATAACGTCAGTCATCCTTCATAATTCCACCAAACTTCATTACATTATTAATTTCTTTGCAAATATGTAGAAAAAAATAATAGGCACCCATTTGAAAAAAAAAAAATTTATGCATTCTGCAATATTTAGAGAAAAATCATTATGTATTAGTATACTTTGTATTAGCCAAAATAAAGTACATTAGAAACCATGAAATACATGTATTTTATTTGTTTAAATTTGCCCTCATTAAAAAAAAAAGTTGGTGCAGCACATAATATATTATTAGCTTCTTTGCAATGCATGCATTTGGAAAAAGAAAAGAAAAAAGTTGATGAGATAGGCTCCTATTTGGAAGAAAAATTGATGTGTGTATTCTGCAATATTTAGAGAAACAAATCAATCTGTATTAGCCAAAATAAAGTACATCAGAAACCATGAAATACGTGTATTTCATGTTATTTTTTAACAAACGTCAGCCACACTGTATAATTCAACCAAATTTCATTATATTATTAATTTCTATGCAAATATGTAGAAAAAAGTGATAGGCTCCCAACTGAAAAAGTAGTTTTAAAAATTTGTACACTTTTTATTACAGAAATACAGAATGATCAACAACACAGTTATCAACAGCTTCTTTTGCTTTTGATAAGTTTTCACTATTTTTAAAATTTGTTTTCATATTTTATTTATTAATTTCTTTTTGTTAGTAATTTAGACAAAATTTTCTTAAATTTTTTTGTTTTTCACATAACATTGAGACATTTTAAGAACATTTTTTTGAAGGTGTGAAGTTATAGGGGAGTGGCTTATTTTTCTCACGAAACAATAAATTTTGATAGGTATGTGTGGTGATTAGTGACCATTAATCGATAATTATTCAGAAATCGTGAGATGTGGTCTGGTGTGATGTAGGTTTCAGAAAAACATTTTCTTTATCGTGCCAACGTTTCGATCTTTATTGAGATCATCTTCAGGACCTGTGTTTTACAAACATTGTTTACATTTAACAAATACATTTAGGGTGTGGAAAAGTGAATTCCTTCCCCACCCCTTCAAAATCCAACATATATAAACATAAAACAGCAAAATCTCACTGGCACTCTCAACCCGACACGCAAGAATGGCACAATTACACAGAAGACAAACACTTTGAGTGAGTAGAAATACTTTGATTGAATATAAAAAATATATTTTGCATTGTATAAATTCACTTTTCCACGTCCTAAATGTATTTGTTAAATGTAAACAATGTTTGTAAATCTTAGGTCCTGGGATTTTGAGCCCTGAAGATGATCTCAATAAAGATCGAAATTTTTGCACAATAAAGAAAATGTTTTTCTGAAACCTACATCACACCAACCGCATCTCACGATTTCTGAATAATTTTTGATAGGTATGTTCGATTCAAAGAATTCTTTTTTTATGTTTTCATGAGACTAAACACTGCTTAAAAAATTTGGGAAAAAGTAATAAGATATTCTGCAATATTTAGAAAAAAATCATTCTATATTAGCAAAAATAAAGTACATCAGAAACCATGAAATATATGTATTTTATTAGTTTAAATTTGCCTTAATTTAAAAAAAAAGTTGGTGCAGCAAATAACTTCAGTCACCATGTATAATTCCACCAAATTTCATTATATTATTAATTTCTTTGAAAATATGTATAAATAAAGTAATAGGCACCCATTTGGAAGAAGAAAAAAAAGTTGGTCTGTGTATTCTGCAAAATTTAGAGAAAAATCATTCTGGATTAGCCAAAATAAAGTACATTAGAAACCATGAAGTGCATGTATTTTATTTTTTTAAATTAAAAAAAAGTTGGTGCAGCACATAACGTCAGTCGCCCTTTATAAGTGCATATAGGGTTATTATTTAACATTAGGACTTTTTGTAAGACTGACTGCCGGTCTCACTGTTTAATTGGATAAGGGTTATTTAATAGTAGGACTTTTTGCAAGGCCTTATTCTGTTCTTGGTCCTAATACTACTCAACAATTGTTTATTACGGAACGGCCCAATATTTCTATATAATCGTGTCTTTCTGAGGTTGACAATCCACAGATGTAAGCTAGATCTTTGAAAAACTAGGAAAATAATTATAATAAAATGCATGCTTAAACTTTATTCAATACCTCTTTTGATGAAGGCATCGATGAAGGGTTTCTCGATGAACTTGTAGACCGGGACATCCCATATGATGTAGTAATCGCCTTCATCCAGGATGATGTTCTTGATGTTCTGGTCAAGTTGCATCGCCTCCGGTACAAAGACAGCGACCTAGGAATAAAAAATTATTTAAAAATCCATAATCGATTCTGTTTCAAAGTCTCGGCTTACAATCATATTGAAAGGGTGTGACCTGAGGGTGTTCTCGAGAACAGGAGAGTCCGAAGGATGAGAAGAATACTGGATGACATTGGCCCCTGCCTCCCTCGCGCGAAAGGCAGGCGGCTTCATTGTCCATCAAATGGGAACGGCGTGAATTTCTCTGAAGAAAATGAGAGAATCTCAGAGGCCGAACGCCGAACGATGATTTATGTTTATATTTATAACCCCATCGGACCAACGTGAACAGTTGAACACGATTGTCAGCCTTCTGCTGCCTGCTGCAGTGCTGCTGCTGCTGTTCCTACATGAATTTCACTGTTTGACACTGATTCCCTCGGTTTTTTAATTTATTGAAGCCTCACTCATACACGTTTCTACATTTTTGTTAATTTATTTAATAGTGAAAACAACTTTCAATTCTAGACCTGAATTTGATTGAATATCAACCTATATTGATAACCAAAATTGGTATATCCTATTAGGATGTTCTCAATGACATCCTGCAGCAGCAACTAAGCTTAATTTCACTTGAATCTCGACGTATACAAACTTCTTAACAACAACATATACTCCTCTGAGAACCAATAAATTAATTAACAAATTAATAATTAATTAATGTATAATAAATTCTGCTCACTCTATATAATCATGGTTTCTGCTCTAATAGATCAACTGTTACTAACCTGCTCACATTTCAAAATTACATCTTAGATGCAATAAATTCTGGACNAAAAAAAAAAAAACTACATGCTCTCTTCTCCTCTACGCAGAATGATGATCAAGAGTACATCTGCAATAGCATTGACTTCTTCAATAGTTCTGTGCAATTTATGAAAAACCTTATCCTACAACCTTAGTTGAATGCTTTTATATTTCATATGTACAAAATTATTACAATTTATTTCATTTACTGGTTCAACTAATTCTTGCACTCTAGTCTTATATATTCAGTTTATTTTGTTTTCTCTGCCTTATTTGGTTAATAATTATGTCTTTCATTTTTGTTGTTCAGTTTTTACTCTTTAATTGTATTTTTATATTTATCATTTATATTTACCATTTATATTATTACCATGGATATACGTCCTTATTTTTTTTATATATATTATTTGTATTTTTACATATATTATTTATATTTTTTATTATTGTAAAATGTCTTTTTATAGTGGATTTCGATCCGTAAATAAATAAATAAATAAATGGCTTTCTGCACTTGACAATCCACAGATGTAAGCCAGGTCTTTGAAAAACCAGGCAAATAATTATCATAACTTAAACTACCACCAATTACCTGTACCTCCTATCAATAGACTTGGAAATAAAATTAATAATAATAATAATAATACTGACTTCTTTAACAACTCTCTCGACCAGTCTAAAAATCTTTAAAACCTATCCTCTGGTCACTAGTCACTACCTTCACTGCCTTTCCTTATATTCCAATCATTATATATTCCATAAATTCCTAGTTATATTCAAGTATTTTATTGTATTAATGTGATATCAATTGTTTATTATTATTATCATGATAAATTTTATCAAAACATGTTGATTGTTAATTACATAATAATGGGCACTCTCAACACGACGCGCAAGAGTGGCACGGTTGCACGGAGGACAGGCACTTTGGGCCCTGAAGGTGATCTCAATAAAGATTGAAACGTCGGACTGGTCAAGAGAGTTGTTAAACAATTCGATATATAGACATGTAACAGTTACAAAGTAAATTAAAATTCACACTGAAAAATATAATAGAAAAGTACATTTATAAAGATATAATAATTGTAAGTAATTTATAAAGATAAAATAAAATTTTAACATAATAATATATGAAATTTGTTTTGATAAAAGTAATCATAATAATAAGAAGAAGAAGAAAAAGAAGAAAAAACACTTTCTCTGATGATCAAGGCAGAATTCTTGCCAATTTTAAATAGCTATCCCAATAATAAAGTTTTTTATACCAATGGGCCCAAAAATTAAATTGGTGTAGGGTGTGGGATATTTGCTAATGAGTACAACCTCAGCTGGTCTCTATCGAATGAGGCTAGCATATACACAGCTGAATTTCATGCAATCAGAAGATCATTGAGCATTATAAAGCATTATAATAAAATTGCTTGCATCCTCGATTTCTTATGATTTTAAAATGTCAAATAAAAGTATAGGCTATATAAATTATACTTCTGACAGTACCACTTTCGTGAAGATTTATAGTCAAATTAGGAAATTAAATTAAGGAAAAAACAAAAAATCTATTATATGTCTATATTTTGTATATATATAAAAAAAAGGTGTGGTCTGTTAAATAAATAAAATAAAATAAACATTTTCCCTACCATGTTTATTATATGCATGAATTTTTTAAGCAGAATTTTCTGAGTTAATAGAACTTACTAGAATATAATAAGTCTGTTTTACTAAATGTAAAAAGTAAAATTGCGGGGTGATTTGGCAAACTGTGCTCTCTGAGAGCTGTCGAATCCCAAATCTGTACTTACTGCACACCATTAAGTCCTAATTCAACAAGGAATTTGATTATTTTATTTATTTTAAAGGTGCAAATAAGGCTTTAAGCCCCCTTACACGTACATATATTAGAAATAAATTTAGCTTTATAAATAAAGCCATCTGCTTATTCATTTCCCTCCTCTTCTGCGTGCCCTGGGGCACTTGAGTACCTAATCTGTTTAGTTTAGTTTTGCAATTCAGCTCCATCTTTGAACTAATAATGTTTGAGTTTGATGCTCAGCGGCCTGATATGATAGCTAGGTCCTTCTTTTTGTACCTTCTGTTTGAATCAAACTGAGCACATCTCTCAATTATATGGGTTTCAATTTGAAAAATACTGATATAATTTCCCATGGGTTCTGAGTATTTGGTTTCATGGCCAAATACACCTGCATCTGTACCTTCTTGCATTCTAAATCCATTAAAAAAAATTGTTGATGTTATTATTTTTTGTAAACTTAATTAATATTTTATTTGTTTGTTGCGTCTCTAGATACAGGCACATATTTCACCCAAATACATTTATTTAAAAAAATATTTGCATTGAAATTAACAATATTACCGATGTTATGTGCTGCACCAACTTTTTTTTAATGAATGCAAATTAAAAAATAAAATGAAATACACATATTTTATGGGTTCTAATGTACTTTATTTTAGCTAATACAGATTGATTTTTCTCTAAATATTGCAGAATACCCTATTACTTTTGCCCAAATTTTTTGTCAAATTAGTCTCATGAAAACATAATTTTTTTTTTTAATCGGATGTACCTATCAAAATTTATTGATTCATGAGAAAAATAAGCCACTCCCCTATAACTTCACTCCTTCGTAAAAATGTCCCAAAATGTTCTTAAAAATGTCTCAATGCTATGTGAAAAAAAAACTTTTAAGGAAGTTTTATGTCTAAATTACTAACAAAAATAAATTAATAAATAAAATATGAAAATAAATTTTAAAAATAGTGAAAATTTATTAAAAGCAAAAGAAGCTGTCGATAACTGCATTGTTGATCATTCTGTATTTCTGTAATAAAAGGTGTAAAAATTGAAATCCATTTCCCTCGGCTTAAAACCAAAGACATTCCTTGCCTATTTTTGTATTTATATTGACTATTTTTTATAATTTATTAATTAATTAAATACTAATTAAATATTAATTAATTAAATTAAAAAATACTATATTATTATAGTACTTTATTACCATATTAACAAAAATATATAATAATTTGTGATATAAATTGATGATTGTACATCGATAGTCATGTTTAATTGTCTTCATTACACTCTTTATCCCAATCATCAGGAGTGACAGGGGCTAAGAGTTGTTTGAATTTATCAAATGGGCATTTAATGTCACATCCAGGAACCTGAAGAACATGAGGGTCGTGATATGGGTCTGTCTGATTCTTGTATAAAACCTGAAACGGGAATATTTTTTTTTTAAAGGTGATTAAAAAACATTTAACATAACTTGGGCTTACATCGACATAGTAATTGTTTTCTAATTGTCTCAACTCAACCAGAACCATGGCCGCGAAAGGAGGTGTCAATCTGTTGAAAACTCCCAGAGTGTTTAAGAAGTTTGCTACAATATTTGCGTGAGTCGAGTATGCAGTGATATTTGTACATTTTTGCATTCTGGATTCGTCATTATTAATTTTCTCATCAAATGTTTTGATTATGGTTTTCAACAGCGGGCCTATTAGCAAAAGATTCAGTTGTAAAAAAAAATTTGTAAAGAAATTTTTTGTTAACACGATTAAAAAGCATTTAATACCTGATTTTAACCGTTTCATTTTTGTAGTGTAAGTAGGCAATAAAAAGGTAAAATCGCTTGCTTTTTTTAATAATTCAGGATAAACACCGTTACTCCACGCTGGCAATTCGAGACCAGCCATTTCCTGAAATTTTTTCCATTTTTAACTTTATACCAGGAATTCTCTCTTTATGATTGTTATTAACCCTAATAAATATATACAAACATAAATAAGCAAAGTCGAATAAACAACTCGTAGGCGATCTGTCGTGGTAATCGAAAGACCAGTACTTTCTGTAATATTTTCAACGAGGTCAACAAATTTATTTAATTTTTTTAATTCTTCCGATTCGAGAAAATTCTTAAATTCTTTGTCATAACTTCTGCATTCTATGTCTTCCATAGCTACAAGCTGAAATGAAAATAACACAATTTGATTTTGTTCCATGTTTAGTAACCAATTATTGGGCAAATAGTTATATTATTTGCCAAATTTATATTTTAATTTAGTGGTATGAGAAATACTATATGTAAATATTTGGCAAATTGGAAATCCATCTTTGATTTAAATTAAACAAACATAATATTTTCTATTTTTGTTTATTATTAGTCGAAAAGTCTGCTAGAGAAGAAGAAGAGATCAGAGAGTTGGCATTGTATTTCCAAATGTTTCAACTCTCATAGAGCCATTTCAGTGTGCACACTTTTTCTTGAGTGTATGAAGAGATGAATCATGAAATTTATAAATTTCAGCCACAGGTGTTAAAATTTGGCTGCCTAATCTCCACAAGCTAGTTTATGATATCAAATAATTTGGAGCACTAAAAGACTTTGCCTCAAATACACTTAAATGAACAAGTCCCTATTTATTCTAATTATTAAGTCCTAAATATTGTTATTATTGATAGAGTTTTTTACCGTTATTTATTTATTGCATAATTAAACATAGATTTAGGTTTAGGGTTCCAGGCGGTTTTCCTCTTCTTAGTAAGAAAATTTTTGATAATATAAATAGATAGAAAATAAAATCAAGGAAAAGTGAATATGCAAGGGGATACCAGCAAGGGAAGACCTTTTGTTTTAGGTTTTAAATTGAAAATATGGTCCCTTCAAAAACCGACTAGCGGTCTCGCCTGAAGGAAAGATCGTTGGGAGGTATTTTTATCCCATTTATTTGAAATCCCTTAGATATACAAATTCGATTAAGCTAAAGCGTTTGTCCGCCGATATGGGGTCTTCCTCAGGTACGGCGGGGTGGTGGAAAGGGTAATTTAAAAAAAAGTTGTTAAAATTTATGAGAGAATTGAAATGTTGGAAAATATAATTTCAAACGTAAAAAATGTCTTCTTCCCTGACCAACTTCTCAACTGACAATCAACACAAATTGAATCCAACTTGGTGAGATTTCCGCTTTGGGTCTGTGGGGTGATGAACCTGCAGTTTGATCATTTCCGATCATTTTAGTCGGATGAACAAAATATTTTTTGTAGTTTGATTCTTTGGATTCTGGATTATCTATTCCCACCGGCTTGGTCACCATCTCACAGGTTTGTCTCGATTCTCCAAAATGCTTCTGACAGACAAATCCGACCAGGGTGATCAGAGATGATCATTCAACAGTGTCATCGCCTTGCATAAATATAACTTCTGATATTTAAACCATACCTTATCTGTTTTAAGACTTTCTGTATAAACTGGAGTCGGCTGCCATTTAAGGTCAGTGAATTTGCCACTTTCCTCAGGCGGGAACATGCCTGCAAGGCTTGAAAGGGCACTCATGATCGTACGGTCATAAATAGAGCTCTGTGTACACATTGATCTGGTCCTCAATTTTGGATTTGGTATTAAATGCGCATACGACAGTCTGAGCCATTCTCCGAGCTTATAGTGGTGGAGCATGCCTTCTTTTGTCAGTTGTCCATATCCTTCTGGCCAATACTTAATGTCTTTATAGGCATCATCTTTTCCGAACCACGTCGGTGTCCTCTCGCCATGACGGTACACCTAAAACACTCTTGAACTCATTAGAAAACACCAAATCTTTTTTTGTTTATTATGTTGCAATCCTTCTTGACAACAAATTTATTTTTCTTTGAAATAATAGATGACAATAAATTCACAATACATTATGCATTTCTGATGAAAATTAGCCATAGGCTGAGGTGTGCTATTATACAATGTTTAATGGCTTCTTAATGTAAATTACATTCATAAACATGAACAATTTAAATTTAAAAAAGTATAATCTTTCAACAATGTAAAGCGATTAGAAGTTGATAAACCTACATAAAAGAATGAACTCATGACCTTAGGCATCAATAAAGGACTAATAGATTTCTTATCATATTTACTTATTACTCTAATAATTTATTTGCACAAGTAATTATATGAGTGATATACAAATATATTTATATATATATAATTTATATCTATATATACATGAATTTAATTATGTACCTTATCTTGTTACATTTCTGTTTGATTATTCTTTGCTAAGTTGAATTGAAAATGAGTTTACACTATTTAACTACATATTATACTAATTATAGAAACAGGTAAAACACACAAATATACTGAAATAATAAAACTTTATCACATTACATACCAAGCTGACGTGCACAACTGGACCCAAGTTTTTGTCTAAATCTTTCCACTCCAGATCGCTAGCTTTTGCAAAGGAAACAGACAAAATTAAAATGCACGTTATAATTTTCATGTTTATTCTTGTAATTCTTTAAAGCTGAATAAGTAAAAGATGGACCTCCATTGCTTCTTATACGAGGGTCCCCACTATTCAATTGGAAGTGTTTCTATTTTTTTTGTTCTCTTATCTCAAATTAAAATGAGATTTATTTTCTATTTTATTTTTCAACAGTTACAGGCAGAAAAAATTGCATTACATACACTTTTAATTATTTATACAAAACAAAAAAAGTGTGCTTAGAAATATAAATAAGAAAACTAAAAAGAAACCAGCAGAAAAATAAAACAGAAAAGACATTCAGCAATAAAAACTTAAGCTTACTCATTAATTAAATTCAATAATTTCATGGTCCGCTTGACCAATTAATATATAATTAATTAAGGTTTTTAGTTGAGATAAAAAAAAAAAAACATGAGAACAACAGAGATGAAAAATGGCAAAAAGGAGGGAAAATTCAAAAGGTGCGGTTGAGATGGGAGGTTGGTGTCCGAGTGGATTGAGATCATGATAGTTCAAGTGGTAGAGCAGTGGCGTATCAAGCCGAAGATCATGGGTTCGAATCCTGCTTGTGCCATTGAATTTTTTATCTCAACTAAAAACCTTAATTAATTGCCTTACACATTCACTTACACACCTGTTTCTGATTTTAATTGTTAAAAAGATATCTTAGGTGTGTATATATTAATTTTATTGTTGTAGTTTTCCATTTCCTTGAAACTTAAGCATTGCTTTTTAAGGATTTGTTTCTATTTTATAAGGCACGCATTAAATATCTTTTTAAGTATTATTTAAACAGCCATTCAGATTTAATGAAATATGAAAGGTTGACAGCATTATACAATATTGAGAGCTATTTAGTTTTGAGGTATGGTAATTGATATTTATTGTTCCACTCATATTCAAATATTTATATTGTTTATTGCAAAGAAAGTAATTTATTAGAGCGAAAGAAAAATGGTTGATATCATCTTTACCATCTTAGTTTATTGAATACTATGAAAGAGTGAACATATTTTATATTTTAAGTGTACTATAGTCGATAATATTAAGTATCCTGGTGTACGATGTAGCCAGTATTTCTTCTTGTAATCTCGGGAGATTTTTAGGATTTCAAGTTTCAATAGAATTTAGCACAGTATGGTGAAACCCCTCTATAACGAACACACAAGAAATAAATGTAAATATACATGTTTACAATTAAAAAAATAAATCTGTGTATACAAAACAGTTCCATGACTGACAGACAATGGACAGACCAAACTGCTGGATCCAAAGGGCTGAAATTTCGACAGTGCATTCCTATAATGACATTGATAGCCGTGAAGAAAAGATTTTTTGAAAATCCATCCCTAAGTGGATCATATGGACGATTTTTTACCATGTATAAATCGAAGTGTACTGAAGAACTGATTGGTGGAAAATGGGATTAACATCATATTTTTTGGCCTATTATTGGCCAAATGGGCACATCTTGGTTCTTAGTCTAAGTTAAGTCTCTGCTCTATTTTGTGTTAACCGATTCATGCGCCTTATGTAAAATTAAAAAAGCTATTTGTACGATTGAGTTTTATAAAGATAAGTTATACGACAAATTAATTAACATTATTTAAATTTATTTATTTACTAGCTTATACCCTCGACTTCTTCCATGCGGGACTCTGTTTTAATGTACATTTCTAATACGATGCAGAGTGCTAGTATGGCTTTCTAATAAGATGTCTCGTTTCTCAAATTCTCAGTCAATCATATTAGAGCAGAACTGTTGGTTCCTCTGTGAAGGAGAAGTTTTCAAAGGAGAAACAGAACATATAAAGCAGTGAGTAGAAAAGTATTACTGTGTGTAGTAGTCAGTGGTATAAGACAAATGTTCCCAGAAAAATATCCAAAAATTCGAACTAACCCAAAATGGTATAGAGGAAGAATGGAACTTTTGAGGAAAAAAAAAAAAAAACAGGCGCTTAGAAAAGGCAAAAGAAAAGTAGAAGTTCCTAACAGTTGTGTCAAAATACAAAATTTATACTGCACATCTAGCAGATGACAGCCCCCACCAAGACCAGCCAGGTAAGACATCCCTCCACTTAAAATGGGTAAGGCTCTCCGCGTAAAATGGGATAGTACTACCTTCTTTTCCTATCTTTTTTGCTGGGGAATTAAAAAATTGTCTGTTATAGAGGGGTTTTATTGCATTTAAGATAGTATAATATATATATATATATATATATACCTTTAAACCCCTGTCCAAATCNATAGAATATGTATATTATACTATACATATATTATTCCCGCTGACCAAATGGAATATTTCCAAGCTGTAAGTACTTGTATCTTTTTTTTTGTATTGCACCTATATTTAGGAAATAAAGTATTATTATTATTTCAATTAATTAAGGTTTTTAGTTGAGATAAATTGTAATATATTAATTGGTCAAGCGGACCACGAAATTAGTGAGTTGAATGGAATTATTATTACTATACTTTCAATTAATTAAGGTTTTTAGTTGCGATAAAAAAGTCAGTGACAAGAGTGGGATTCGAACCCACGATCTTTGGCTAGATACGTTGCTGCTCTACCGCTTGAGCTATCATGACCTTGATCTACTCGGACACTAACTTCCCATCTCAACCCCACCGTTTGAATTTTCCCTCCTTTTTGCCATTTTTCAATTTCAGTTATTATTATATATATTATTTACTGGTTGACAATCATCTAATGGTCATCGCTAATCTACAGCACATAAAACAGAAAATTTTGCATTTTCATTTTCTTTCACGTATTTCCATCTCTCAGATTTTTCTCTTATTTTCTTAACTCAACAACCTCTAAAAGAACAAGAAGACGTACAAAACAAAACACATAAGGATTTTCATGCTCCCCAACTTTCTGAAATGCTGCTAGCAATGGGAGCTTTGCCCCCAGCTGAAAACCCATACAGTGCGTTAAATGTCTGGCAAAAAGCTGGTATACAACGCCCCCAAACATACTACTCCCTCCTCCCCTAGAAGCGTATGCTTTCAAGTCATAAATGCCTGGTTGTGTTAAATACGGGTTAGGCTTTCTTTGGATCAGATTCTTTGTTTTTACAATGCAGTATGACCGTAAAAAAAGAGACTATAATGTATAAACTCAGAAAGCATCAAATGTAGAAAACTTACCCAAACATTCCACTGCCCTATAGAAAAACAAATTAAAATATAGCTTAAATTGAATTAATCCAAATAAGTTTAGTAGTCATAATTGACTGTATTACTTATTTTAATTAGTTATATTTTTAATTTAAGGTCATCGTTGAGAAGAAAAAGTTAAGTTACAATAGCTCAAGTGGTTAGAGCAACCGCACATTGAGCCAAAGGTCGTGGGTTCAAATCCTGCTCGAGACACTTTTTCATCTCAACCAAGACCTTATATAAAAAGTATATTTTCTTAAATTAAATATTGCATTATAAACTGGGAAATAAAGAAAAGCCTGTGTATGTTTAACGTGTTTATTTTCAACAAACGAAACATCAATCAAATAACTATTGACTAGGACTATGATTGAAATAGTTCCAAGAATAGCTTAATAATATGTACAGGATAACATTATATTTGATATCAGTTTTAACAAAAAATGTTACTACATATTTTATTATTCAAAATAAAACCATTTTTTGTAAATTTGAAAAAAATTACAGATTAACGTTCATCTGCATACCCTGAAAATTGATTGGAGAAATTTGAAAAAAATGATTTTTTTTTTTCTGTTAATCTCAAATGAAAAACTGTGATGTTATAACTGTTTACAATTAAAAATTTTTTTTGTGATTTTGAAAAAACAATAAAACTTTTTTTTTTTAAATATCTCATCACTATACAAGTACTAGCAAATCGCCCAGCGTTAAAACAATTTAAATCTGAAGCGAGAAGTTCCTGGGCGGGGTTTACTCTGAAAAAATCGAGACAATACCTGGTTTTTAATAAATTCTTCATTTTTCTTCTTTTTGGTAAGGAGGTAATAATGTGACATTTATTTTAAAAACATGCATAGGAATTAAAAAAAAAAAAAAGACTAAGTGATAAGAAAACATTGCAAAATAAATGGAAAATAAAACGTTTATTAACATGATGAAATTTGATCATATTCATTTTAAACGTATTTGAATCTACTCTGTGAAAACAATTATCTAAACTTTTTTATTTAAAATAATTACAATACTAATGGTTCAATTCTAGTTTGATGTTTCGCTCCTTTACCTTTTAAATATACTTCATCGAACATGTCAAGTTCTTTTGTTAGATAATTAGCCTTGTTTCTAAGCACTTTAGCAGAGTTGGCCGCCTCCTCAAGACCTCTGAGTTCCAATTCTAAATCTTTCATATCCTTACTCATGTACGTAGTCGCCTCATCCACCAGGTGACACAGACGAGCAAATGTACTCGAAAGTTCCCTGAAGTAATTAAAATCAAAAATATACATTTCTACAAACAATAAAATTAATTCAAACTTTACTGTTGGACTTGGTGGCTGCAGTTGGCAGATGTTAAATCTACGATCATCTTGAGCTTCTTTGTGGCATGGTCAACATACTGCCGCTTAAATTCCCTTTCTTTTGCTTTGTTGGTCCACGTAAGCCTTTCGTATAAATAAAGGCAACCGTACAAAGCGGAGGTAACAGCAATTACTCTCCACCCGACGGTTTTCAATGTCTAAAAGAAAAAAATCATGTCTGTTTTTCATTTCAGTGATAGTCAATGGATTCTTACCATTCCAGCCAGGAGAAAGCACCCCATTGTTCCCTGTGAGCCGATAGAGGCCAAAGCCAATTTAGACGCGATAGAAACGTCCTCCGGTCTTATAAAACTAGAAACTGGCGTGACTGGCTGAGGCTGGTAATAATTCATTTCCGCTATATCGCTGCATGGTGACAACATAGTTTGGTAGTTCTAAAACACAGTTGAAAATAATTACATTTAAAAAATTAAAATCACAAGCACAAGCTTACCGCAGGAGGATGGTGGTTTGCTATAGAAGGCTTTTGGCTCTTCGTGCAGAAACGATTTATGATAGCAGATATGCCCCATGAAAATCTAAACTCTAGATTTTCTTGGAAATCAGCACATAGGTTATCACAATTGAGCCGGTACAGTACTTCAAACGGTTCCCGTCTTGGTATGACTGAATTTGAAAGTTGGCGCGTTTTATCCGGAAGTAAGGCACACATACGGTCTAAAACAGAATAATACATCAGGTAAAAGTAGGTGGAGTGTTTATACATTCTGTTGGGTGGTTTTGACAACTGAAAATTTTCTTCTATAAGGCCCGGCCAGATAGAAAATGATGTTGCAGTAGGAAATGGTTCAGCAGTGATCATCGCAGTCTGCGATATTGTGTGTGAGTCACTTTATATCGCTTTCTTCTAGAGCATATTTAGTGCTGGTCTTTATAGACCAAACATTAATTTCGGTATGTTTTTATGTTTTGTTACTATATTTCGTCGACCGATTTATTTTGTTTTTAACCCTTTGAAGGTTTTTACAAGAATGATTGCCGGTCGGTCCTGTTGATACTGGCTGTACTGTCTGCAAAAGTTGCAATTTTTACACCAACTATTTTTAGAAAATTGCTGGTGAATAGTACATAAAGTACTTAGTAAGCTTCCTTGGGGTACTCCCTCATTTTTTTTCCATGTCTGAATATTCAGTTTAACTCTAAAATTATTTCATTTAAGAGGACGTGATAATGTAGCAACCCAATTTACTGATGAGTCCTTTATGCCAGGTTTTTTCAAAAGCCTGTGGTGCATCAAGGAATATACAAAGATACTCCAGTGAATTTGGTCCATTGCTGAGTGCTTTGATCAGAATCCAAATTGGTGGTCTGGGATAATTTTTTTTCCACTAAGGTGGCCATTCACGATCACTCCAAATGGAACCGCGCCAAGCCGTACAGCTCCATTTGGAGTGCCTGAAATTTGAGGGGCATTCACGACCGCTCCACAGCCAGTCGATCCGAACGTCAACCAGTGAATTACCTTCTCAAAATGGATGATGATCTCTTGTGCTACTCTTCTGTTTATTTACATATTAAAAGCAAAAAATCGAAGAGAAATTGGTGTAAGAAGTGGCTCCTGAACAGAAGCCGTCATACCCACATCAGTTTGATGAAAGAACTTTCCCTTGAACCTGCTGATTGGAGGAACTATTTAAGGATGGATGAAACGTCTTATTTATTCATTATATTTAGTATTTCTATTGACCAAATTACTTATTTCAATTATTTAATCTTTTTTGTAAGGTTTTGGTTGAAATGAAAAAGCTAGTGCCACGAGCGGGATCTGAATCCATGGCCTTCGGCTAAATACGCCGCTGCTCTACCACTTGAGCTATCGTGACTTCGATCCTCTCCGACACCAAAAAATGGCAAAAATAGAGAAAATTCCAAAGGTTGTAGGTTGAGATGGGGAGTTGGTGCCCGAGTGGATCGAACTATCAAAGTCAGGATAGCTCAAGAGGTTAACGCAGCGGCGTATTTAGCCGAATGTCCTGGATTCGAATCCCCTCGTGACACTATTTTTTCATTTCAACTAAAACCTTACAAAAAAAAAAAAAAAAAAAAAAAAAAAAAGATTAACGTCTTATTTATATTTACTCCAGCTTGTTACCCCCCCTTGATTAGAAAACAAAAGACAGTCATGAGAGAAATCATCACTATATGAAAGGTTGGCAACCACATTACGATTTCTCACTACAGGGATGAACTACAAAGAACTTAAGTTCTCTACTACGATTTCTGATCATTGTTAGGGGTTATCAATACCGCATCTCTCATTGCATTCGTATCCTTTGTTTTGAAAACGTCGACCAATTGGTTGAGGATCGAATTTCTTTTATTTCTATCGTGGTAATATAGTCATTGTCCACCACTTTCATAAACATGGTACACTTGCATACAATTCAATCACCTCAACAATAAAATCTCGATTGGATGTCATTACCAATAAAGAATAAACGTTTTTGACTTTTTGAGAATGTACGATGGAGATGTTTGCTCAGTGACAGAAAGATGGAGACTGCGCCAAAAAAACGAGGGTTTTCCCATTCACGACCAGGGGCCAGCGCGCCAAAATCCCCACCCTCCACGCCAGATTTTCCCATTCACGAACGCGCCATGCCGTCGTCACGCCGTAGATATTTGGAGTGGTGCGATGGAGTTTGGACCGTTCGAATATTCGGCACAGCCGGGCACGCCAGTTCAGTTTTGCCATTGACGTGGTTTTTGAAACAGCGTCGCTCCGTTTGGACTGCTTGGAGCGATCGTGAATGGCCACCTTAAGGATTTTAATCTGTTTAGTAGACTCTGTTTGAAAAGTTTAGCGATTTTTGGTAGTAACCATATGGGTCTGTATGATTTTATTTCGTTCATAAGTTCCCCGGTTTTTGTATCATGATAATTTCTACTAATCGACATATTTTTTTTTCTCAATACTTCTCCCAGTGATAAGGTCATATCCAGGAGTCTTTTTAACCGGTAGACTATTTTATTATAGATAAATTGCCTTTTTTGTTAAAAATACAAACCTGTCATTTCACGCTGACTGGCTTCAATATTCATAGCTAGAGCTGTCGAAAGTCTTGCTCTCAAGTTACTCCCCAGTCCATTTTCGACATGTAAGTGTAGTTCCTTTTTGTAAACATTCAAAACAAGTAGATCTGTATGGAATGGCAGATTGAATTCATCAACCAATGAAGACAATCTTCTTATTTCTTCACTCAGTGCTTTAGATACCTAGAAATATAATAAATTAATAATGAAATCCGCTTGAAGGGACGAGGGTATTCGAGAGATATTCTTACCCTTTGTTCTACATCTTCGACCATGTGGTGGATCTTTTCTTTCATCTCTTGTGTGATCAAAAGTAGCTGTTGTTCGGTATAATTTAATTTATCGTTGACTTCTTTTTTGATGATAGCCTTTTCTTTCTGCATTGCGAGCGCACGCTCGTAAACTGTTTCCATGACATCCCTTATATCACTTGAATAATAAATAACTTAAATGAGTAAGACAGGAAAAATAACTACAGTCGAACTTCCCATAAGTAGACACCACTCGGGAATGGTTTTTGTGCATTTATTAGAAGATTAAACATGAAGTTTTCCAAATCAAAAATTAAAGGCTGTTAAGCGGCCCTTAGACGGTCAATATTATTGTACAATACAGATTGCACAATAATTTGACGCTTGGCCCTTAACGTTCATAATATTGTACAAAATTTTGTTTGTGCAATGAACTTGAATAGTTTGAAGGCGATATTGAAGTTTGTGCAATATTTGGTTACTACTTGTACTTCACAAACTGACTGATATTGTGCAATAATGCCAACAGACAGTGCAATATTTTCCAGGTTGTACAATATATTTTCAACTTTTCGTCAATCATGCAATGTATTGCACAAACTTTCAATATCGTCTACACATGATCAATTAAATTGCACAACCCAAAATATTGTGCAATAATGGGGTCTATGGGCCGCTTTAGAGAATGTTGATCCACTGAGCTTGAAACATTTGGTATAAAAACTGCAATGCATTTTTTAAAATAATTTCCAGCTAATTTACTATTTTATTTTTAAATTGTTTATGATTATGTGAACAAAAAGGATTCTATTATGTAGGATAAGCAGATATCCTTGCCGTAATGGTAAAAGGTTGCCATGCAGACATCCTAATAGATCGTAATACAACAAGCTTTCAACCTGGTACAGAGGTAGTGTAAACGGGATGATTAACCCCCCCAAAACCTTAATGATTCCGTTATATAGTTCCATTTTCACGGTTTGTGGAATACTGAGTTTTTTTTCTGGCTGTCTGCTTTTAAGAGACTTTTTCATAGAAAAATCTAAACACGTAGTGTCAGTGTCTGTTTATTAGATGATTTTTCATTGTAAATTAAGTGGAATAATATTGGGGAAAATAAAACTATAAATTGTTCAGATATGTCCGCAAACAAGAAGTGTCTGTTTAAGGAAGTTCGGCTGTACACAAAAAATTAATTTAAAAATGTAATTATAAATTTATTATTAAATAAAATAAAGATGCTGAAAATTGAAATAATTAGATTAATTCTACTCACAGTGCGATTGATTTCCCTCGCTGCGAATGTTGTTCAAATTTCGTTTTGATGGCAGACTTTGATATACACTCTTCGAACTTTCTTTCAAAATCTTGAAATTCAAAGTATCGATTTGTAAATCCATCTGCGAGTGCTCCACCTGAATGCGTTATGATTAGACAAGTGATATATTTTAAATTGGTGTAATAATTACTTTGTGACGGAAGGCCTTTTTCTTCTTGCAGACGCGCCTGAAGAACTTCTTTGGCCGATACAAAGAAAATTCTCTCGCTTGCTTCTTTCGGTGTGCATACTTTAAGCTCTTTGACTAAAAACTCAGCCGCTCTCTCGGAGTGCTGCTGTCGCACCTGTTAAATAAGCAATGCCTTGTGATTTTCTTAAATTAAATTCAACAAAGTGTATGTACTAATGAAAAACAAAAAAGTGATTTTTCATGATTCAGTAATAAAACTTTAAAAAATAAAGTACTATACATTTACAGCATTAATTATGCTCTGTTCAATTAGTTTGCTTTATTCTCAAGAACCATATTATCAAACAAAAAATGGAATGTGAAATCTGTGTTTGTTGTTTGATACCAATAAATAAACCTTTACATGCTGCAAATAAATGGAAAAATGAAATGATTGTGACATTTCAACTAAATAATAAAACAAATAAAAAAGCTGCTCGTTCATTTAATAATATGAATGGTACCTGATTTTGCAGCAAATCTCCATTCTTCACCAGTCCAGTTTTAATTGCACCATGTTAACCATGGTTAAGAAAGAACAGATTCAATTAAAAAAAGAATTAATGAGTATATATATTTTTTCTGTCTAATGTTCTAACGTCAGATATTGAAGCAAGATTTATGTCAAGAATCTTCAACTATGAAAATAGTGCTAGATTGTTATAGCTCCAATTATAAGCCAGCATGATTCCATGTTTAAAAGATCTCACATTAGTACTTACCAAGTCCTGTGCTTTTTACGGTCAATGTTACTTAATTAAAATTTAAATTAATAGATCACCTGGTCTTGCATGTCGGCTTCAGACACTGAGGCATCCCATCGGTTGTTAAGTATGAAAATGTTCGGCTTCGAAAGTCGAGTTGAAACTTTGTGGAAAAAGTTCTTTTCCTGCAATATATGCAAAATTTATTAATATAATTCATCTTTCTACTTCTACTTTTTCGACAGTTTTGCATGAGAAGGGTGGGGCTAGCAGTTTTAGAAATTGGCTGATTATCATGGCTATTAGACTCGCTCATGCGGATTTTTCCGCTCTATTCCCTGCCAAGTGAAATCTCTAATTAAACGCTAACTTTTCTACAGATTCACCTTTTTACCATTCAATTAAACACTCTTTAATGTGTAATTAAGGTACATGTTTTAGAACTAGAATAATAAATGAGACTAAATATACCAAAAAATTACTTTCAAGAACAGGATTTTTAATTATTTAATATTGTATTAATTCATTAATAATCTGGTAGTAGTATTTCGCTAACTACTACTAAATGAATGTTTTTATTTTCATTTATATCTTTTTATCATCAGATCTAAAGAATTGTTCTTTAATTTTAGAAAATAAAAACTAATGCCATTGTTTTTTACTATTTTTATATTATGATTAAATTACTTTCAAGAACAGGATTTTTAATTATTTAATATTGTATTAATTTATTAATAATCAGCTAGTAGTATTTTGCTAACTACTACTAAATGAATGTTTTTATTTTCATTTATTTCTTTTTATCACCAGAGCTAAAGAATTGATCTTTAATTTTAAGTAAAAACCAATGCCATTGTTTTTTACTATTTTTATATTATGATGAAGTTAATTTGGTTTTAAATGTAAGTTAAAATTTAAACCAGACAATGAGGACGAGGTGATGGGAGTATAACCAGGTTTGTACCGGTTAGTGATTGTTCTCATCCATATTTCTAATTGTATCAATTTTTTTATTTCTATATATTATGTTCTTTACTGAAAAAAAGGGCTAAAATAAATATTACTTTATTTTTAATTGATGCGTTCAGAGTAACCAGAAACAATCTTCTTTCCGAGTACAATTTTTGATATTTTTCACAACTAAATCAAACTTGTTAAAAAAGAAGAGATTAAATAATAGAAGAAAGAATATTGTTTCCTTGTTTGTCTGAAATTTATAAACGCCAAAACTTAATTTTTAGCTTATAAGGAAAACAAGCGAATTTGTTTGTAACACGTAAGACTACTTTTTTGAATTCTGCTCCCTCATTTGATGTTTTGTTGTACTAATTTTTTTCCCTTACCGTGACCATAAGTGTGGATTCTGCGTTGGCAACCAAAACAAAGACATCAGCGTCAAGGCAATGTTTGTCTATCCATTCGTCTAAATTTGGTGATACATCAATGCCTTCGAAACAAAAAAAAACAAAGAATTGAAAATACAAAAAAAATCTAATATATTTACAAATCTTCGCTTTGAAATACCTGGAGAGTCAACAAAAACAACATCGTCTCTTAGCAGAAAACATTTATCTCTTGGCCAAAATATTCGGACTAGCTTGCTTTCTGATAGTTTCTCTTCACACAGTGCATGAGCAAGTTGGCCAACAGACTGTAACAAAAATTTGAAAATAAAATTTAAGCAGTCAATTAGTTTTAAATATTTTATACCTTGACATTTTGTTTTTCTTGGGAGTCCTCGGTCATTAAATAAGACTCCCCGTTTTCTGAACCTTCAACTTGAAGAAAGCAATTTGTGGTATGGCCAATACCGGAAGGTAGTATTTTATCTCTTAGCATAGCATTTATAACGCTACTTTTTCCATTGCTCGTTCTAAAAATTACATGTTTAATAACATTGTAATAAAACATAAGATGGTGTAAATATTACCTTCCGAAGAAAGCAACTTTCATGTGATCTCTTGATAAAACATCACGTATTCCTTTAACTTTCTGGACATATCCGACGACCAGGTTAACTTCCTTTTCATCGATTATATTTTTGTTTTCTTTTTTAAGCGCTGTTAATTAATCGGGTAAGGGCGCAATATGAGAAAATAGTTTGAAGCGTTTGAAATAAATAAATAAAACTACTAACTTGCGACGTAATTGCCTGAATCCAGTACATAATCTTCTATTTCATAAAATATGTCGTTGATTTTACGTTTGCCTTTGACGAATCTCTGTAGGGGAGAAGAGTTGTGCCGTGAGTCAGATGGTGAAACAGTCAGATTTTGTACGACAGAAGTAGGCATGCCACCGCCACTTCGGTTCAAATAGGCAGCCATCTTCAACTAGCATGCAACAATGTCTTCAGTCATGCACTGCCCAACAGAAATATAAAACAAGCATTAAACTACATAAACAATATTCTGATCTATCTGTTCTCATTTTTTAAAGTTTATTAATATAATAAAACCATTTTTTTTTAAACAAAACAGTACGTAATAATGCAAATTTTTGAGAAAGCTCATAAAATATTTGAAATTTATAAAATTATGTATATTCTCAGTGATTCTCATAGAATCTTCTACGTAAAAAAATCCGCTGGAAAATCAATTTATATTTTAAATTAATTATAAATTAAATATATAATTTAGTTTACTGTGTGGAAAATCTAAGATTATAAAATTAGTATAAACTGATGTTTTCTTGCAGAGTTATTTAAAGAATCAGATATACAAAATGTAATATTATATTCTATTTCCTCCTAGATTCAGCGTTTTATTTATAATTCTTTAAATCCACAAATTTTAATTTTTTGTTTTCGTATTACTGACAAAATAAAAATATAAATCAGAATGACATTAAATACACTCAAAGACAAAAATACATGGGCATTTATATTATTTGTTTATTTTCCAAACTTGGTTTTTTAAATTGTATTCTTTGATGTAACAATAAATTTGAGAAATAAATGAAAATATTTTATTTTTTCCTTAAATGAATGGTTTTGTTCAAGAAGATCTTGCCTGGGCAGATGCTTTGGCCAACAACAGATGTAGTGTCTGTTATATAGCCCAAGTCCTTTCAAAGCCTTTTCAAAGATAGCTTGGTATGAGGTGGAATCCAAACCCACGCTAATGACTGATTATGGAAGTTCTTCTGGAAGCTTTTGCCCAATTCGCTCCATTTATTTGGGACCAATTTATTAACGCATGATAATGCTTGACCGCATGTAAGTCGAATTGTCACCCATTATTTTGAGGATGTAGGGGTTACCACAATGGATTGACCAGCACGTTCTCCAGACATGAATTCAATAGAATACTTATCGGTCATGACAAAGAGACATTATTCGCCACCTCCAACAAGTGTTGAAAACCACCCTTGTTAAAGAATGCTATTCTGTTTCACAAGATGAAATCCGATCGCTTATTTTCTAGATGCCTAGGAGACTTAAGGCCCTCCGTAAGGCCAAAGGAGGTAACACGTGCTATTAAGAGCAAAACTAGGAAATAAATTGTTATTTAAATTTTAATCTATCACGAAATGATTTTCTGGTGTTTTATACACCATCTAATTAAATAATGGATTAAAACTCATGAATTTCCAATATTGTTTAATTTAGTTTACATTAAAGTAAGTATGCTGTGACTAATATAACAATAATCCCTAAACATATTTTGAAATAAACAAAAAATACAACACAGAGCCTGGTTTTTGTCTTTAAGATGTACAAAATTTCATTAGTACTGAATAACGTAGTCAAATTAAATTGAGTAACAGGTTGATCATGAATATAAAATAAAAATGTGTGGGTGCAGAGTAAAAGCCAAATTGGTGTTAGACACATCTGAACTCAACACAGATTAATTTACATATAACTATAAATAAAAGCTTAACAGAAAAACTACAACATTAGGAATATAAATAATAAGTAATTAAAAAAAAATCTCTGAGATTACATGTAATTTTCATGGATTGTATACAAATTAAAAAAAAAAAATCATCAATGAATAAATAGAATGTTAATAAAAACGAATATATTATTTTAAATCAATGTATGACTGATTTAACATGGAGAATAGACAAATATCAACTGATAGAAGAATATATGTTCCTATGACTTATTTATCTGTAGCTGAATCATCTTGGCCTGCCTAATCTAGCTGGTTTTGCCTGTGAAACCCGAATGGCAGAATGACCCAAAGATCAACCACTGAAGGTGGCAAAATGTAACGGACAGGAAGGACAGGCAACCGGGATGATCAGGGAAGATCAAGCAACAGCTCCATAACCTTGCAGTATCTCAATTTAACTTATTTATAGTACAAGTGTAATGTAAGTATTTTTAGAACAATTTTCTACATGGGAACAAGTTTTCTATACTACTTTATACCAACTGCTAAAAGCAACTTTATCCCATTTTTTTTTTTTTTTTTGTAAGGAATCAAAAACAAAACAACTGTTTTCCTTTTTGAAATTATCAAGAAAACAACATAGTTTAACAGCTTTAAAACATCTCATACTCAGTTCTATGTTCTACTTGTGTAAATATATTATTTTTATTCCTGCAATAATTTTTTTTAAATAAATAAAATGAAAATTTTAAGACTAATTTGTCTTTTTAAAGTTTTTGGTTTTTGCTTACAAAAAATTCTGCAGTTTAAATATAAAAAAGTATATTCGTTACTTCTATAAACATTTATTTGGACGTTTTGGGAATTTCCCCCCTATTATCTTCATCTATATTTTCAAATTTCTGCAATAATCCCAAGACAAAAGCCTGTGTATTTATTATGGGCCCTGCTACCACCACATCATTAGTTACTCATCATCAGTAGGGCTAATTTCATTATCACAGCTGACAATCAAATTAATTACTACTAGTTACAAATCATCAATGGATCACATTTTATGACTTGGTGATGAGAATAGACAAACTTTTAATATATATCAAATTATATGTATCAATACATGGAAATGGCTGAGATGTTTTAGTCAGTTTCATGCGCCTTTGGATTTTTTCTGATTCTTTGATGGATCTAGTAAAACACATTTTTATGTACTGTAATAATTCATCTGTGCCTGACCGACAATCCAGTGGAATAGGCTGACCAAATTACAGGTTCATTCATAGACTGTAAGGAGAAATCTCACAGAAACCGTTACTAGCAAAATATTATAGTTACGGCAGAATCGGCGTGTGCATAAAAAAAAAAACCATTATGGGTAAACAGAGTCAAACAGGTCTAACTTCTATCAGACTTTCTGAATCAGTCGATCCCACCATTATTTACATAATCTTAGGCCGTAGCATGCAGCAAAATCAGCAAGAATAGGTAGATAAAAATCTTGGCGATCAACTATATAACTGAACAATAATTTATAATTTGGTCATTACCGATCATTAATAACCAAATTGCAAGTTTATTTCCCTACAGACCAAGAAAAATCCAACAAGTGAACAATAATTGCTACAAAATATTCACTAAAACTTTAAATCAATAAAAAACAAAATCTATTACTAGTAAATTAATAAATTTACGATAGTGTCTGACATGAATATGAAAAACCTTGTGAGTGAACAGAGTTAAACAAGTCTAACTTCTATCAATCGTACTGAATCATCTGAACCCTCCATCATTTACATTATCTTAGGCCGTACTTTAAATTGGTCTGCGAATCCTAATAGGATTCTTAACGGGACACTGCAAGCTAAATGGACCCTTAAAGAAGATTGGAATAATCCAAGTCGGCACATGCAGATTCTACAAAGAGGCAGAGGAAACACCAACACACCTATTAACAAACTGTGGTTCTACACTTACTCGCAGAAGGAAGTGCTTTGGGACGTGGAATAGAAGAGATTCAACCATTGAAACCGCGCATACTAATCAAGTTCCTTTCTCAAGTTTCCTTGCTTTAGGCAGAGAACGGAGGGTACAATAGCTCTTAAGCAGCGCAGTATATTACACCCCGACTATTACATCTACATCTTAATAAATTTACGATAGTGTCTGACATGAATATGAAAAACCTTGCGGGTGAATTGAGTTAAACAAGTCTAACTTCTATCAATCGTACTGAATCATCCGAACCCTCCATCATATACATTATCTTAGGCCATACTTTAAATTGTTTCTATGTGTTCATGTATGCACATGTTGCATCATGCTGCACATCTATTTGATATTTGATCTGTCAAATGTTTCAGACAATGAGATCAAACGTAGGAATATGTGTCGACCATTCAGCTGTTAAATCATATTTGTGTGTTTATGCAAAAATACCACACACATCTGATCGGATATTGGATCTGATAAAAGGATCCAAAATAGAAAATTGGTGACAAAGTCTAGTCTTATAAATTTTGCCAGCCTTTGGTTAACCTGCTATTGAGTTATGGCAATTATTATCGATAAATCATTAAGTGTTCTTTAACTGTAAAATATGTTCAAAGATGCGAAGATTTTGCATAGTGAAATATTACCTTTAAGTGTATTTGTGTCTAGCTTTTTTTTTTTTATCTTGTACCTTAAAAATCAAGAAATAAAACCTAGGTTTATTAAATGCATACTTGTTTGACAACACTTTACAGCTAAACAAAGGTACAAATTAAACAAAACAAATAAGCCAGAAAATAAGGCAAAAGTTTGAAAACTTTTGAAATGGGGGGCTTAAACGACAAACGTGCATTCTAAAAAAAAGTTCTAAAACGTGTTCTGGTTTAAGAAATTAAAGACCTGTTGAAATGCTGACATTTCATTCCTAAATCATAGAGAGTAGTCTGAAAAAGAGAAGAAAAGCATGATCATCGATTTACACAAGAGTTCTAACACGAAAACCGTCTCTATTGCAAAAACATTAACACAGTTTGTAAAATAACACTATGAGGGTCTTCTTACCTAATTGGAGATTTCGTGAAAACGCATGATTTCTAATGAAAAATGTGTTTTCATTTGGAGAAACCTCAGGAGATTACATCTCACAGAGTGCATCTTAGGTTGTCCACTTTCAGTCCAGACTCGGTCGTCGATTCCTCCTCGGATTTTCAACCTTGCGAAGTCGGCTCTGTGATGATGGAGGAATTTATTTCTGTGATAGATTGCGAAGTAAAAAAATGCCTTCTGGATGTACCTCTTAAAACCTTGCACCAATAACCTTCGTAACACCAGTAGATGTTGTCGGCTTGCCCGTTCCAACTATGATGCATCATGTAATCGTCATGTAAAGTCAATTTGTTTATTATTATTTTTGTTTTTTCCAAATAGACAGGCAATTAATGCCTATTTAGTATAAATATACATCTGGTATAAATAATAGCTACAATGATAAAACAAATATTAGAATATTGATAAACAAAACCTAACAAAAATAATAGAAGAACAAAACTGGATCCACATTTACAAAACTAGTAAAAATGCAATCATAATCTTATCTTATATCTTAATTTTAATTAAAACAAATATATAAATTTATTTACACAATTATAAGTAAAAATGTAGTGATTGATGAGCAGTAATTGTAAAAGTGGCTCATAGATATGGTCAAATGAGTAAAACTTTTATAAGTTAGTCAAGCTTTCGGTGAATATATTTTGCCATTCTCAGATCACTACAATAGGTAAACAGCATTTCTTATTATCAACAGTATTACCACTCCAATACAAAATTACAAAATACAATTTATAAAAAAAAATATAATGGGATCTGGACTTTTTTTTGTGTAAATAATTGTTATATTATAGATTACAATTAATTAAGGTTTTTAGTTGAGACGAAAAAAAGCTAATGGCACGAGCGGGATTTGAACCCACGATCTTCGGCTAGATACCGCCTTCACTGGATCGAGGTCACGATAGCTCAAGTGGTAGAGCAGCGGCGTATCTAGCCGAAGATCGTGGGTTCAAATCCCGCTCATGCCATTAGCTTTTTTTCATCTCAACTAAAAACCTTAATTAATTGTAATCTATTAATTGGTCAAGCGGACCACGAAATTAGTGAAATTATATTATAGTTTTGTAACTAAGGACTTTTAATGGAGAGTCCATGTGAACTTCAGATCCCTTATATTTGTAATTTCTTTCATAAATAGTATGTAAATTTTGTTATTTTTTTATTGTAGGTAATACTGTTAATAATAAGATATGTTGTTTCCCAATTGTAGTGTTCTGAGGAAGGTGAAATACAAACGCCGAAAGCTTACAACTTATAAAAAGTTTTGTCCATTTGACCACATCTCTGATCCACTTCTACATATAATTTACAGGTATAATATAAGAAAATAGGATAAATAAATAAAAATATACAGAAGGAACAGTTAAATATAGCAAAGGTAATAAAATAATTATGATATAACAATTGTTAAAAGTTATTTTTGTAAACTATTCCTTGAACAAGTCAATCTCATCTGACACCATATTTACAACTCTCATAATTCTGGTTACTCTCATAGTATTGTTTATATTTCATTTTTATTTATATGTATGGTTTAATACTGTAGAAAGGGCGTGGCAGCCGATTAATAAATAAATATTGAATTTAATATCCCAGTGAAAGGATGATTGAACTTAAAGCAAGAATAGGCTATGAATTTCCATGCAATGGGTGTCTTTTTTATTTGTATTTTTTATGTTTCCATAATGTTTACAGATTTTCAGTAAGCACTAAAATTTTTACAACTTCATTTTATTGTTTAAATCTTATTAGGTATATTTTTATTGTCGGCTTTTACCACAATAAAGTCTTAAAATCCTTAGCCTTAAATGTTTTTTTTTTTTTAATTAAATTAAATTATTTTCACAATTACTATTTAATATTTATTTTATAACATTTCCAAATCAATTTGATTTATAAACTGTTCAAACTGTGTCAAATGTTCTTTTGTCAGAAGTCATGTTTCTCCCGAAGAAAGTAAAAACACAATGGAGCACTCACAGTTTATTCTCAATTGGAAAATAAATTATTGGTAAATCATCCAACCTGAGTTAAATGTAATCAAACTCATGCCTAGAAATTACTAACTAGGTATATATTGGTGAGCATGTATAATTAGTCTGGCAATGTTAAGAAAATAAATCTTTAGCTCACAGTTAGTCTGGGAGAGCCTAATGACTCAATTACTTGAAACGATTATTAAGTCCCTATAGCTAAGACATAAATGAAGTTATTAAAATAAAGTAATTATCGGAAAAAATTAATTAAGGTGCAGAACAAAGACCACAGTAAGGAGCGTCGGTGGCCACATCGGTTTAGGGATTGACACGGTGCTCATTTTGAGAGAATTTAAAACAACAGTACTACAACTCAGAATATTCTTAAAATGGAACTACTGTGAAAAATGGTGAATCCATTGACTTAAAATTTTGAATTTAAACAATTAGAAAAGGTAGAAAAGATTGAAGAAAATCACCAACAACTGCATTAGCCTTGCTAATTGAAATAATAATTTTAAAAAATAAGCAGATGAATATTTGTAAAATAAAAAGGAAAATAATTCCTCTCATACAAAATGGTTTAACATCCAAGTACTTGGGGTGTCATGGGCAAGGAGAGGCAATATCATTTTTTCAATTATTCACAAATGAAGTTCTAAGGGCTAAGCTGAGGTTCAAACCCAGGACTACTAGCCTAACTAATCCTAGAGTTGGATGCCACAGTGACCCCCTTAGATGTATACTTGTTGATTCTATTAAGAAAAATCAGGGATATGAAAATGATACTGCCACTTCAAGATGGTTTAATATTGAAAAAAAAGAAGAGAAAAATGGCATCTAAAAGTATGTTCAGTTTTTAAGAATGAAAGTTAGTTAAAGCTGGTCATTTCACTAAGTGCAAGAGGAAATGAAGTTAAATTAATTAATCATAATGGAATAATTGCTAGCATTATATTTTAACCTTATCTTAATTTATATTTTAACCTTATATCAATATTCTAGTTTGTTTTTACAAATTTTTACTTTTATTACTATTTTTATTAATATTTTAATTTATTGTATATATATTCTAATTATTATACTAAATTTTTCTAAATTGGTTGAGCTAGTATCATCATGACTTGATTGCTCATGTCACATCTAACCGAGTGTTCAAATCCCACCAGTGACACAAATTTGTAATTGCAATCTGCTTGGTTAATTATGAATACTAGTTCTTCAGTTACCGAACATTTACTGAAGCCAAATCTTGCTGATAATTTTATTATTTGCGTTTACGATCAGATTGTTTGACTTACCTTGGCATAAAAAAGAATTGAAACAGTGCAATCCATATTTTGCAGTTAATTATCTTATCTCATAATTTCACCCACATCTGTGTTAAGCTTTTAACAAATAGGGAAATAATTTCTTTAAAAACCTGTCTTACTTTACTTACCCTCAGACAATATGTTGAGCAGATGCCTAATTTTGTGTGTTCTGCTGTATACTGTAAGTAAATTATAAGCAAATATATAATGCATGTAAAATGCCTTTGAAGTATGGAATATGTTTGAAATTAAGAAATGTTATATTCTGTTGTCTTAATTCTAGGTTGAATCGAGTTATAAAGATGTCGAGTGTCCGTCTGATGGTTATTTTCCTGCGTTGGACACCTGTAGTGCATACAACATCTGCTTACGTGGAATCCCAACCAAAATGAGATGTGGCAAACTGCAGGTTTACAGCCCTGAGACTAAATCATGCGTGAAATGGAGATTAGCTCATAAATGTTTGAATTTCAAGTGCCATGTTTTAACCAAGCAATATGCCGTTTATCCTGGAGATGCATCTTTATACGCCATTTGCTTTCAACGTAAAGCTATTGCCTTACAGCAATGTTTCAATGGTTTATTTTTTGATGAGAAACAAGGCACTTGCACATTCCAGTGTCAACAGGAGGGATTTGTACCAGACCCTTATGAATGCACTAAATTTAGAGAGTGTACCAAAGTTGGACTAAAATTTAAATGGGTTCAAAGGACATGTCCTGAAGGCTCTTGGTTTAATCCAGTGAACAATAAATGTAGTTTAGAAAATACTGAAAACTGCTTTTCTTCATCTAATGGAACTTCTACACCTGATGCTACAATGTCCTCAACCCCATATCCTAGCTATAGTACTTCTGAATCTTCTCAATTACCGTCAACTAAAGATAGCCCATCATCACAACCTTCAACATCCAATGAGGCTTCTTCACCAACTCCAGTTACACTGCCTTGGGTAAAATTATTATTCTAGCTGACTATATATTACTTTAACTGTGTCATTTTCTTATGATTTATTATCCAATAGATTTTAAAATGTTTAATAATTATGTACTATATTTTTATTTGTTATTGAAGCTTGTAATTTGAACATATTTGAAACTAAATAAAATAGAACTTTTTAAATTGACATTTGTTATCATCCTTGTTTTCTTACATATATCATTTGATAGAACTTTGACATCTTTGATCAAAATGGCTTGTTAATTTAGTCTGTAAACAAATTAATGTGCAGTTGTTGTCAAACCAGAAAAATTAAAATTTTTTCTAGGTAATGGGAAAAATGTTTATTTGTGGTGTCAATTTTTGTGATTAATTGATCTGTTTTTACCAATCCGTTTGACACGATGTTGTAACCAAGTGATTGATTGTTCACAATTCCATTTTTACGAATGGAGAGGAGAGATGGTCTGAAGACACGTTGAACTAAGTGTTTTATTTATGTATTTTACTGTTTCCCAATTATAAATGTATACAATAAAAAAAAAGGTTATACTATACATAAATTTAGAAACAATTTGAAATATGAATTAAAACTATGTAATTATCAATTATTAATATAATCTAAATCAATATTACTTTAATATATTAATGATACAATATTTATTTTTCTAGCAATAAAATTTGATTAAATTTTCTTAAACTGTCATTAAATATATCTATAGTTTTGAATGAGTTTAACATTTTTGTTGTTCTTGATATAAAACTGAATTTAGTTCTATTGCAATCAACGGCCATAGAATTGTCATAGAACTAAGTTTCTCTTTTGAATTGAAGCAATGAAACATCCTTCTTTCATATGTGCTGATGATTTAATTTTCAAAACGTGGTTGTTACGAGAGGAAAAACCCAAGACTTTTGCAGAAATTAATTAAATAACAATTGTTTACAAAATCTGATGCGTATATGGGACTCAAATTGGATTTCTGGTATTATTTTTGTTTCCGATCAAATTAAAATCATCCATATAGATTTAAAAATAAAATATAATTCATATAAATAAGTATGACACTTAAAATGAAGAATATTTTGGAAATGTAATGTACAGTCTTAAACATCTATAACTTGCTATAATAATTACATATATTTGCCAATAAGGCTTTCTTTAAAACAAGTAGAAAACTAAAATAAAAATTCCACTCCAAAGAAACAAAGCAAAGGCAATATATTCTAGAAATTATTTAAATAACAATTGGTTAAAAAATCGGATGCGTATATCGAGCTCAAATTGGATTTCTGGTATTATTTTTGTTTCCGATCAAATTAAAATCATCCATATAGATTTAAAAATAAAATATAATTCGTATAAATAAGTATGACACTTAAAATGAAGAATATTTTGGAAATGTAATGTACAGTCTTAAACATCTATAACTTGCTATAATAATTACATATATTTGTTCATAAGACTTTCTTTAAAACAAGTATAAAACTAAAATAAAAATTCCACTCCAAAGAAACAAAGCAAAGGCAATAAATTCCAGTTTTTATTTGTTGCTCGTGTTGAAATATTGATAAACCTTTGAAAGTATTTAGCACCATTTTCAAATATAAGTTGGTGTGTCATGGCCAGTTTGCTATCTCTTATCTTTTTATTAATTATTTGTCTTTAGCACCCTTGCTCTTCTAATTGCAATTTTCAGTTGGCTTGGCGAACCCTTGGAAACATGTTGGCAATATTTATAGTCACGTCTGTTTTCTTTACATCGACCTTAAGTCAGGTAAGTCTTTGTCAGTAAGATTACAATAATGATATATTAAAGAATATATTCTTCTGTTTAGGATGTGAATCGTATATTGGAATTGTACAATTCTGGTTTAGGTTCGAAGAGTGATGAGATGTGTTTAGTACACGACATCGGATGCTCGGATTGTCATACCATTTCAATCTGCATGGTTGGTATGAATCGCCTGAAAATCCCATGTGCTGAGCCGAACAATTACTGCAAGGACGGTGGCTGCATGCCCACCTCAGACAATACTTGTCCCGCGGAAGCGAGCGAGTTCGACTGTGCCTCCAATGAAGGCACGTTTCCCGACCCAAAGGACTGCACGATGTACCATGTGTGCTTGAATGGCAGCGCTTATGACTATAAGTGCAAATTACCCTTCACGGTCTACAGCCCTGAGACAAAGACCTGCGTGAGGAAGTCGTTGAAGCACAAATGTTCGACAGTCTTGTGCACACAAGATGGCCAAAAAGTCGCATACCCGTCCGACCCGTCGATTTTTTTCGTCTGCCAAAATGGGGAACCAGCTGTACTTCAAACCTGTCCAAAATTTAGCGTACTGAATGAAAAAACTCAACAGTGCAAAGAGCATTGTGCCGAAGAAGGCCCCATTCCGGATTTAAATGATGAAAAATCATTCTACGAATGCGTATGGAAATTAGGGACCATATATGTCATGGAGCATAGGTTGTGCCCCCAGATTGCAAATGTTGTCAAATCAGTTTTTGATCCAGAAAAAAGAGAATGCGTGCTTGTAACTGCAGATTAATCAAAAAATACTTAAAATGTAATGTAATACTATCAATTAAATTTTTTTTAATAAATTTATAGTTTATATTTAATACTCCTCATTCCTTCAAATTTTTTAGTAATAATTAAACCGGTTTTTGACAGGTATTGTTATGAAAAATTCCCATTAAATTGAAATGAACAAAAGCTAAGTTAAGTTATTGCGTAAAAACAGTGGATTCCTAATCAAGGTTCACTCAGACATGTTCACGATGCATTTTGTTCACTGAGCGACAGAGTTATTAAGATAAAAAGAGAGACTAGAAGGATCTAGAGAGGTAAGTAACAGTTGATTATTTAGGAAGAGGTCAGATCAACCAACACTACTTGTTAAAGAAAAACAACTTTAATGAAATAAAACATTTATATAAAAACTATATAAAACAAAAGATAAATTAAATTTTATTATGATTTTTTTAAGGATCAGATGGATAAAATATTAATTATAGTTTTATCAATTTTTTCCCTCAAATTAACCCTTTTAAAATTTGTATTAACCTTTTTTTAATTTTTAAATTAACTATTTATTTAAAGTGTTAACAACTTAGATGGTGTGAATATAAACATGTAAAGCAAAATTCATATTTATTTGAGAATAAAAAAATAAAAAAAATAAATGGCTTTATATCTAAAATACCACATGAAAATTAATTACAATTAAAATAATTTTTTTAATAAAATTAAATATAAAAACAAATTACTCTTTTATTAAGATTTTTTTGAATATAAAGTAATTAGCCTATAAAGGGGGCGTCGGATGCCACAGCTTTGTGTTGACATGGCGACACTCATCATTGTAAGGTAAAGGCCCCAGGTTCGAAACCAGCTCCCCCAATGTACTTACAAAGGTTTTTTCCAAAGTCGCTGGTACCCCTCTGCTATTTCTAACCCCGTTAAAAAAGTCTATAAAATTTTATATCTAAAAATATCTAGAATTAATAAAAGTACGATTTGTCTTAAAATTTAATTTTATACCACTTTTAATTTTAAGTGAAATTAATTTTTATTTGGTTTTTAAGAGAATAATTATTTTATATTAAAAAAATCGAATTAATAGAAAAATCATTTGGTTTTATATTTAATTGTATATTACAAAAGTGTTTTTGTCAAAATATAGTTAAAGAATCTTGAGTTTTTTACATTATTGGACATTTCGGGATTTACACCCAACATCAGCAACTAACTGTGTTTGTAATTAAAGATTTAAGACCATTTTTCATCATAAGCCGCATTGTTGAAGATTGGAAGAAGGCAACCTACATGGAAATCTTCTTTTTTTTTCCTAAAAAAATTTAAGTGTATAAAACTTTTAATTTTAATTAATTTTCACATGGTTTTTGAGATACTACTCCAAAGTACTACGGATCGCTATGGATGCAGAGTGGTTTGCCTGGAATGCCCACTTTCGCCGCAAGTATCAACTGGATAGCATTGAGGAACACATCAGGACGAGGTTCACAATGTTTCACACAAAGCTTCCCCAGGTGCAGAGAGCAGTCCACTTCAACCAAGGCAGCAAGGTGGCCTCCCATCTAAGACCAAGAACATTGCAAGACGTCTTGTGGTGATATGTGAAAATGTCTGTGATATGTGATATTTCCTGTTATATTTAAATTTACAATGTAAATAGTAGCATAAGTGTTTAAGCTATTTAAGTTTGAGATACTAATTATTTTATATTTAAAAATATCTCTAATTAAAAATAAATGAATAATTTGTTTTTATCTTTAATTATATATCATTTTTATTTTTTATTGTAATTATGAATAATTATCACTTGGTCTTATAAGAGTTCAATTATTTTATATATATTTTAAAACATCTCAATTCAGGGATTTCACTAAATGTGCTTATTTTTTTACCTCCTAAGTTTTTTCTTTGCTTTAAAGAAAGGTTAATTAGAAATTAAAAAGGGTTCATTTGAAGTTTAAACGGGTTAATTTGAAATTAAAAAACATTGAAAAAGTTGAATTAAAAATGAGTTAATCTGATGGAAAAACTATATTTCATCATCATCATGGTCTAAGTTAACAAATTAGTAACGTAGAATAATTGGAAAGTTTGGCGAAACTTCTTTAATTTTAGACCTCCTTCTGGTCCTTCAAACAAAATTATAAATTGAAGGTCGATCCAAATTAATTGGTTAATTAAAAAATTTGGTAAAAAAATTGCTTAATTCGATATGAAAAAATGTATATTTGAAAAACAGTGAAAAGCGTTCATAGGGGGATTCATTTTTCATTAAAAGACTGTTTAATACTGATAAAATATTTAATTAAATTATTAATACCATCTTAGGTCTAGCTTTTTATCGTTAAGTTCGTCTGGCCTTTATTTTACATTTCAACAATCATATCCACTCTGACATGCTTTATTTTACCCTGTATATCATAGAACAAAATAATTTCCTTGCTGTCGGAGCTGTAACATTGATTTGTCTTAAAAGGTGTTGTTTACAAGTTGAAGAAATGTGTTTGCTTCAGCTACTAGAAACTTTTGTCATCTGTTTTAAGAAGTATTATGTTTTACTCGCAAAAAAATCGTCAAACTTATAGTCAACAAATGTTTGCTCCAAGTTTAAGCTTTTCTTCAACAAATTACTTCATGATAAAATCTATATTTTTAAGTTTTTGTGTGTTCTATTTCTTAATATTAAGAACGTATATTGTTGACTATCACTAGTCACACTTATTTTTATATTATTATAAATAATATTAACAAAATCTTCTCGGCCTTGCTCCTGTCCAGCATTGAGTCCTTTGCAGTAAAAATTCTCTGTTGAGCGAGTTTCAGATGGGTTTTCGAAAGAGTTATTCGACAATAGATAACATTTTTATACTGTCAAACATAATTAATAACAAGTTGGCCACCCCTAAACAAAAAATTCATTGCTTCTTTGTAGATCAAAAAGCGGTCTTTGATAGCGTTGATCGTCGAGGTCTCCTTTTGAAACTTAACATCTTGGGTTTTTCATCCAAAATATTATCTATATTGAAATCGCTTTTATCTGAGTCGGCGTCGGGGGTTCGTGGAAGAGAAGGACTCTCGGAATACTTTGAAGTTCGTTGTGGGGTTAGGCAAGGGTGCCTGCTAAGTCCGATTCTGTTCACCCTGTTCCTCGACGACCTTCCATCCGTTCTTGAGTGTGACGTGAGAATAGGCAATATTACAATAAAAATTCTACTTTACGAAGACGATATAGTTATAATGGCTGACTCTATGCATGATCTACAAAAGAATATAAAACTATTATAAGCTTATGACCAATGGAATTTAACGGTGAACCTCAAAAAGTCTAAGGTTATGGTGTTCAGAAGAGGTGGTATACTTAAGTTTTCGGATCGTTGGTAGAAAGAGGGGAAAATAATAGAGGTGGTTAATGAGTATAAATATCTCGGTGTTCTTCTCTCCCCCAGATTGCAGTGGTCGAATCATTTGAAGAAAAAAGTATCACAAAGTTTACAATTAACCAGACCTAGTCCTTCTTAATCACGCAAGAGGTCATTCCATTAAAAGTCAAGCATCGAGTATTCAACTCAGTGTGCCGTTCGATTCTATGTTACGATTGCCAGGTATCAACAATTTGATTTAATAGAAAAAGTTCTAAGATATTTTGTCCGTAAATTATTTGCATTACCAACTCCAACCCCTAATTACATGGTTTACTTAGAAACATCGCCAGACCCATTATACATATACATCTTACAGCTTCACTTCTCATTCATTTTAAAACCTTACACTTTTCAGATTTCAAGCTTGTAAAAATAACAGCTTTTAATTATATATTTCACGATGTGCTCAAAAGTGTAAAATAGTAAAAAGTATTTCTATCTATAATTATCATCCAATTTTAGTATATGTACCGCCGAAGAGAGTACTATAACTACCATAACCTTTATAATATATAACATTTGAAAATGTCAGAAATTGTGAAACTTACTCGCTTTTGTGTACTCTTTATTTTATGAAAGAAATTATTATTATTACTAATTGGCTACCAGAGCATTTAATTCATGAAGATTTACATTCCTCTCATAATGATCATACTTTACGCAGCAGCTAGAGCGGCTAGGTTAATATCTCTTTGAAATAGGTCAAACAAAAAGTTATTTTTTGAGTGAAGCTAAAAATAAAGTTCCATTTTGTCGTTTTACCGATTTCAGTGATTGATGAATGGTTGGCGTTTGACGTTACGTTGTGAGTGATGACCTTTCGGATTCATTCCGTCCCAGTGTTTCTCCCCATTCCTATCTGAGCATCGCCTATAAAATCTACAATCGCGATAGTGTCGAAAACAGAGGTATATTTAAATATCGGCGCGTTTTTGCTGGTGGAAATTCAACTGTACACTTTTTCGGCATTTAGAAAGTCGGCAGTTGTAGAAAGAAACGCTGGACCATTTCGACATTTGTTAGATTTTCAGTCCCGCCCCCTTCGGCTTCCTTACCAAAGCAAAACACATTTTCAAACACAAAGCTTATCTCCCTTAGGTATAAATAATTTTATCCCTAGTGCCATTTTTTTTCTTCAAATCAGTCTTAAAACAAGCTCCATACTTTGGTACTACAATTCCGTCTGCTTAGACTTCTAACACAAGTGACCTTCAAATTTTACAGGATCAAATCGCCATGCTCACTAATATTGATTTTTACGTTTGTTAAAAGTTTATAACAATATTTTCCATTAAAAGTCTCTTTAATTAATTCGATCTGATTCTTTCGCCAGATAATTTAATTTATTAGTTTCAGTTTCTTCAGTCGTTTCAGAATTTTCTTTTTTTGGTGGATCGATGCCTGTTCTACTCCTGGATATTTTTCCAAATCTTTAAAATTCTTTAAGGAAAGAGAAATGTTGTAGTGCGTTTAAGTATGTCGGGCTCGAATACATGGCCGCTGGATTCGAACCCGGGACCTTTACCTTACAGTGATGAGCGCCGTGTCAACGCAACCGTTGCGGCCAACATCATTGTTTATTTGTTTTATTTTTTAATTTAATTGATTTATTACAATCTGTAACGTTATTTACATTATGTAATGAAAAATGGCAAAAAGGAGGGAAAATAAGAATGGTTGTAGGTTGGGATGGGAAGATGGTGTCCGAGTGGATCGACCAAGATAGCTCAAGTGGTAGAGCAGCGACGTATTTAGCCGAAGGTCGTGGGTTCGAATCCCGCTCATGGCACTAGCTTTTTCATTTCGACCTCACATAAAAAGATTAATTAATTATGTAATGAGTTGAATTTACAAATGAAATGTGTCATGTGTAGTGAGGAAGTTAACAACCATCGTTGTTCTCCGAACTATACGCGAGGACTAATCCTCGTTTAGTAGGTCGCAAGTATATCTCCTCTTTATTCGTCTGATGGGATAATAAGGATGGTTTGTATTGGTTAGGATTGGGCAACTCGATTGGGGTGAGAGGAGGGTTTATTGAGTAACGTGGAAATTGTTTGTGGATGCACGAGAGGGATTTTGAGGTCGTTGTGAAGGGTTTTTTCATTGAAAAAAGCCCGTTTGAAGTATGTCGGGTACGAATGCAGGGCCGCTGGATTCGAACCCGGGACCTTTACCTTACAGTGATGAGCGCCGTGTCAACGCCTAAACCGTCGCGGCCACCGCCGCCCCCTGAAGGGTGTTGTTGGGGTATTGACTATGGTTTTGAGGACTTTGGATGGGAAGGACTGTATTCCTTGGTTGTTGGAAAGTTAAGCGATGCCACACAGTTCTAGTCCGTACGTACCGACGGCTATCCAAGCAGACATGCAAACATTATACTCAAACATCAGCTCAAGTATGGTGCTAAATTGAAAAATAAACGGATAAGTTGCTTAAAAAAGAATCACTGGGACCCTGGACACGCAAGGACAGAGGGGCTCCTACACTTGATAGGTCCTGAATCTTTTTGGGTATAGGATACATATTATCAACGGGTATCTTTGGTAAAAATACACGTGAAAGAGAGAAAACAATGGAAATCACAAACTGGACACAAATAATCCAAAACTCGCCTTGCGTGAGTTGGATTATTGAGAAAGAAATAGACTACGGAATGCATCAAAAGAAGCAGGAAGAGACTTCGGGTCCTAAGAGGATACTTCACGGGGCATTTCCTATATTTTTTACGTTTGTTATTTATTATTTAAATTCTAAGTTTAAGTTTAAAATATTTACAAATCCTTTAGATTGCTAGGGTTTTGCCCCCAGAAATTTATTTGATCAGTAAAAAAAGGTTTGGGGGTTGACACCTAAACTATAGAAACGTATTTCGACTTTAAGCCACCTTGCAGCTTTTATTTTTTTTAAAATCACATCATAAAGGCTAAAACTGCAAGCTCATGCGGTGTAATTTATAACCTATTTTGCCAGGACAAGCAAACTTCAAAGTTGAAATCCTGCCAAGTATAAAGAAACATTTGTACAACTATTGCGTTTATTTTCATCAGAATCCGTTGTGTAGTAATGAAGGTCTTATTTGGATCAATAAATTATATGTTATTTTCATTAATTTTGATTTTAACCAATTATAGACAAAAACGGTGGCAAACTTTCTCCAAATTATTGTTATTACCTATCCAAATTCATAGAGCTATTTTAGTGTTTCATAAAAAAATAAAGATTATTATTAAGAAGAAAATCTTTTAAGTCAAAATTCATTAATTGAAAATAGGCAAAAATTGAAACGCGATGATACTTGTGAGATGACGAACCTGTAGCTTGATCACCCCAATTATCTTGGTTCTGCCTTTCTAGCTGGATTTGTTCATCATGTATCGACATTCCACCATGTTCAGTCTGTTATTTTGTCATTCTTGTCCTTTTTACTTGAAATTAGTTGGTTTGACTCTGCTGTATGTCAAAGGGAAGGGAATTCGAGTAAAATAAATTTTGGTTAAAGATAGAAGTAAATTGTTAATTAACAAGGAGAAGCTACGGACATAGGATCATTGATTTTAATGAAACAACTTTTATGCATACTAGAAGGAGAAATATTAGAAAAGTGTTTAACATAAGCCCTAGGAGCCGAGAAAAATATTTTAAATAGAGTACATAATTTCTTTAAAAATATGTATGTTTTTCTGCTTTTCTTGTGTTGTATTTCAATTTTATTATATATCGATCGGTTTGATTTTTTTTTCTTAGGATAAGAAAGCAGTATAAGGGATAATGAACACCACTGGGTCCCAAATTATGTATTTCAATATCAACGATACCCTAGGCTAGCTGCCAAATACAATTTTGTCGTAGCGACCGAGCAACGAAGTAGCAAAATATGTAAAAACATTTTTTTAACAAGAAACAAAATTCATTAAAAAAACAACTGAAAACAAACATTCGGGAAAATCAAATGTGTTGTCAAATGTTCAAATTTTTTGAAATCCGACTGACTGGATTTTTCTCAAATATCACAAAATCTTTGAAACGACTCTATCAATGTACAGGAAACTTTACAGGTATTTAGAACTACATAAACTAGTAATGGCATATATGTGGCCTCCGTAAATAAATTTAGATTATAAAAACAAACGTTTGAAGTTTTTTTTATTGATTTCATTTTTTTTCCATTTTGTTACGAGGGTTCGCAACATCAGAGGTCATATAAACCCTCAGGGTGCCGGTGTTTTTTGCAAGAAAGCCCATTTTTCTCCATCGAACCCCATGTCGGGTTCGAATGCAGGGCCGCTGGATTCGAACCCGGGACCTTTACCTTACAGTGATGAGCGCGGTGTCAACTCCTAAACCGTTGCGGCCACCCACACCCCCTGATTTCATCCTTGATTTTCTTACTTTTAACGGCTTAAAATTTAAACTTTGAAAATACAGGGAAAAGTCGAAGAAATGAAACTTTCCAAAGGTTGTAATAACTTGAATTTGTAAAATCCGAAGAGCTGTGAGTTTTTTAAATGGAACATGTATTCAGTTCGTAGGCTCTAAAGCCTTGTAAATCCTATATATCAGTTGTTTTTTCCAATTTTTTATTTTTTCCCCAAAAAAATCTGATGCGTTTGGATATCAATTTGAGAAATAAATTGGATTTTCCCAAAAAATTGATTTGAGGTTTTTTTGCGGTGAAGAAAAGGAATATCGACTTCCTTTTAAATTTATATGTTTCTTGGTAAAACAAATAATGTAACCTACTTTGCTAAAACAAAAGAATCAATTTGCGGGGGAGATAATCTAAGATATGTATTAAAATATGTATCATATTAATTGTTATTATTTCTTAAAAATTTCCCCTTACAAATGGTTCCGATGGTTTTAGAAAACCACCTAATTAGTGATTAATTTCCAACTACTCCACCGGGCCTTAGCCTCATGCGAGGCGAAGGCAAAGAGTGTTTGGAACTGCATGGAGGCCCTGACGGAAGTCAGCGACACTAATGACCAGTCCCTGGCATGGGTCCCTGGACATTCGGGGCATAGAGGCAACTAAAAGGTTGTCATGTTGGCCAAAAAGGAAGCCAACGTGGACTCTCTGGGCCCAGAACCCTACTGCGGCCTAGCAGCCTGCCACAAAAGAAGATACATCTCAAAATGGAACCTTAATGAGTCCAAATTGGAACAATACCACAGGCATCAGGCACGCGAAGAGATTCATAGAAGGACCATCCTCAAAACTTTCAACAGAATTACTGGAAAGCAACCGCAACCGAACCAGAATTCTGGTTGGACTCGTGACAGGGCACTGCCACTTAAGAAAGCACCGGATAGGAGTACAGACAGAAGAAATACTGTACAGATACTGTCAGTTAGAGGAGGAGACAGCAGAACACATTTTATGTTCCTGTGGAGGTCTATGTAGGTGCAGGTCCTTGCAACTAGGACAAGAAAAACCACAAGCAAGATCCTACACCAAGGAACCGCTGGCAAAGCTGTGAAGACTGATTAATAGCCTGAAGCTGTCAGTGAGTTATAATTAACAGAGGAGCACAATATATCTATTTAGGTCGAGGTGCAGTAGGCCTTGTGGCCGCTGCTCTTATCCCTATCCCTAACTACTCCACCGATCCATTGGAAACTTTTCAGGCTTTTGTATCCTTATAAACTACAATGAGTACCTTAAATTTAGAACCCGTAAATAAATTTGGAACTAGCGTTTTTCTGCTCCTTTTGACGCAATTTCTATTTTTCCCCTCCCGAAACTCGCTATGAGATCCTTGGATTATCTGTGCCCAGTGAATGAATTCCACTGTTTCCTCACTTTTACCTCACTGTCTTTTTAGATACTCGTTGATAGTGAGAATCCTTATGTGTCAGTAAGGCTCAGGTCCTATCAGCGGTTTCCTGATTCCACCTTTTCTTGCAAGGGCGTCCGCTTTCTTGTTTTCCACTACTTCTACATGTCCTGGGATACAGCAGAGATTTACTTCAAGTTGCATACCTTTGGAATTCAGCACCAATCTTGACCGAATGTTAGAGCTTATACTTTAATGACTGCCTGGCTATCCGGCCTATGATATTATGATATCATTCTATGATATTATGATGATGATGGCCTATGATATTATTCTTGAACCCTTTGCTCAGCTTGCACTTCAGCCTGGAAGACATTACTTTTCCAAAGGGTCTGAGTATTTGGTTCCAGGGCCGCTGGATTCGAACCCGGGACCTTTACCTTACAGTGATGAGCGTGTCAACGCTTAAACCGTTGCGGCCACCGACGCCCCCGTTACTTAATTGCTGTCTTTTTTATCCATTCTCGTCTTTTTAGACTTCAGATATTTTTTTTAAGTATGTAATATGTGAATGGTGTTAGAATTATGTCGGCTTTTGATTGTTTGTGATCTAACAAAGTTTGTGCAGGGTCGGGGTTACTGAAAAATTAATCGTATTATAAAGGAAACAAGGAAAACAAAGTTATTTAAAAAAAGTTTTTTTTTTAATATAAAAACAGCTTACAAAAAAGCGATTTAAAAAAATAATAAAATCTGTACAAGTATTTATAAGGTACGTTTGTTAAAATAATAAAATTATGTTGGTTTTTTTATAAGGATCGTGACGCGCAACACAACACTAACGTGGTCTCGAATTTTTGACGGCCGGGTCGATAAATCGGTGGGTCTGGACAACGTCGATGTTGTTAGTAGGGTCCGCTTCCTCCAGAAGGTGCTCCATAGCTGCCGGAAGGAGCCGAAGGCGCAGGAGCTCCGTAGTTGTCGCCGGGTGCTGAGCCGCTGGGTGCTCCGTATTCCGATTGGGGAACTCCTGATGGCGCGTATCCTTCTTGTTTCTGTTGGGGGGAGAAAGAGAGAGAGAGAGAGAGAAACAAAAAAAACACAAGAATAATTGGGTTGGAAAAGCTGCATGATCTCTTTTGTGGTGTTTTCACCCCGAGACATAATCGAGCTAAGGTAGCATGTCGTTATGCAACATCCCGTTCTTTAAATTCTCAGTCGCACTAGTTCCTCCCTATTCTTCCTGACCTATTTCTTGGTTGAGCAAATCAGGAAGAATACAAATAAAACAAAACAATAAGACTAAAGCAGACCGATACTGTGAAATCAGACACACTATAAAACCCAGTCATTCTTGAAATTAAAACAAAATTCAATAATCTTTCTAAAAATCCGAGTTAGGCAAGATTTTCTCTCTGATTAAATCTCATCACGTGCAAAATAATTTTCCAAAGGAGACCCTAGATAATTGAGCCTAATTTATACCATGACCGACTTGTAATTCTTCGTGTTTTATCGACAATAAGGAGCGAAACTCGAGTTTTATAATGATATAAAATTATATAAGAGAAAAAATATTAATAAAAAACACTGTAGAGGGAAAACTTATTTAAACAAATTTCACAATGAAAATTATGGGTGCACTTTTCCGTCAACACTATCCAGAGGGATGGCTAATTTTCTCCAGAAATGATATTGTCAAAAATTAAGCAAATAGAAAGAATCTTGATCACACAGAATATTAAGTGAATTGAATAATTTTAAATGTTTAAATTGGCTCTCTCTAATTAAAAAAGTAAAAAAAATATGAACAAAATATTCACAATACCGAAACTACCATCCTTGGACATAGCCAAGACACATCTTACCATTTTTGTCTTGGAAAGTGAAATCTTAAAAGAAAACGGTTTTGCGTTTTTTAAATGTACAGTTAAAAAGATTTGACGGTTGGAAAGAGGTTAAAATTACTTAATTGGATTATAGTCTATCAGCTTTATCATCCTGATAAAGAATGTTGAATAATGACATGCCTCAACGAGAAATCTTATTGAAATTTTGACTGATAGGATTAAAATTTTTTGAAGTATCTCCTTTCAATAATAAGCTAGTTATAGTTAAGAAAATAAGTCTTTATTATTTACCTGGGTCTTATATCTGATGAAGTATACTTCGGGTTTGCTTGGCTGTGTAGGTGCAGGTGTAGGGATGTGGATTTCAGGAGCTTCTTCAGGTTTCTTTACCAGGACGTAGATCAGGGTCTTCTGCTCTGCTGGCGGAGCGATGGCCGGGAGGTCTGGGACGGTCGGTGGCGGCGGTGTCGGCGCCTTGATGAACACGATTTTGTAGTGTTTCTGCGGGGGCGGCGGCGGCTGGTGCGGCCTCCTTGGGGCGTGGTACGTCGGCTCTGGGGGTGGTACATGTACGTAGACGTGTTTGTGCACTACTGGTGCTTGGGCGGGGACGCCGTATTGGGGAGCAGGGCCTCCAGAAGGATAACTACCGCCGCCTCCAGAAGGAAGAGGAGCCGCGTAACTGTCTAATTGGAGTCCTCCGAATCCGCCTCCTCCTCCAACATTCCCCGGCCTGGCTAAGGCAACGCCGACTGTTGCCAATAACTAATCAAACAATAAATTTACATTAGAAACAATTTATATACTAGTAAGGAGCAGTAATTCATATAAAGTTGTCAAACGATAAAGTAATATGTTGGAATGATCAAAACTTGATGGTTTTATTGAGTCCGTCTATCTCGCTCGTTTATGTTCCTTTTTTATAGTATTTCGGCTTAACATCATCTTCAGTAAGAAACGATCTGTTGTCCATGTAGGTTCTTGTATTTCGTAAACCAAGGGGAAAAGATGTACCCAATGAAGTCATCAATTACTAGCGGTTTGATGTCAAGTTAGGTTTAGGCATTAAGTATTTAGCTGATAGTAAATACTTCAAAATTCACTGGTCACTTTGATAACTCACGTTAGAAAAAATATAATATACTGCTTAATTCAATTAAAGTATTATCGTGTTTAGCCTTTAGCTTTGGGGTAATCCTTTTTTGTCAATCTGTTTCAATTTATCGCACAATGTCAGGAGAACAAAAAGTCAAGGAAGTGATCAGTGATATTCCTTCATCCCGAGACATTGTCGGGGAAGGTTTGTACGATACGGAACATGGGCAACAATGGTATTACAGTTTTGCCGTTATGCAATTCCCCCAAATCCGATTCACGTATCGTACAGCACTTTCCCCCCGACGATGCTAAGCCCTCATCTCATGAGTGCGTTCCGTCCTACGGTCTCGACGCTATCAAGGATGGGTTAACCGAGAGAAAAGTTGTTTTTTTATTGTGATAGGAGCCAATCGAGGAAAATGAATCGTAAATCCGATCCTATTCACAGGATCAGTGGAAAAGAGGGGATTTACGACCTTTTCTCTCCGTGACTTGAGTTTAGAAGTGAGATTTAATACCACTCTACTTTTATGGAACTTTTGTCAGAATCTACTGATAGATTATTACTGCGGCTTTAGGGAAATAGTTTATATGTTTATGTAACAAACAATATTTTGTTTTTATGAAATACCCAATTTTTGTTATTCTATTGCATATTTCAACAAAAAAGTTCCTTTCCTTCAAATATAGATTACGATTCACATTATGTAACCTTTAATTGATATCTCAATCAAAAAGCTGAAAACTTTAACAGAACGTCAGTAAGTGACTTCATAAAACGGCAAGGCAAAGACCAGTTTCGAGATTTTATTACTTGACTTCTTAAGTCATTAAATACGGATTTAATCAAAAATATAAAGAAATATAAAACCAAGAGAACTAAAACGAGCCAATTTTCGTCGTAAGAGTTAAAACGAAATTTTCTTTTGCATTGTAGAATCCACGCAAGTGTATTCTGATGCATATCACAGCTTAGTGGTTTCCGACTTGAAAAGAAATGCAACGCGTAATGAATTCTATTTAAAGACAATCCCTTCATAATTAGCTATCGTTAAACAAGTGAAAAACTATTATTCAGCGTAAAACCAGTCCTGTTGCAAATTGGCTCGGAACTACATTGTAAAAAGATGCAAAGAGCGTTGCGACTTTTCACGTCTTGTATGTCAATGAACTTCCTGAATTTCACTTTCCATTTAGTCCACTTGGTCAATTATTCCTGACCCTGTATGCAACGGATAACAAAACAAAATTTACAATTTTACCTGAGTCTGTATAATAAATATTTTAGGCATGTGGAAAACCAGGCTGTAATCGGAATTGGCGAGAACTCGAGGGAGAAGATAATTTTGATTTTTTTATTTCTTATCTGTCTACTACTTATTAGTTATATACTCTAAGATTGTCATAAAGTACAATAAAATAGTAGACTCATTCTTTGTCGGTTTGACATGTAATAAAGCTAGACTTCATTAATTTTTTTAGGTAAAATTTCAATAGTTTATTCTAAAAGTGTCAGTTTTTTAAAAATTTTAACCCTTGCCTTATGGATGTCACCGTGTCGTCTTTTTTTATTTATTATTATTATTTTTTTTTAATGAGGGTTCGCAACAGCAGAGGTCATATAAACCCTCAGGGTGCCGGTGTTTTTGAAAAAAAAGCCCATTTGTATGTCGGGTACGAATGCAGGGCCGCTGGATTCGAACCAGGGACCTTTACCTTACAATGAAGAATGCCGTGTCAACGCCTAAACCGTTGGCGTTGACCACCGACGCCCCCTGGTGGTCTTATTAGCAAAAGAAATAGCCATAATGGAAATTATGAAAACACTATGCTGATGAATTTTAAAGAATAATACTGGTACTGGGAATAGATCTAAGAAATGCCATTTTTGAGTTTGCTATCTGGATGAGACAGGATCTTTCCCTTGGTGAAGAATTTTGAGTCAAATTAGTCCAATTTTGTGGATGATTTGACCAATTGTGTAAACAGTTTGTTCTCTCTCCAGCAGAGCGTTTTTGTACACTTTCTTTACTCGGGTTTTCAACGAGGCTCCGTAACGGTGCAGCCGGATAGGTGATGATGCAGAAGTCAGCAATTACCGCAGGACCCCGATTCCGTCTCGTAAGACGAGACAATACTGCAATTACGTTAATGTTCGACAGGCAGTGGGAGAGAAGCCGGCATTGTTGCCCTGAGCAGCATCCGGAACCTTCCAATTAAACGCTTCCTCTCACACCTGCTAGGTCCAGGTTTCACCCCGGAGACGGTGAAAGTGTCCGCCCGGGACAGCGATACCTGTCAAAACGGCTCGTCTACTGGAAAAACGGATCTTCCCAGGAACGACGCTTTTCAAGCCAATTTTCGCTTTCTACAAGTATGATTCAATTGTATGCCGTATGACATAGTCCTTATCCATTGAATCCCGCTTCGATTTGACTTTCTTCTATTCTACATGTCACAAAGACACAACGCATGATTCATCAATGCAATGAACGAAAGTTTAGAAGTTAAAAATACATTGTCAAACTCTGTGGACGTATTTTTCCTTCAGTTTTTCTATTTTTCCACCTGATCACATCTATAATTCAATAAAATTGTATATTTAATAAAATCCACAGATATCGTGAAGATTGAAAATCTGCTGCATCTAATAAAGAATTTACAATTTTCTCTAAAAGTTATAGATGTTTAAAACTTCTGCTTTTACTATAGAGAGAAAATCCTCAGTACCCGGTAGTAGTTTCGGTATCCCTTATACAAGCCATGGTAATTGATTTAATTTTTTTATATCTTGACTTCACTTCAGAACAAGCGAAGCGCGACAACTTAACAAACAGAATTACAGAACACAAAGATTTCATACATAAATTAAACTTTAATATTTTTCCGAGAAAATTTGTTCACGCCTTGAAATTAGCCAACAATCAGGGTGTTATTTATTATAAACTGAAAGCCTCTTACTAAAATAAAATCTACCCCTAAATTTTTTTCAAGCAATTTCTTTAGTTATTGAAGATTGACAGAGGTCAAATTTCAACTTTAATATCAAAAATTGTTAAGCTGTAGAGTAGACTTATTGGAAAATTCTTCATTTATTCATTCAACAAAAGGAGCAAAGTAGCATCAAAATCTACTCCTAAATTATTTTTAGATTTGTTGATATAGAAATGTAGCGTAAAGCTCAATTCGTAAAAGTAATTTCTTTAGTTCATTGAATATTGACAAAGTTTAAATTTTAATATAAAAAATTGTTAAGCTGTAGAGTAGACTTATTGGAAAATTCTTCATTTATTCATTAAAAAAAAGGAGGAAAATAGCATCAAAATCTACTACTAAATTTTTTTTTTGATTTGTCGAAATAGAAAGGTAGCATAAAGCTCAATTTGTAAAAGCGATTTGGTTAGTCCATTGAATATTGACAACGTTCAAAATTAAATTTTAATATAAAAAAATTGTTAAGCTTTAGAGTAGACTTATTGGAAAATTCTTCATTTATTCATTCAACAAAAAGAGCAAAGTAGCATCAAAATCCACCCCTAATTTTTTTTTGATTTGTCGAAATAGAAAGGTAGCATAAAGCTCAATTTCTAAAAGCGATTTATTTAGTTCATTGAAGATTGACAGCGTTAAAATTTAAATTTTAATATCAAATATTATTAAGCTGAAGAGCAGACTTATTGAAAAATCGTGTGATAAACAAGAAATAGCAAAAATATACAAATTGCTCACAGTAAAAGTAATAAAACGCTAATGAGTTAAACGTACAATCAAATTTTAAATTCAATAATTAAATTATCCACAATTTATATTGTTTAAACAATTTCCTTTCTTTTTGTAGAAGAAATTTGCAAGGAATAGAATTTAATTAACTTATGATGGTTTTTAAAGATAATTTTCAAAAAATAATCGTTTTTATAACATTAATTGCCCACTAAAAATGCTGAACTGTTTTTTGCACTGCCTCTTGGTGAAAAATTGAAGATCTGATTTATTTTCCACTTTTATGTTAGGAAACGTTTAATTTGTATTGTTTACAATGTTAAGTAATCCAAATTTGTTACGGTGTTGGTAATCATGAATGTAACCTGTTGTACCCTGTGATGAAGCCAGCGTGTTTGTAAATTTAAAAAAAAACTCCTTCGTTTCGGTCGATCTAAAATGTGCCTTCCCATTTTTCCCAGAATCCGTTTTCCTTTTTATTTGAGATATACTTACGAAATAGATCCTCATCGTAATATCCCTGTACCTTCGTGCACTGGTTGATTTGACTTCTGCCAGGAGGAGGACTGTCTACAGCTTATATACGAGGTAGCATGGAGGGGAGCGACCGAAGGGAAGGGTATGACCCCGATGGGAAGATCCCCAGGAGGAACGATCACAAGAATTGTGTAATCAAATGAGTCTTTGGAGGCGAGGATAGGATTTTCCTTAAAATTTTCGCGGATAACCTAGATAGCAGCAGCTCTTTCTCTTAACCGCATCGTCGACAACTCTTGTCCAACCCTTGAGAAATGGATAAAAACAAAGATTAATATTATGTTTTGTATGTAAAAAAGATTCTTGTTAAGAGGAAAAATGAAATACTGGTTGTAACATTATGGTTTTATAAACACACAAGCAAACAACCATATATTTACTATGTTAAACTTAACATAAATGATCTTTAAATCAAAAATAGAGAAATTGTTTAAAACTTACTTGAAACTAAATAGCTTCAAGGAGGTATAAGCCCAGTTTACTCTTGAAAAATATCGAAATGATATCAAATTAAAACCCTGATAAGGCTTCATGTGTACTTTAAAAAGTAGTGGTAGATCTAGGGCAAAAAATGGTCATCTACGTTCAGATGCACTTGAAAGAGATACAAGGCTATGACGAAGTTCATTTATGGAAAGTTACATCTTCTTGGTCCCTTCTCTGAAAAAAATTTCGAACTTGGATCTGGTGGTTGCTATTCTGAAGGATGACGTCCTAATGAATTAATTTAAAAAATTAATCAAATTTTTTTAAATGAAATAAATATATCAATGTAGATATTCAAATTAACATACAGGGAAATGGAAAAAAATATTGGTAGTACAAATAAAAATTTCATTCCTTGTCATATTTAGGAAGCAATGATCCGAATTGGCATCTTTTCAAATAAAGCAAGAGCCTCTTTAGGATTTTAATTTTTTTTTCTGTCTAGAATTTTTTTGGGGAATAGCTCATACACACTGTGATAAAGAGTTTCTTGTATCTTTTTTTTAATCTTGTGCAAAGAAATATTGTTAATTAGTAAATCCATTACAGTTCGTGGTCCGATTGACTAATTAACTTTTTGCAATTAATTAATTTTTAAGAATGGTATTGGCCGAAGGTCGTGTGTTCGAATCCCGCTCGTGGCACTGACTTTTCTATCTCAACCAATACTTTTAGAAAGATTAATTAATTGTCAATTAGATTATTATGCCAGAAAAATGCTTGGAATAGCACCAAGAAATTCCAAATGCCACCAAAACCGTATGCACTTTAAAAAAATAAATCATATAAAAACAATTGCGGATTTCTCAAAAATGTTGTACATATGTTTTTATATCATGGGAAAAATGTCTCTACTAGTTTCAAATATTTCTAAAAAAGTGGAAAGATTAATTCATTAGGCTAGTACTTAAAGGTTATATATGATTTTATATATAACTTGTTTCAGTTAATTAATTTTTATTTAAGGTATTGGTTGAGATAAAAAGTCTGTGTCACGAGCGGGATGCGAACACCAACTCGGACACCAACTTCATGAGTCGCTCGAAGTCACGAAAGCTCAAGTGGTAAAGCAGCGGCGTATTTAGCCGAAGGTCGTGGGTTCGAATCCCGCTCGTGACACTGACTTTTTTATCTCAACCAAAAGAAAAGAAGTTGAAAGAAGTTAGTCAATCGGACCACGAAATATGATGGATTTATCTATAATATTTTTCGATCTAAGTTATGAGCTGTGATAGACGGACCGAACCTTCCATAAACTCATAGACTCTTCAGAATTAGTTTTTAACTAAATAAAATGAAAAAATGTCCTCTGTCTTTTTTTAAATTTTAATTTTATGCAAATATATATTGTTAATTAGGTTATTAGGCTAAAAATAGCATCAATTATTTACATCTCAAAGTTATAAAACTATTTTCAATACCGTACATATCAAAATCCCAAATGCGACCAAGACCAAACGTAATTTAAAAATAATTATTCAGAAATCGTGAGATGCGGTCTGGTGTGATGTAGGTTTCAGAAAAATATTTTCTTTATCGTGCCAACGTTTCGATCTTTATTGAGATCATCTTCAGTGCCCAAAGTGTTTGTTGCCCTCAATACGACAGCAAGATTGACACGTCTACACGGAAAACAAATACTTTGGGCACTGAAGATGATCTCAATAAAGATCGAAACGTTGGCACGATAAAGAAAATGTTTTTCTGAAATCTATATCACACTAGACCGCAACTCATGATTTCTGAATAAGTACTTTAAAAAGTCAATCTTATCAAAGCAATTGCGTTTTAAAAAAAATATTCAATATATATTTTTTATACCATGGCAAAAATTAAATAAAAAAGAGGCAAAGATTTGTTGAAATTCATTAGACGCCAAAAATTTATAGGTTATGGGATTATATTAAAATGTACAAAAGTACATAAAAGTATAAGATAGTATCTTGCTGGAAGTAAGTCATGTATATAACTGTGCCGTTGAAATAAGAAATATTTTTTCGATATGAATCAATCTAATTTAGCACATGTCGAAATACCAAATGCCATCAAGACCTTACGTACAATAAAAAGTCAATCATATCGAAACAATTGTATCATTTCTAAAAAATAAACCCATGTATTTTTCTTTCTATATGCCACTATTTCTTCGTTATGTATTTCTTATTTATTAAGTTAAAATAAAAATTTTAATTTGTGGTACTTTGTGGCTTTTAAATTTATCGAAAATCATGGATATACTACAACATTACATAAAAGTTATGTATAAAGGAATTATATTAGTTTACAATTTGTACTTTGCTTTTTAAAAATAATTTCTTACATGTTAAAGTCGTGAGGAGCAGTCAAGAATGAGGTAGTTTAGAAAAACTCCTTTTTCATTTTTTCGCCGACGTTTCGACCTTTATTCGGGTCATCTTCAGGGCATAAATTGTGGTGTCTTATTAGTTTTGTGTATCAACACTTTCACACCAAACCAATATGACACCACAAAAATAGCACCACACTTTATGCCCTGAAGATGACCCTAATAAAGGTCGAAACGTCGGCAAAAAAAATGAAAAAGGTGTTTTTCTAAACTACCTCATTCTTGAGCGCTCCTCACGGCTTGAATAAATTATGAAACACACATAATTTATTATATTTTTTAAAATAATTATTTTGGGCTATTTTAGCTGAAGGTCTACTGACCCTGAAACCCTGAAACAAATCATATTAATAAAAACAATAAAATAACACAAAAAAGAGTTGTTTTTTATGCAAAAATGTGTAGTATTTCTTTGGCTGGAAAAACCTTCTGAAATATTGAGGTAATTGAAATTTCAACGCCACAGACAAAACATCAACCACAATAAATGTAGTGTAGTTAACTTCCAGTTGTTTTTGAAGCTTTAACAAGTAAGGGCACTCTGGTTCTCTCTATTTTTAAATTTTAGTTTTATATCATGTCAAAAACAAAAATATTCCTACCTCTTTTAGAGAAGAAATTTTTTCTGTTATCAGACACTTTATGGAATCATGTTTGGTAAGAAGCACTTAAAGGGGATGAACATCTTGACGTCCGTATTTGGTCGGTTCAGCTTGGAATTTTGTAATTTTTCCATATTAGAACAAAATGCGACAGTAACGCGGTTAACGTACGCAATATTTTTGGCAGATTTACAATACGACTGTCGCTTTGACGAATTTTACTCCAATATTATTAGGTGTTCTGTCAACTGCTGCCTTGGATAAAAAAAAATAAAATAAAAAATTGACGAGGAACTATGGTTGCGGGATAAATTCGATAAAAGGGATAATGACTTATTTCCAATGTTTGTAAGAAATATTGACCCAGTCCGTGCATCATTTACATAATTGTCGGGCCCTGATACACAACATGACGTAAGTCCTGTGCTTTCAACAGAGGAGATACTCGAGACGGTTTAAAAAAAAGGGTAAAAAGACTCCCTCAAAAAAGAAAGAAGAAAAAAAAGAGAACAGAATATCCGACATCCGCCCCGTGGAATCCGGTTATGTAACATAATTTATTTCGATGTAATTGGTAATTCATGCAGCTGGCCGTTTAATGAGGATGAAAGTGAAAAGGTGGAAGCGGTGCAGTGCCGGTAGAGTATCGACAGCGCCGTACTTTCTCAACCCGTTGTGAGAGGATTTCATTCGTAACAATGAACTGTATCAATAAAAGTTGAAATGAAAATTTACTTCGCCGGAAATGCCATTCCTACAAAGTTCATGATTAAAGAAGTACGAACTGAGAAAAAAAGGAGAAACTTAAAATTAGTTCAACTAGATATATGTAATTATATTCTAACATGAAGATCTAATCAATCTGATGTGGCAAGAATTAGATAGTTAAACCTAAATCAACCACGATTTTTTCCTTTCCTTCATCAATTTCATTTAACAACACTACAAGCTACGCTTATTTCACCAACGTTTACAAATATTTATCACATCTTATTGGAAATTTAACGTAGTTTTCAATGGTATCAACGGATTTGTCAAAAACCTTTAGTTTTGGGGTTATCATTGTCTATTTGAAGCAATATCGTGAAATCTTTAAAAATCAGAAAAACTGAAGTAACTTCGAAACTGTTGATATTCGAATTAGGAATTTTTGATTCCATTTTGAATGTACTGGCAAACTTTGTAACACGAGTAGCCGAACACCCTGCATACAGTAAAGACGACGGCAGTGCGTCGAAAATATATTGCGGAGGGTCGAGAGCATTTCGAATCAAAAGTAAAAAAGTTCAATGAATTCATTGAAAATTTCCTTAAGTTTTTTATTTTTTATTGTTATTAATCTTTCAACCTTACCAATCCTTCAATTAATAAAGCAATTTCACCAGCAAAAAGGATATTAAATGGACGTTACGTTTTCCGAAATTTTCTGGTCTCTAGGTTTGGAAATAGTAGTTTAGAATTATCACAGTAAGATTTTTCAACTTTGAAAATTTTTTTTTTTTAAGTTCTCGCTCCTAAAACGCTGATTCCCAAAACCTTTACAAGTTTAGTGTTGATCACATCTTATTGGAGATCTAAAGTGATTT